CCCACATTGAACGACCACATCTAAATCGTTATCGTTGACTGCTAACACTTGATTCATTCGCGATGTGTTAACCACAACACCCTTACGAGTGGAGTGAAAGTTACCTTCAATACTGCTACCTCCCGAAAATGGAACCACCGGTACACGCTCTCTATTGCAAATCTTTAGCACTTGTGACACTTCCTCTGTCGTCTTTGGGTAAACAACATAAAGTGGAACTTCATTCTCCAATGGTTTATGCGTGGTAAATTCGTTCCCGGTATGATGATCAATTTCAGGTTTACTATTGACAACCTCTATCTCTAATTTCGTAATTTCAGAAATCACTCGAGATATATCTTGGCAATACTTTGGTGACTCAAGTGAAGTCAATTTTGTTGTTGATGAATTGGGAAACAAGTGCAATGGCGGGCTTCTCAATACTTCGTATCGACCGTATTTGTAGGCAACGTATGAAACAATTGCTGTGCTTGTTATACCAGCAACTACTGGTCGCCACGGTAGTCTTTTCCACGACATAGTCTGACTGTTGAAAGTCAGCGTAGGAGTATATTTTCATATCTCACAAGACAAAAAAAATATGTGTTGCAAATATAATTGATAGCCACAGTTTATCGGCCAATCAGATTCGAGCTAAGCATAAAAGGAAAGAATAGTACACTAGTATTTGCTCAACTATACATTCTCTACACTTTTGCAATTAACTTATAACTTATTTCATTAAAAACTAACTATACATCACAATAAAAAATTTGACCAATTGCTTTACTTGGACAAGATTTCACCGGCTTCTAAGGTCTTTTCAAATCTTTCTCTTTCATCAATTGATGGACGGTTCAACATGCCTTCCAAAGCAGCTGAGTATGGGGCCTTGTGTTTGGCTGGTGGGTTCAAGGTCTTGACCAAGTCAAAGTAGTTTTCGTAAATGTCACCATCGTATCTACCAATAGCGGCATTGATCATCATATCAGACATTTGGAAAGAATCAGTCAATCCAACAACGTTTGGTCTGATTTGCTTACATAATTTTGGAATTTGAATCTTGGCCAATTCGGTGATGGCGTTGGTGGAAGCAACATTGAAAGTCAAGAAGGTACCGGCAAACTTGTCCAAAACAACAGTAGCGGCATATACTCTACCCAAGTCATACAAGTATGGCTTCAAGCTTTCGTCATCGTGTGTGTCAACTCTTCTGACATATTCACTCAACAAGTAGTGGTGAGCCTTCAACTTGGAAATGGTAACCAATTCAGCACCAACAAAGTCAAAGTTTTCCTTTCTAACAACCTTACCACTTTCATAAGACAACCTGATGATAGCAACTTCCAAAGACTTGATGAATTTCTTGAGGTCGTTGATGTCGTTGGCGTTATCCAAAATAACTTTGCTGGCTCCTGAGCCAGTGTATTCTTTCAATTGGTTCAAGAAATCTGAAGAACCCCTGACAACCTTATCGTCATCTTCAATAGCAATAACGTGTTTAACCAATGGCTTACCGATGTTGACACCCAAGATGTTGTTGTCACCTTCCCAAGTACATTGGACGACCCAATCGTTGTAGGCTCTTCCGAAACCGTTGTAAGCGGAGTAACCGTGACCACCACAAGCTTGTCTACATTGGTCAATACCTTCGGCAGCCAACCAAGTACAGGTGGATTTCAATGAACCAGAGTCGATAAACAATGATTTCATGGCATCGATAGACTTCATGATACCAACATCGTCACCTTCATCAACAGCATCGTCCAACAACAACAAGGTTTCTTCAATGGTTCTTTCAACCTTCAAGGCACCAGCTGAAACAACGTAAGCAGCAGCCAAGTATGGGAATAATCTCTTTTGGTGTAATGGGTAGTCCAACAATTGGGTTTCTAAAGCATCTTCATCATCTGGGTCGACATTGTCACCCTTAAACTGTCTTCTACCAATAGCATATCTCAAAGCAATGGTTGATACTCTGGCCAACATTCTGTAAGAATCCAAAACCATCATAACTCTACCACCCAACAATGCCGAGTAAGACAATTGTTCCAAAGGTGGCAAGATAACTTCACCTTCTCTTGAAACCTTACAGAATTTTTGCAACATAAAGAATCTTGGGATTCTGACGGAGGAGAATTGAATCCAACCGTTATCAATACCATCTCTACCCATCTTGGCACCAATGTCTCCAACACTGATACCTGGCATCAAGTCGTGGTTAGAGTCTCTTAATGGAACAACAAAAGTTTTGACACCATAATCTTCGTCATCGACAATCAATCTGGCGTAGACAGTACAGTGAGTGGCTGAGTGAGCAGCACCACCAATCCACCACTTAGTAGCACCAATGTGTGGGGTGTTGATGACGAATTCGTCACTTGACTTGTCAAAAGTAGCGGTGGTTTCAAGACCCATAACGTTTGAACCATGAGCCAATTCAGTCATACCGAAACAACCGTAAATACCTCTGATGTGAGCAGTGTGTTTGTCCAAAGCCCAGTATTTCAATTGGTCATAAGTACCGTTACCTCTGATACATGAGATGAACAAACCCAAGTTAACACCAATTCTAGTACCAACAGCTGGGTCGAAAACACCAAGCAATGAGATTCTTCTGTTGAAAACATCAATGGAGTCAGTTTCCAAATATCTCGAGATTCTGTTGATTTTGACTGCGGTGAATTCTCTTAATTGTTCCTTGTTCATGTCATAGTAAGAACCATCAGTCCACAAGATTGGGTCTCTTTCCATTTGTTGAGTCAAAGCCTTGATCAATTCAGCTCTGTCTTTGGAACCTTCCAAAAAGTATTGCATAGCTTGTGGGTTAATCTTTTGGGCGTCTCTTTCAGTTTGAAGAGATGTCTTTGGATCTGGACCCTTGCTTAAGCTGACGTTTTTAGTGGTGTATGGGACAGACATTGTGTATAAACTGTGTATATGTGGGGGTGTGTTTTTTAGTTGAGAGGGGCGTTAAAAAAATAATGATAATTCGTTAATAAAAAGTGACAATAATTCGAATAGCAAAATAGTTAATCTGAGTTTGACTATTTTATATGATGAATTAAATGTAAAGGGTGGGTGTAATATAACAGTAAATCTGTGATGATATATAAAAAGAAGAAAAAGGAAAAGGAAAAGGAAAAGGAAATTTCGGAAGGATAGAAAATCTGGAGAAATATTTGATGATATTTATATTTGAAATTGTAGTGGGAGATTTTGATTTTAATTTTTTTTTTTTTCACAGGGAAATGTTATGCACGAAGTCAATTTTGTCTGTTTGTCAAATTTATTTTTCTGTTTTTATTTTATGGAGAAAGAACCGACGAGGTTTAAAGCAAGCACAATACTAACGCTTTACAATATAAGAATTTGATTCCAATAACACTTTGTCTAGTGGGGCCACTCTATCCCCTATCCCCAATTCTCTCCTTCTTTAGCATACCTCTGATACTGGTTTTCTTATGAAGCATGCAGATACTCTTGCCTCTCTTTTTCGGCTAAATTATGGAAACCTTGTCATCAAAAATTGCTTTCTGACGCGACATCGTTTGCTTTACATTTGTCAGTTGAATTGTCCAGTTTTTTTTTTGTGTCTGGTGTCTGAATTCTGTCCGTTGTGTCTGTCTCATTCTCTCTTACTCCGCAAAATGTGAAAAAAAAAATTATTTAAAAAAATCAAAGAAAAAGAAAATAAAAAATATTATTTCCTCCTAACTCCGACACAAAATAATCTTCACCTCGGAGTCAAAAGCTATGTGGATATTTTCTCCTCCACGNGACTCGCCACTGCCCCCCCCCCCCCCCCCACCCTCCTGTATTTCAACTGACCCCAATGTTGATCGATATCTAGGCCTGGTTCAAATCTCACAGGGCAAGTAGAGGGATACTCTCGCACGATGCTTTTCCCCCGCAATTTACCTCAAAATCCGCTAACGTCTATTGCAAAATATTGATTACAATACAGCATCAGGTGCTTTTATTTTTTTTTTTGCTTTTTCAGTCTCTTTCTCGTTCCCTGGTCTTATTCAACTACATATCATCGGTAAATAAAGTTTCAATTTAGACCGATGCTGGATGTAGACAAGTACAAAAGGCTAAGGGCTTATCAGAACTGCACAATAATAAGGAGAGGGGTGAACAATTTCTAGTAATTTTCCCGTTTTGTAAAGTTTTTTTCTTTGCCCTATTGTTCACAAAACTTACTTCTACCGAGGTCAATGCTTTGACCGAGGCCAAAAGTTTCACGTGACTATTTCAACTGTACAGAGAGAAAAACGTTTTTTTTATCACACAAACTGGAAATAACTTTATTTTATCACACGCTTTCTTACTCAGAAGATGACGTTTAGGAGCATCTGAAGCCTTCTTTCTCCTCCTTTTTCTTCATAACAAACGCAACTTTCTAGAATGTGGATCCTTAGTAAACTCCGAAATTGTCGAAATAGTTGTCAAAGGTATCTTTAATTGAGCTCTTCCTAGGCAGTTATTCACTCTCAATCCTTTGGTTTCCTCGGAACGAATCTGTGTATGTTACCTGCATGCAATGCATGCGAGTGTTTTTTTTTATATATCTGCGGTGGCCTGATTTAACCTTGTCCCTTACCAGCCGGATTTTACGCAAGCCCAATTCTTTCTCTCGCTCTGATTTAGCGGTTGCGGATAGTGAAAAATTACACAATACCTAGAAAATTTATATCCAACCTCAATGAAGCAAAAGGTTTGAAACGAAAAAAAAAACATGTCATAGATGATCAAGAGTTTGTCTTATGACTGTGTACTTTTTGGCCATTGAACGTTATCACTATGCGTCCCATTAAAAAATAAAGCTTTTTCTCAGAAGCTTTTCTTGTGTGTCCCGCGGAATAGGTGATGAATGTATCAAAAACATAAAATGTGGGGTACATTTTGGCGATCTACTCCGAATCTGATACAAATGTCAAATGCTTTTTTTAAGGGTAGCTACCACTTCCTCTATGACATTGTTTCACATGCATACTGGGTCCCTCTTTTTAAAGCTTAATGTATAATATGTCATGTGCTTTGCACTATCTATAACTTTATTTTCTTCTAATTACTCTATAGAGTGTGTAGATCAGAGTATTACTATAATGCTGTGATTTACTTGTCCTTGAAAACAAAGGGTCTGAATAATACTATATACTCTATAGGTAAATCTGCACTATAACTCTTTATCTATTTTACAGCCAATTCTTTTCACTTGTGCTTTCCAAAGGAGAACAGGCTTTGGAACAAGAGCCTTGATTTTCTATTATGGCCACTTTAATAGAATAGATGCTTTGTGAATTGGCTACCGAGTACCATTATCTTGTGGCCTTTTGCTTGATTGCCACTATAGTAGCTGATTCGGATGTCGTTGCTAAAAATGCATTTGATAGTAGTTAAAAGAGCAGAGAGCAGGCTGCATTGCAGAGTCCACGATTATCTAAATCTACCATATCAGATTCGTTTTTGTTCATCATTGTAATTCCACATCAGCCGTCAGCACAACAGAAATTGATGCAGTGTATGGCACCAGAATTATATTGTATGGGGGTTTCAGGTGACCTTCGCCGTTGCCATCTAATTCACCTTTGCATTTACTGGCAGACATAATGCTCTTTGTTTCTCCAGTAGCGTCACTTTAATCTTCATGACAACTGCATCCTCAATCGAATCCGGATAAAGTGTTCGCCACTTGAAATAGAGGTGAAAAGAAAGAGATATAGTAGTCTTCAAATACTTTCTTGCATGTTTCAGTGTGACAGAACATTTTGCGAACGGGATAGACCTCAAATAAAATCGATATCACTTTGCTTTTCATGTGGATCTATATTCATCCACGATAGATATATCATCATCTCACACAGCAACATCATCTAAGCGACACCTAAGTCCATCCCATTGAATCGCTGACCATCATCCCACTCCCAAGCAAGTAAAGCCACTCCTTCTTTTACAACAATAATCCCCTCCAAAACAATAAAATCAGTCTATATTAACCAAATACTATATACATCTGGGATACGTTTCCTTTCAAACTTATAATTGTGGTACCAACATCTCCATCAATGGTGATTGAATAAAGGCAACGCCTAATCCAAACAATGCAACTTGTACACCGACAGTAAAACCAGGTGAGTTTCTAATTTTCTGATACGTTGATGGTTCTTCTTGGGCCTTTGGTGGTGCTCTAGTTTGGAAATTCATCTTTGATAATCAATTAAAACACTTTGTGGAAAATGAGTGTTGTTGCTCTGTTTGGAGTGTGTATCAAAATTTTTTCTCTTCTTTTTTTCTTTTTCTTCAATGTCCAACGTCATTATTCGGATATTTTTTTTTTCTTTCTCATTTTTTGATCGTTGGTGCACATCAACAGAATATCCAAAACACCGGAGTATAGACAAAGCAAAAAATAACAGATGGCTTCAGTTGATGTTGAGTTGGGAGTAACTCCTGAAACTACTTATTCCATCGCTGGAAAACAAATCAAATTCAACAGTGAGGCGGACATTGAGCCATACCTTAAGGAACTAAACGAGGTTAAAAACGTCACCAAGATTGACTTCTCAGGAAACACAATAGGGATCGATGCATCTAAAGCATTAAGTGAAGCCCTTTTGAAGCACAAGGATACTGTCGTTGAAATCAACTTTTCTGATTTGTACACTGGACGTTTAAACACGGAAATCCCCCAATCATTGAATTATATATTGCCAGCATTGTTGAAATTTCCAAACTTGAAATTAATCAACTTGAGTGACAATGCCTTTGGATTGCAAACAATAGACCCCATCGAGGCATATATTGCAAAAGCTGTATCTTTGGAACATTTGATTTTGTCCAACAATGGTATGGGACCCTTTGCCGGGTCTAGAATCGGTGGCTCATTGTTTAAATTAGCCAGAGCTCAAATAGCCGCTCAAAAATCGTCTTCGTTAAAGACATTTATTTGTGGTAGAAATAGATTGGAGAATGGATCAATCAACTACTTGGCTGTTGGGTTGAGAAATCACAAGAATTTGGAAGTAGTTAGACTATACCAAAATGGTATCAGACCTGCCGGAATTTCCAAATTAGTCGAGAAAGGATTAACTCACAACAAAAAATTAAAGGTGTTGGATTTACAAGATAACACTATCACAACTTCCGGAGCTATCAAACTTGCTGAATCGATATCGAACTGGCCTGGTTTGGTTGAATTGAACTTGAATGACTCTTTGTTGAAAAACAAAGGCTCCTTGGAGGTTGTTAGAGCTTTTGGAAAGAACAAAAAGGAAAATTTAACTGTCCTTAAGTTGCAATATAATGAGTTAGAAACAGACAGTTTGGCAGTATTGGCTGACTTGATTGGGGAATATTTGCCTAATTTGAAGCTTTTAGAATTAAACGGGAATAGGTTCGAGGAAGATTCAGAACATATAGAAAGCATCAAGGAAGTGTTCGAAAAAAGAGGTTTTGGAGAGATCGATGAGTTGGACGAGTTGGAAGAATTAGACAGTGATGAGGAAGAAGAGGACGACGAGGACGAAGAAGAGGACTCGTTAGAAGTGGACCTTGATTTGGAAGAGTTGGAGGAAGAACTTGCTGGTGTTACACTTGATGACAAAGATCAAGCTGTGGATGACATTGCCGATGAGTTATCAAAGGCCCATATTGATTAGGGTGTTTAGACTTTGAAATATAAATGCTCTCTCCTCTTCGGTAGCGTTTGTACTTTCGAGACGCGATTCTACTTTTTTTTTCAATTATGGCAGGCATAAGTTAAGTATGGTTGATCTCGATTACCATGTCAAGCATATACAAACTATCCATAAAGGGTATCAGATCATTTGAACCTGAATCAGATGAAACGATTCAATTTGGATTCCCATTGACGTTAATCTGTGGTCAAAATGGATGTGGGAAAACAACCGTCATTGAGTGTCTACGATACGCAACTACAGGTAACCTTCCACCGAATTCAAAGGGTGGTGCCTTTGTTCATGATCCAAGTCTCAGTTCCCGAACTTCAGTGACAGGCCAAGTGAAGTTGGCTTTCAAGAATGCCAATGGCAAGTCAATGATCACAACGAGATCAGTACAAGCAAGCATCAAGAATACAAAGACTGCCAGTACTAATACAATCACATTTAAATCGATGGAAGGCCAATTAGCTTATATTGAAAATGGTAAAAAGACAAGCATATCGTCCAAAAATGCTGAACTTGATTCGCAGATCCCCATTTTTCTCGGTGCATCAACAGCAATTCTAGATAATGTGATATTTTGTCATCAGGATGAAAGTTTGTGGCCCTTGAGTGAAGCATCAGTGTTGAAAAAGAAGTTTGATGATATTTTTGAAGCCTCAAAATTCACCAAAGTTATTGATAATTTGAAAAGTATCAAAAAAGACATGACTACGGATATAAAGTTGATTGAGCAGAGCGTTAACCATTTAAAAATTGATAAGGACCGTGCAAAAAAGGTACGCGATCGCTTAGCCGAGATGAACCATTCGGTTGAGAAGTTTACTTCAGAGATTAGCGAATTGAATATTCAGATTGAGCAAAAGGATATCGAGGCGGAGAAATTATTTGCAACGAATCAAGAGTTCCAAAAGACTTTAAGTGATTACGAAAATATGTTGATGAAAAAGGCTTCCCTTGAGGAAAACATTGAAAGATTGAAGAATTCGATTGAGATTTTACCCGATAATGACGAGGAATTGCTCAACAAACAACAAAACTTTGCCGTAATTGTGGCTGATAATAAAAAGTCAATCGGCACTTTACAAAAAGTCGAGCACGATCTTAATTCCAGCTTGAAGGAGAAAACAAAAGAGTATAATGAATTGATAAGGTTGGATGGTTCACTCAAAGCCAAGAAAACAGATTATGATGCCAATAAAGGTAAAATGACCAAATTGATGAAGGAAAATGCGGCAGAAGTTGATCTTGATGAAGATGAAGATGAAGATGCCTCAAAGAATATAGCCATGTTCAAGGATGCCATAAGCAGTAAACTTCTGGACGTGCAAAACGAGGAAAAAGAATTGCTTTCAAATCACAAGTCCATTGAAGCGGGAAAGCAGAAGCAATTGAAGGAAGTTGAAGACGAGATACTCAAAGACGAGCAAACATTGAAGTATATTGACAGCGATTTGCAAAAGTTTCAGCAAAATTTGAGTCAGTTGAAAAGGAAATTTGACGCATCCACGAATGATGAATCTGAATTGGTTTCGCGGAAAGAGGAGTTGGCTGCGACCATAGAGGAACTCGATTCTAAAAAAGGTAAAAGAGAAGTGAAAGAGCTTGATGCGAAAATAACGGCGGGGAATGCCGAAAATGCAAAACTTGAGTTTGAGTTGGACGAGATATCCAAACGATTGCTGATTAGTAACAAGCAGTCAGGATTGAGAACACAACTAAGATTTTTTGAGGACGAAGTCAAATCAAAAAATGCAGAAATAGACAAAATTATGCAAAGAATCAACAACAATTTTAAGTCGGTAGTTGGACTTGATATTGATGTTGATTTTGCTGAGCCCAAGCTTAGGGAGAAGTACGAGGAGTTGAAGCTGGAAGTGGACAGTCGGCAAAAAAAAGTGTATAATATTCAAAGTGAAGTTGAATCAATGAAGAACTCAAGAAAGGGGATCTTGAATAATATATCCGACAATGCATCCAAAATCGATGGGTTGAAATCAGATATCACCGAAGTTATTCAAGAGACGGAGATTGATGAGTATGAAAGCATTTTGCGTGACTTGGAGGAAGATTATCGAAACGTCACTGAAGATGTGAATACTTCTGAAGTGACAAAGAGTTATGGTAAATCAGCATTGGAAATGGCAGAGAAAAATAAATGCTGCTTATTATGTAAGCGAATGTTTGACGATCCTGCATTGCAAAAGTTTATCAACGAATTGAAGCAAGGATTTGATGAGGAGAAAATTAGAGAGGTGAAGAAAAATGCTGAGGAGATAGGAAAAGAGTTGGATGCTATAAAGAATATAAGCTTGAAGGTGATCAACTATAAGGAATGTATCGCATTAAAGCCGAAACTTGAGGAAGATTTGAACACTATTGACGACAAAATTAATGGACTAAGCGACACATTGAAAAATGAAATTAAAACACTTGACAGTACGAGACAAGCATTTGAATCTGCCGTCATCTTGAAAAAGCCGCTCGATGATGCGACCAGATTGAATCATGAAGTTCAAGACCTTGATATCAAAGTGGACAAGTTAAATGATGAACTAGATGAATATGGTACGTGTCTAGCCTCTGTAGAGGAGTTGCAGAGACAACAACAGGATATGAATGTAAAAAATCGTAAAATTAGACAAGAGGTGGCTAACTTGAATGACGAAAAGTACAAGGTGCAGAAGGATATTCAGAGGTTGGAAAATAAAGTCAAGGATGTGAAGTTAATTATTAGTAACCTAGAGAGGTCATTGGCGGAAGTACTGAATATTAAACGATCCATAGAGGATCTAGAAACAAGCATTACCAGTTCTGAATCTAGAAGTAGAGAAATTAAATTAAGGTTGCTGCATTCAAGAAAGAGCAGGGAGAAAGAGTCTCGCGAATTGAAGCAAATTCAAATGGATCATTCTCTGGCAGCAAGCCAGATGCTGAAGAAAGTCAAGTCACTTGACTCTTCAGTGGGAACATTCCAAACACTTTTTATTGCAGTGACCGATTTCGAAGCTGTCGGATTGCCTAGAATGGAGACAAACATTTCCAAAATCGAAGCAACTTCGAAGGAGTGTGATTCCATTAAGGCGCGAATCTCGGAAAATGCTATTAAAATCAAAAATTATGAGAAATTAGTGATGGATTCTTCGCGTGTCGAGCACAACATCATTGCCAACATTGACTATCGGGCACAAATTAGTCGTTTGGATGAAACTGAATTTCAATTGAACTCAATCGACATTGAAAATGCTCAGTTGCAAAAAGAAGAATATCAACAAAACTCGAAACGTATTCGAGATGAAATATCCAACCTTTCTTCACAACATGCTGGGAAAGTAGGTGAAGTGAAGCAAATTAAGGATCAAATTGAAACATTGAAGAAGGAATTGGCAACTGAATATAAAAATGTTGAGGAAATGTATCATGAAGAATGGATCAAGTTGCAAACTAATTTGCTTGTGTCTAATGACATACAAAATTACTCAAAGGCATTGGACAATGCCATTATGAAATACCATAGTATCAAAATGGAAGATATAAATCGTATCTTGACTGAATTATGGTCCCAAACCTATCAAGGAACCGACATCTCAACAATAGCTATCAAGAGTGACGTTAATCTTCAGGCTAAAGGTAATAGGTCGTACAACTATCGAGTGGTTATGGTTAAAGATTCAAGTGAATTGGACATGCGAGGCCGTTGCTCGGCAGGGCAAAAGGTATTGGCGAGCATTTTGATTCGGTTAGCATTGGCTGAATGTTTTGGGTCAAATTGTGGTATAATTGCCTTGGATGAGCCCACAACCAATTTAGATAGTGAAAATGCTGAGGCGTTGGCGTCGGCATTGAATCGAGTCATTGATTATAGGAAACGACAACTGAACTTTCAATTGATTGTAATTACTCATGATGAAAAGTTTTTAAGTCATTTGCGTGAGTTTACTGATCATTATTACCGAATTGACAGAGATGAAAAGAGCAAGTCGAGGATCTATAGGATGAGCTTTGCAACGAGGTAATTTCGATATATCAGCAGCTATATAGTTTTATCCAATATGATTGGGCGAATTGTTGCACTTGCGTAGAGGATATAATCACTACTAGATCACCCCCGATATGGAGGAGCTAAAGGTGGTGTGTCGATTGTAATTTCTCATTTGATGCAGATTATTCTCCTCCTTAATTTGTGTGATTATCTTATCCTTGTGCTTCCACAAGTGTTCCAAATACCGTTCCAATTTCTTTCTTTTATTAGGTATTCGGGCGATTGATCTTACTTTGACATAGACAAGCACGGTGATGGGATCTTTTGAGGAAAAGATTTCCAACAATGTAGGTGGTTTATAGTCGACCTCATTGCCACTTCGACGACAATACAAAATTGTCAAGTCATACAAATTGGAATAAGCGTGTGGTTTGAATTTTGTCAAGGCAGTTATTATATTATGAAAGGCTGAGTATCGTGGGTAAAGCAAATGCTGTAGTTTTGGAAGGAAGTACTTTTCACCAACCTGCTGCTGCAATTCGAAACCGTCAATGGTCCACACATTCACTTCCGGAAACAACGCAATCCATTCAGAGAACTTGCTCTTGAGTAATTTAGAAAAGACGTAGAGGATTGAACTTTCTTCTAGCTCCCAATTTTCATCTGTTTTCAATAAATGAGACAAGATTTTGATTGTTGGAACTCTCCATACTAGAAACCATGAGAAAAAGTTGATAATTGGCAACTTAAGACTCCTGTTTTGCGGTATTCCATGAACTGAATCCCTTTCAGGTTTTGTGGATAGCCTTGATAGGTGCTGCAAAACAAAATAGTCTGCTAATGAAGCATGGTTGCTGATAACTACTGCTGGATTTGGGTTGAGTTCGTCTCCCATAACCTTTATCTTGACTTTATTCAAATGCTTCAAATGTTAGAGTCTGGTAAAGTATTGAGAATTTAGTTGAAACATACCATTAGATAGAGACCGAAGTCCCAGAAGAAGTTGCCACATTTATTCTTAATCAAGTTGGCTGTGTCTGGAATTGGCAGTGCCAAAACTGTTGCAAAAATTGAAACCACATGATAGAATAATATATAAAGTAACAACATGACTAGATTGCCGATGCCTTTGGACCAAATTGAAAATGCCATATCACTCTCTTTTGTGTGTCGAATGCCAATTAGATCAATTAATTCCATGTTTGACACCTGATTGATATTTACCGCTTAACGGGTTGGTGGTAAAGTGAAATAGAGGACTGCGATACTTTCGTTGCACAAAAAAGGGAAGAGAAAAAAATAAACCACAATCGAAAATTGATTTTAGACCTCATCGCCAAAACATTCCCCTCTTCACACAACAGCATAGACAACTATGTCAAGACTAATTGTTAAGGGACTTCCAAAGTACTATACAGAAGAGAACTTGAAAAACCACTTCAGTCAACAGGGCGAAGTAACTGATGTCAAACTAGTCAAGGCTAAGAATGGGGAGTCAAGAAGGTTTGCATTCATTGGGTACAAATCAAACGAATCGGCAGAGAAAGCAGTAAAGTTTTTCAACAAGTCTTTCATAGATACAGCAAGAATAGATGTTCAAATAGCCAAATCGTTTTCTGATCCTAGTGTGCCATTATCGTTTAAGGAAAAGAGAAAGAGAGAGAATGAAAGGTTAAGGAGAGAAGAGGATTTGTTGATTGAAGAGAATAACAAACTTAAAGCTAAGAAGCAAAAGGTGGAACGGAAATCACTAATCGAGGAGGAGATGGAAAATGATCCCAAATTTAAGGAATATATGGAGGTAATGAAACCATCACATCAAGTCAAGTCATGGGCAAATGATACCATAGCAGACGGATCAGGGGGTCCTTCGAATGCGGACTTGGAACGAGCTCTAGAAGGAGACAGCACACAAGCTATTGAAAAACTCAAGCCTGAAGTGATAGAGGCTCAGGATCAGGAGAGTGACGACGAGTACAACGATTTCAATGGGCCAGTTGATAATGAGGACGAAGAAGAGGAGATGATGCCTTTAGACAACTTGAAGGAGGGTGAATCTGGCACCTTGGCTAAAGATGAAAACGTTTCAGATTTGGATTGGTTGAAATCGCGAAGCATTCGTATCAAAGAAGATGGTGAATTGCCAGCGGATAATAATGCGCCGAACCGAGAGACCAAAACTCAAGACGAGCACCCAGTCAGACCCACTCCAGTTTACAAATCCGACGAAGAAAAAGCAAGAGATAAAATTGAAGAGACTGGGCGGTTGTTTATCAGAAACATCCTGTACGATGCTACTGAAGATGATTTTAGGCAGTTGTTTGAGGCATATGGTCCACTAGAGGAAGTACATATTGCTGTGGATACCAGAACCGGTAAATCAAAAGGTTTTGTTTATATTCAATTTGGCAACACCACCGACGCAGTCAATGCGTTTGAGTCACTTGATAAGGAAATATTCCAGGGAAGGCTCTTGCATATACTTGCTGCCGATAGGAAAAAGAGTCACAGGCTAGATGAATTTGATTTGAAAAATTTGCCTTTGAAAAAGCAGAGGGAGTTGAAGAAGAAAGCACAGGCTTCTAAGAGCCAATTCAGCTGGAATTCTCTCTATATGAATACAGATGCAATTATGGATTCGATGGCAGCAAAGTTGGGTGTCACAAAATCACAGTTGATTAACCCTGAAAATTCAAACTCAGCCGTGAAGCAGGCGCTTGCTGAAGCACATGTCATTGGTGACGTAAGGCAATTTTTTGAAGAACGGGGAGTTGATCTTGCGAGTTTTAATCAAAAGGAAAGAGACGATAAGGTCATTTTAGTGAAAAACTTTTCATTTGGAACAACCGTAGAAGAATTGGGCGAGCTATTTTCACAATACGGTCCAATTAAAAGAATAATCATGCCGCCTTCAGGAACAATTGCAATTGTTGAGTTCAGCGATGCCCCTAGTGCCAGAGCTGCGTTTACCAAATTGGCCTATAAACGATTCGGCCCAAGCATTCTTTACCTCGAGAAAGGTCCAAAAGATTTATTTACTCGTGAACCTGCTGAAAATGAAAGTGTCAAAATATCTGAGCCTGAAAAGGTTGTTGAGGCAAAAATATCTGCCAGTGATGTTCTTGGTGAACCAGAAGCGGAAGAAGAAGAGGAAATCCAAGCTCCCACTGTCGCCATCTTTGTCAAGAATCTCAATTTCAGCACAACAGTACAGCAACTTTCTGACTTGTTCAAGCCACTACCTGGCTTTGTTTTGGCTACAGTCAAGACTAAACCGGATCCAAAAAATTCAGGCAAGACACTAAGTATGGGTTTTGGTTTTGTTGAGTTTAAATCGCTAGCTCAAGCAAATGCAGCAATAGCTACATTAGATGGACATGTCTTGGATGGACACAAGTTGCAGTTGAAAATTTCACACAAACAAGGAGGTGCTACTTCATCCACTGCCAAATCCGCCAAATCGAGTAAAATCATTATCAAAAACTTGCCATTCGAAGCTTCTCGTAAGGACATTTTGGAATTGTTTGGTGCTTTTGGTCAATTGAAATCAGTTAGGGTACCGAAAAAATTCGATCAAAGTGCAAGAGGGTTTGCCTTTGTTGAATTCAACTTGTTGAAAGAGGCAGAAAATGCCATGAAACAATTGGAAGGAGTACATTTATTAGGAAGACGTTTGGTTATGCAATATGCTGAACAAGATTCAGACGATGCCGAAGCTGAGATTGAAAAGATGACAAAGAAGGTCAAGAGGCAAGTTGGAACACAGAATTTAGCAGCTGCTAGATTGGCGGGTAAATCAAAAATTGAATTGGAAGAGAAGGATGATGAATTTGAGTAAGATTTTTATAGAGCTAAGATAGCAACGAGCGTTGAAGTAAAATAGAGAAGAAAAAGAAAAAATTCTAATTCACATTTAACAGAGCCTTATCTCACTCCGGCTAGTCAATCTCGTTGCCACCAAGAATGTTTCAAGCATTACGATTTATGAAGCCTAGTCTAGGTCGTAATTACTTATTCAGCAACAACAGCCTTTTATCACTAACGTTTAAAAACGTAAGACAATATAAGAATGTACTGTTCAACTCCAATGTTCAAATCTTGCAATCATCGATGAACCCATGGCAAAGAAACTTCCTAAAGCAGTTTATGAACCAGCAAGCCAAACAATCTCCCCTTAGCAGAAGCCCAACTTGGAAGAGTTATAACCTGTACTATAATAGGTCGAATTGGGACAAGTTGAAAAAGCCTCTATTGTTCACGGTGGCATTTTGTGTGGGCACAACGCTTTTAACTCCTTATTTATACAGCCATACACCCTTGTCAGTGCTCAAGCAGTACCCACAGGCGTTAGTATGGGGAATCATTGCTATAAACGGTGCTGTGTTTTTAATGTGGAGGGTGCCTCAATTACAACGTTTCACCATGCAATATGCAATCTTATTTAAAGATAATATCCAATCACCGTGGACTTTGTTGGGGTCGGCATTTTCTCATCAGAGTTTTGCTCATTTCTTTATCAATATGCTTTGTTTTCAATCATTTGCTGCGTCGTTGGTGGGCATACTTGGTGTGTCAAACTTCACCATTATGTACTTGAATGCCGCTGTTCTTTCATCGTTTGCATCCCTTGCCATTCCCATGTTTTTGGGTAGTTCGTTGGCAGTTGCGTCCCTTGGAGCATCAGGTGCCATATTCGGAGTGTTTGGTTGTTTTTCATACTTGTTCCCCGCTGCACCTGTCGGTATATTCTTTATCCCCGTCCCTGGTGGAGCCTGGGTCTTGTTTCTAGGCACCATGCTTTGGAATGCGGCAGGAACTGTCTTACGATGGGGAACGTTCGACTATGCTGCCCATTTGGGAGGTAGTTTGGTTGGAATTGCCTACGGTTATTACTATAACAAAAAGAGAAGAGAACTGATCCGGAGAAGAACATTAGTATTAGACTTTTAGTCTAGGCTGAATATCCACTTGTATATATATATAGAATTTAGACTCATGCGAAACTCACCTTTTTCTTCTTTGGTCTTGTTTCTTCTACCTCTTCCTCGGCCCTTCTAGCTTTTGCATTCTTTCTTCTGGTTGACCTAGCGACTGAAGCTTTGTTTCTCAACTCGTCCTTCTTTCCATCCAATTTGTCCTTCTTTTGTTGTTCTTTCCTTTCAATCTCCTGTCTCTTTAACTCCCTTATTTCTTCCAACCGTTTAGATTTTTCCAATTTACTCTCATTAACCTCGTCGTGCTTGTCATTTATACTCTTGACCAACCTAGTTAGAGTCAATGTGTCATGGTCATCGACGAACTTCTTGCCCTTTTTACCACGCTTGACCTTGACACCTGGTACTATCGCCCTATTCAAAGTCGGTATATCTAACTGTTCCTCCTTGTATTCTTTACCATTCTTTGCCCCGTATAGCCTTATTTTGGCCTGTTGTTTCTTGACTTGTAATTTAGAGAGCTTCTTAACTTTTGACTTTGGAGTTAATTTTGGTTGATCAGCTAAGAGGTTCCTTGCTGCCGAATCTGATACAATATCTGACTCATTTTCTCTCGTCTTATTTTGAGTTTTATTCCTCTTAGCTGTCTTGGACTGTCTAGGTGCCATTATGCTCTTTGGTGGTGTGGGATGAAGAGTGGATGAACAGAGAGATGAGTTACAAAAAAAAAACTTAAAGAATCAATGTAGAGCGAGGGAGAAGCTTTAGCTTATAAGCACCCATACGAAGAGATAATAAGTATCACTATTATATACCCACTGGATAGTTAAGTTGGCCCCTGCTCTCATGGAACCTAACTATCTGAAAGATACACTACAAAAGTCTCACCCTTTGAGCAAGTAACACTTGTTCAAAATTCTCCAACCGCGGCACCGATGCGTTTGGTCGGCACTAGGACGGAAAAACCGGCCTACACAATAAATTTACTTTTCTCATCACAGCCAAGGGCTCCTATCCGCTGTTGAGGGTATAAAAAAGAACATTGTAGCTTCAATTTACAATTTACTCTAACTCTACTCTCCACTTGACCCTCCACCTTCATGATGCTTACCCTATTTCGACTCGCCAACTTGATACTCCTCGGCAACGGGTTGTATAAATCCTTAACAACTAAACTACCATCTCATTTAATCAAATCAGGCCAATTCTAATTCATTACCAATTGTTCATTATTGCTCACAGTAATCAACCTTGTTTTATCATTACTTAGGCTCAAATCAGTCTGGCTCTACAATTTAGCCAGTAACTTGGAGTTTAATGTTGTTGTATCCTACTGGACTATGGCAGTCTTGTTTCCCCAAATGGTGGCAGAAGACGATGTTGATCGCAACTTGTTCATGGATCTACAAGTACATGCATTCCCTTATGTATATTTGATAATTGATAGTCAGCCAGAACTATCACTAGCTGTATCCACGCTGATTACTTTTGCATTTGTTTTTGTCTATTGGTTGTATATTGAGTGGCAGTGTGGTCAACATATTGCCGATGGTGTTAGTGGTTATCCGTATCCGTTCTTGAAAGGTAAGAGTCAGTGGCAGAGGTTTTCATGTATATCTGTGTTTGCTATAATTGCTTGCTGCAATTGGTTTATTTTGAGTATCAGAAATTGAGGTTGTAAATAAATTTGCAACTTTCCAATCATCTGTTGAACTCTTATTTTTCTCACTCGTAAATAGATTGCCTGATTTTTAATAAACGTCCGCTGCCAACCATCCACATATTACTTTGTCCCTCTGCTCATTAACATGTCCACATACCCTCTATTATTTCATCTAATCTCCCTAGCTGTATGCTTAAGTGGATTATGGGACTGCTTTCACCAACAACTCCCCCAGCATTTACTTAGAGGCGGCCAATTCCAATTCCTCACAAACGTATCACTCATGCTTACAATTGCATATACTATTCTATCATTATTTAATATCAGATGTTTTACATTCTACAACGCAGTGGCTAACTTGGAATTTGCGGTAACAATAACTTACTGGCTGTTGTTGCTAATCTTTCCCCATTTCTTGAATACTAAAACCCTACCACCGACTTTGCAATTAGATTTCAAAATTCATCTTTGGCCGTATTTATATCTCCTTGCTTTGAATGAGAAGGCTAGTATCAAAGGAATCCCATTATCTGGTGCATTGCTTTTAATGTATTCGCTGTATGGTGAGCTAATAGTGGCAACTGATCCCACTGGCGAAAGCAAATTTGCCTATCCTTTTCTCAACAATTGTAGTGTCCCCGGAAGGGCGGTGTGGATGCTTGCAATATGGGCTATTAGTAGTTTAAACTACCTCATAATGAAATTTATAGAGAGGATATAGAATAATAGAATAAACTCACTTTTTCTTTATTCATACCAGGAATAATATTTATCAAGGATATCAAAACTATAAATTCAGCTCATTTTTTGCTTTACTTGGATAAGATAGCAGCGGTTTTCTCTGATTTTTCACCTCTTTCTCTTTCATCCAATGAACTTCTGTTCAACATGTCTTCAAGAGCAACACTGTATGGGGCTTTAGGATCACGTGGATTGTTGACCGATTTAACTGCTGATAAGTAGTTGTTGTAAATGTCACCATTGTACTTACCAATCAATGAGTGGATAATGTTATCTGGTTGCTGGAATGAGTCTGTTAATCCAATAACATATGGTCTAACCTTTAAGCACAAAGCTTGGGGGTAGACATAGGTGATGTACTTGGCAACATTTGGAGAAATGACACCGTATCTCAAGAATTCACCAATAAATGGACCCAAGATGTTTGTGACGTAGTACAACTTGAGAACGTCTTCCAAATGAGGTCTTGCTGGTGACTTGGCGGTGATTTGAGTTTCCAATCTTTCGATAAATGTTTCCAAAAGGTAGTAGTGGCATCTCAATTTAGATAAAACGACTCTTTGTGCACTAATAGCATCCCATGATTGATGAGACATTGGAATCAAGTCCATAGAAGTTTTGGAGATTAAACTTGCAATGGCCTTCAAAACACGATCAGGTTCGTCAACATGGTCCTTGACTCTGATAACTGGTTTCTTAGCCTTAGCCAACTCTGGGGCAGCGTTAAGGAATTCCAAAGTAGAATTCTTGACCTTCTTACCATTCAAAACTTGTTGAACAGTCTTGATAACGGCCTTACCAGCAGCCATTGCTAAAACATTGTTGTCACCTTCCCAGGTACATTGAACTGCCCAATCATTGTATGTTTTACCAAAGGCATTGTAACCAGAGTAACCGTGACCACCACAAGATTGTCTGCACTCGTCAATCAAGTTGGAAGCTTCCCAAGTCAAAGTAGACTTCAATGAACCTGAATCAACAAACATGGACTTGGTGTCAGCTATAGTAGTTTTCAACAACAACTTGTCGTTTGTCTTTAACCCTTTGTCCAAATTGTCCAACAATTGGTTATGTTCAACCTCCAATCTGTCAGTACCAACAGCAGCAGCATAGGTCAATGCCAAGTATGGGAATAATCTTCTCTGGTGCAAAGTGTAGTCAATCAATTGAGTCTCTTGAGGGCCACCGCTCTTGTTGAATTGTCTTCTACCAACAGCATATCTCAAAGCAATGGTGGTGAATCTTGCTCCAATTCTATAAGAATCAGCAGCCATACCAACTCTACCTTCCAAAAGTGAGATGTAACTCAATTGTTCCAATGGTGGCAAGGTCACATTACCTTTACGGTCAACCTTACACCACCTTTGCAACATAAAGAATCTTGGGATTCTAACTTCGGTAAATTGAATCCAACCATTATCAATACCTTGTCTACCCATCTTTGCACCAATATCACCAATAGCAATACCAGGCAACAAGTTGTGTTGTGAGTCTCTCAATGGAACAACAAAAGTCTTGACACCATAGTCAACATCTTTAATGATTAATCTGGCGTAACAAACAGTGTGAGTAGCAGAGTGGGCAGCGCCACCAATCCACCACTTAGTAGCACCAATGTGTGGAGTATCAATGATAAACTCATCTGTCTTTGGGTCAAAAGTAGCTGTAGTTTCACAACCGGCGACATTGGAACCGTGGGCCAATTCAGTCATACCAAAACAACCATACATTTGTTTAATGATGGCACTTTCCTTCTTGTGGGCCCAGAAATCGTATTGTTTTGAGGTACCATTTCCTCTGATACAGTTTAAAAACAACCCCAAGTTGACCGACATTCTAACACCCAAGGATGGGTCAATAACAGTCATCAATTGCATTCTTCTTCTAAATTTTTCATATGGTTCGATTTCAATAAATCTAGCCATCTTGTCAATTCTCTTAGCGACCAATTCTCTTTCTTCCTTTTGAGTAATATCAAAGTGTTCTGGTCTTGTTTGTAAAATTGGGTCACGTTCAATCGATTGGTAAAGACGTAATATTTCGTTAGATTTAGCTTCGTTACCTTCCAAAAATTCGTGAACTTCCTTCAAGTTCCAATCGATGTTAGCTCTTTCCTTTGCGATATCCTCAGCTGGATTAGGAGCTGGGCGTGATGAAATGACATCCTTGACAATTCTAGCATGGGTGTCGGGATCCTTCTTGGTAGCATTGAGGTGAAGATCAGGTGGAAGACTTGTAATAGCCATTGTAACTAAAGTTTACTTTGTAGAAGATATATATATATATGTAAGTTGGAATCAAATAGGTCTTTTATTGGAAAACCTCAAATTATGATGTTAAAAGAAGAAAAGAAGGGAATAAAATTTAAATTAAAGAAAACTAAAGGGGAGAGAATTTTGGCATGATATTTATATACAACAGAAGAAAATGATGTTAGCCTATTGTTTTTTTAATTAAAAAATAAAAATTGAGAGACAAAACGGTGATAATAAAAATTGAACAGACAGAAAGTACAAAGCGTATACCCCTGTAGAAGCATCTTATTATTAAAATCCGAGAAACATACACAACTCCCATATACACGATCCATTTTTGTTTAAATAGACTTGCATTTTTCAAAAATCAGGCGTTTAAGCTTATATTCCACGGATATCATCAATTTCGTAAAAAAAAAGAGCTCTTTGTTTTGTTCTAAGGGTGGGGAAGACAGGTGAAGAAACGAGGGTTGCCAATCAACAAAAGAACGAAAAGTCTGGCACTATGTGTGCAACTTCTTTAAAGTATGGACCTCGAACCAGCTCCGAAAATATTAACCGATTGTAAATCTACAATCGGTTAATCTATCATCACCGAAAACCTTGGGTTTTGGGGTGTTTGTTCAGCGGCAAAATCAGAGAGAAATTGGAATGTATATGGAAATTTTATTCGAAGAGAGAGCGAGATAAAAATCAAAATGTGGGGCAAATGGGTGTCCGCATGTCTGTCTGTCTGATTTTTTTTTTGTCTGTCTGAAATATATATAAAAATATGCAAAACAGAAGAGGTTAGAATAATGGTTGCCGACGGGTCGTTAGGCTCTAATCAATGGACTTAAGGGATAATAACCATATGTCATTTGATAATGTTGTTAGATCATACGATTTTTCTATTACAGCTCTTGGAAAACCATACAGGAAGGGAAATTTAAGTTTCACTATCTTATGAAAAACAAAATCCCTCCCTTAAAAGAGTGAAATTTCCGCATATGCTATTTATCCGCTTAACTTTTTGTGCGCTACCTTCATTATATTCCTCGGTTGAATGTCGGTTAAAAAAACGAAAAGCAAAATTAAAGGAATCAACGGTTTTCACAGCAAAGAACTATGGTTTGAGTCAACTGACTAAAGCACTTTCGTAGCCCCTGTTTCCCATTTGTATACAAAGATGGATGGTTATATCCTGTAGCATAATATGTAGCTCTGTGTTTATATGCATTTTTGTTTCACAGGCTAAATAACGTTACCTTTGTACCGATGCTCATGTCACAACCAAATACCCTAACCTAAGAAAACGAGACTTGGTCTGGTAGTTATACTGCGATATGTTTCTTTTGAGATTTCCATCTAACATTAGGAACATTTGCTATTTAGACTTTTCGCAAAAGATTGATGCAAAAAATTTGGTTGTATCACCAAGTGATTTTATTGGAATGGTCAAGTCAAGTGGCACAAAGAAACAGCCTCTTTGGGTTTTAAATAAACACAGGCCATATTAAGGAAACCACTCCCATATATTGAGATTTGTGTTTTGCTTACTAACTATGAGACTGACTGCAGCTTCAGCAGAAGGTGAGTTCCAATCCATGTGTTTAGACAACCACATTCGTGACAAATGTGGGGTTTACTCTAGTTTTACCATCACGGGGCTGTAGTTTATAACAGTATTGTCTCTTTTGGATAGAGAGTTTGAAATTGTAAGCATAGACTATTCAAAAAATGCTTTGGGTGCAAAAAAAAAACAAATACAATTTCCATATAGAGTTAAAACTTTCGCTAAAATTGACGAACAGGGTAATAGCATAAATTGTGTTGTTAATTCTAAGCCAAGTTTTCCAATATATTCTCCTGGTAGCTTAGTTGGTTTAAAGCACAAGACTGTAAATATTTCCAGATTTTGTAATCTTGGGATCGGGCGTTCGACTCGCCCCCGGGAGATTTTTTTTTCCAAGTGAACTAATTTGTTTTTGTTTTTTAAGGTTCTTATTTCTTCTTTCGGGTTTCAAAGACCTGGAACGTTCCTCTATTGAAGCTTCTCTGTTGATTTACCATCTCATATAGTTGAGTATTAAGGTAGGTACATGGGAAGCTTTTTCTTTTCCTGCTAGTGCTCCTTTATTTTTGCAATCACTTGAACTGCTTCATGAAAAATAGAGGTATGGCTATAGACGGCGAAGCTTTCTCTAAATAAGAATCCAACTTCCAGCAACTTTAGTTTACTGTCATGATAAATGGTCTCTATCCACTTCCAGTTTTACAATTAATGTTTTATCTCTCGTAGAGGTACTGGTAAATGCTCTTTTACAACAAAATTAGGCCTGCAGGATAAGGTAGTACGGGCCACTTTTCTTTTCTTTTTCCTTATCAATTAAAGGGGTCTCCATGCAGCCTCCTTGCTGCAACGGTTACAATCAGGGCGTCGTCGGACCAAAACCTGAACTAAATAAAAAACAAACGTACCTCACTAAATCAGGTACTGATTTACTCTCTGTAAGCACCTGCCTCAATAATATCACAATTTTTAGTTGCTGTGTTTCTAAACTCCAAACCGTGGTTTTTGGTTCGGTTTTTGGTCCGCAGCATATGTGTATGTGTGTATGTCGCGCGTAAAATCTTACACTTTGCACTGCATACATACATACATTATTGTTTTATTGTGTTGTGTTTATTATTATTATTATTACACGCTCTATTTACAAACAAAAAGATGTACAATGCACAAAGTATTAAAAACCTCGAGGCAAAATAATAATAAAGGTGTACACATAAATGTTTATAAATATTCCGGACGAAAATATGCGGGTAGGAGGGAACTGCTACAACAACCGTGTTGTTGTATGATATGCTTGACGGATTGTTAATGTGTATAAAGTCTTTTCTTTTTTTCTTTTCTGCCTAGCAGCTTTATTCATCCGGAGTGGGACAGTTGAGGTCTCTCAAACAGCAGCATATCTTCATCGCTTGAACTGGACATGACATTCTCTTGCTCGTGACTTAGTTGTTGTTGTGGCTCCTTCGGCTGATTGGAAGGCAAAGAGCGGTGTTTGTGGTGGTGTATGTGGTGTTGTTTAATGGACAGACCTGTTGCTGTTGATGCAGCTTCACCCAGTTGTAAATTGCTATTCAAATGATTCAATATTTGATCCATTTTATCTGCCGTTTCTGCTCGTAGATTCTTGATCTCCTCTTTCATCGATGATATATCTGACTTATACTGAGACTGCAGTGCTAAAATCTGTTTGAGTACTGCTTGTGTTGCATTCTGTGCTTGAACCAGTTGTTGTATAAGTGCTCGAATTTGTTGAGGTTGTGTCAAGCTTTGTGATTGTTGTTGCAGTTGTGGCTGTTGTGGCTGTTGTTGTTGTTGTTGTTGTTGTTGTTGTTGTTGTTGTTGTTGTTGTTGTTGTTGTTGTTGTTGTTGTTGTTGTTGTTGTTGTTGTTGTTGTTGTTGTAATTGCGACGATTCTTCACTCGTCAGGTATGGCTCAGATAGCAGCTTGTTATCTAGACGTGCTGGTGGTTGAAAATTCGGCTGTGACGAGTACTGATTTGGCTCGTAGGTCGCATGCTCAAATTGTGGAGTTGTAATGGACATATGCCTAGCCCTTGTACGTGCCAGATTAGTTGTTTGTTGAGGTGAAATGGCCGAGGAAGGGTTACTCGAGCTCGTCGACTTCAAGTACGGAGTTTTGAATGCGCTTGAGGGCTCTTCAACTGTTGGGGAAAACAATGCATGTTGTGAGAAGTTGGAGTGAGGTCCGATTGTGCCTGGCTGTAGACCTTGTTGTTGCTGCTGAAGATTTTGACGAGGATTTTGTTGTTGTAGGCCATCAAACATCCCCAGTGAATGTCCCGGTTGAATAGCTTCAGATGCCACGTTTAACTGGTGGGTCTCCAGCGGTTGTTCTTGGGGAAACAACGGCTGCTGTTGGTACAAGTTTTGCTGTAATTGTTGGGCAGCTGCAACTTCATGCAGCAAGACGTAAGGGTTCCTTATTTGACTTGCTCTATTGTTGTACGATAGCGGGCCTTCTCCTAGCATACTATGATTTTCAACAGATTGAGCATGGTTTGATAATAGCTCAGCACTGGAGTAGTCACTTGAATCACGGTTCTCTTGATGCGATCCCGTTAACATTGATGATGGAAGAGAGCTATTTGAAGTGCCTGTTGTATAACCACCCTTGCTCCTAGGTTTATAACCAGCAGCAGCGGTTGCAGCGGTTGCAGGAGCAGCAGTAGCTGCTCTATCAGAATGATCCAGACCACGTGAATCAGTTGATGACCGTGTCGCTAGAAAACTCGCCACGTCACCTGTGCCCAACGAAAAAGGATTCGTTGAAGTGTAATTATTCTTGTACATGTAATCCATGATATCAATCAATAACTTTTCATTTTCATTAAGATTCATCTGTTGTATTGGCTGATGTTCATGAACAAGTTTGTTCTCCAAATTCTTTCTCAATGTTTGGAAACGATGGTTTATCGTACGACTTTGTATAATTTTGGCGTTGTACTCATCATTGAATTCAGATAAAACGGATTCCCAAGTTTTGATTCGGTTCCCTCTTGTGAATATATCTTCCTTGTATTTGTGTATTAGTGATAACAAATAGTTTTCGGAATCGTATGTAAACTGAAAATTACTTCGCTTGTTTTGTTGTTTTGAAACAAATGACTGTGACAGTTGAGAAAGGTTAGATTCGTCTTGATTCATAATAAGGATCACCCTTCGCTTTATCTTCTATGTTCTTTTCTTTTTTCTTCTTTTACCCTTATTTTTTGTCTTTGATTTTATAACTTTGCTAAATGTTGATAAAATTGATCGATTGTTTTTGTTTTTGAGTTGATTTCGAGGTTGGAGTTGTCGTGGTTTTTTTTTATACCAGATTTCTTGACACACACTATGCTTACTAGGGAATGATAAATGATCTGTGGTCAAATGAGATGGTTTGGGAGTAATTAGTTATTTGCCTGGTGAAATATAAAACTCATCCATCTGATAGGGTTAGCATGAAAATTAGTGATGTGAGTGATTTTGGTGAAAAATTATTTGATGATTTCGTTGGGTATAAATACCCACACTTACATACGCCAGAATCATGCATTATGCAAAAGCTCTTAAAATTGAATTGTAATAAATGTTTTACTTTTCTAATATGCAAGAAAATCTATGTGAAAAGAGTAAACAATAGGTTGGATGCAAAAGGGTAGAGCGGGCTTTCAAAGTGTGCTTGTATACGACTGTTGTAATTTGCGAACACAAAACTTGAATAAACACTAAGTTATGTGCGAATGATTATAATTCTTAGCGCATACTCTTTCGAAAATTGGAGAGTTTGCGCTGATGTTCGTGGTGTCTGTCACAAGCTCGTATGCTATTACCAATGGAATAAAGTAAAAATAAAAATAAAAACAAAAATAAAATTTAGACTAAAAAATAAAAAATAAAAATAATATTTATATCGTTTGTGTAACCAATGGTTTGTTTTTTGCAAATGACTTAATAGTTTACATGCTTTCTTTCCTTCCATCCATTTTTCATAAAAGCGTGAAGAACCTTGCTTCCGGAAATAAAATTTCATCATGATACTGCTAATACATAAGGAAAACCAGGTTCCAATAGGACAGTAATCTAAGTCCCATTTCTCTGGTGTTGCCACCCATATATTTGTGGCTAGTGTACTTCGGAACTCCAGCGGCCAGAAAATTAAATTTCTGGTATCTAATCCGATTCCCGTGGAAGGGTTTGGGTTATCCGCCAAACACAACACCCATGTGAAAGTCCACTGTCTAAGGTGTACACTTAACAAAATATGAGATGAAAGTGTCTGATATTCCACGACCTTCTATGCATGAGACAATAGTAAATATAAGTTGAGCCTATCATTTCTTTTCTTTTCTTGTTTTCTCCTTACTAATTTCTTTTTGCTAAGTGGTATCGATTATGACCCTTTTTTGTGTGTTGTTAAGAAATGCCTGTTTACTGGATTGGGACATAAGCGCTTTGACTTTGAAGAAGACGCCTTATTAGTGAAACCACATTTTTGCAGCCCCTATTTCTGCAAAGAAGTTTCCTAACAGTAGATACTTCTAACCGTTCAAAAAAGATGACACTTGTCTTTGGTTTGAGATAAAACCAAAAATATATTTCTTTTTCTATTTTAGTCCTTTTTTTACTCTGACCACAAAACCAATTAATTATTATTATTATATACTTATTTTATTACTATTATTATTATTATTATTATTTTATGTACTTGGTATTATTTTTTTTTAATTTTCTTGAGGGCATTAAATGCCGATCTTCCTAACGGATTTAGCAATTGCGATTTTGTGACAAAAGTTTAAATCAGAGGTAACTTTTGGATAAGGTAAAATGCGACACCTTTCAAGAATCTTCCAGAAGATCAAGGAGGATAATAGTTACAGGCGAGTCCTGTGCATTCTAAAGTTTTGTTTTTGTCTTTCAGTTTTCGAGTAAACATAGTTAAGGATGGATACGCCTGTCACTTTGACTTTGTGAGAAATATCTCGTACTTCTGTCTTTATACGACGTAACACCTTTTGCTGTCGCCTGTCGAGACTCATCTCTATTCTTTCTAACTTTTTTTTCTGCTTTTATTTTGCTTTACCTTACATCAGAAAAGGGTCTTTTGCTCCGTTATTTGCGTGAAAACTTGAAACCGTGAAGTTTCAGCAAACGTATGACAACGTAAGATTACCGAAACCACTGATTTCAGCCTTTTCTCTTTCTTCTTTCTGTTTTTCTTTTTTCTTTTTCTTTTACGTAAATGTTCTATACATGTCTTACAATAGAGCTAGCTTATGATCCTGTGCTCTTCTAGTTTATTCTTTGAGGTTCGATAAAAAAAAACTAATAAGCGGACTGACTTTAAAGGTCACACATTCATGCAGGTTTAACCGACGTGCATTAATCTATACGTGCCTCGGAAATAAATGTCCGACACCACCCCCAAATATTCCCTATGGAGTCATATTCCCAATCTTTATTGCCGGATATAACTTCATTACTTTAAAGAAGCTACCCATGTAGAATATGTTGTACTCTTCACTTTTTGCAATCATCTAAGGCGGATGAATGGATATGACATAGAAGAAAAGCAGGAATGAAAACCAGTTAATGCCCGGACTCTGTTGTCTCACCATTTTCATAAATTTTACACACATTTTAGGTACCTTTGTATAATGTGGATTATACTGAGTTTAAGTTATTTAAGCGAATTTAGTTTTTCCGAGAGGATCAAAGTTTAACTTAATTTCGATTTTTTTTTGTTCACACGAGTGGAATCTGGGGTTGGTGACGTGGGAAATAGTATTAGCTGCCGCTGCATCGTAATATGGTCCTTGCAAGGTGATGCAAGGATATAAGAAAAGTACAACACTGCTGCTAAGTTGCAACAAATGGGAACCCTACCCTGAATCATTCAATATATTTTAAACTAGTTACTTACAACGTAATTAGGCAACTCTGACACCAGCTTTAATTCTAGTTTTGGAATCATCACATTGTCAAATGCCAATTGTAAAGTTATCAAATCGCCTGATAACTAATCCTTGTAGTCCAGTGTGTATTGGCCGCAAGGCGGCTATGTTTTCTGTCATATTTGATGCCGGACCAAACCCCATATTGAACTACATGGGGGTCTGAATCGACTAATTATGCAACATGCGCAATAACCATCTGGATTCTTTGAATTCAGAGCTAAGGTTGTAACTTGAAGCATGACGCAAATTACAATTCTATTCATGCGCGTTGTTTGCGAAACACAAAAATGGAACAAGAAAAACAAAGAAAGCAAACAATTGTTCAAACAATTGAATAGAAGGTGATGGTAGATTGATAGTTACATCATCCTTCATGTCGCCAGAACATTCGCACCGATACACTAGGACGTTTATTGATAGTCAGTTGAGCCTTCTACGGAAACCATTAGTCATAGATGAATCTGTTTCCGAGGTACTATCAAATCAGGAAAGTGGAATAAGTCAATCTCAATTACAAGACATCCTCAACAAAGTCAATGCGTCATTGAATACTAGGTATGATGAGATATTTTCACCTCAGCGGAACAACCAGGTAATTGAGAGGGTCGCAGGAATGGAAATACAAAATCTACTCAAAGTTGATCAGCAAATCTTCAAGATTCATAATCAGTTGCAAGATTTTGATGTATCTGGTTTCAACACCTCATCAACAGATGAATGGAGAATAAAACTTCAAAGACTAGGCGAAATGATCAGAAACTTACCAGAGCCAAAATACCTTTACTTATTAGACAATGGGGGTAATTTACATTACCTGGAGATGAAACCTAATACAGATTGCAGTGAACGGGTCAATATAGCATTGCTGCACCAAAATAACTGCCGCCAAAATGAACAGGTACAGTCTGAGCGTAGCACAAGAAAAATAGAGTTAAGTAGTCTGTCGCCAAAGTCCAGCCTGTTGAAGGTGACAGATGGTGAACTCGTGGCTGAATTGCTAGCAAAGTACACCAGGTTGAGGAGTAAGTTAACCACGTTGAGTGATACACTACAGTATAATTTTGATAAATTGGAATATCTCCGAGGGTTGAATACCAAGATGAATGAAACGTTTAGTGCAGAGAAGCAACTTACAGACTCGACAGCCAATAAAGATGAGAGCCCCTGTTTTGACAACTTGCAAGAAGAATTTGACAGGTTTAGGATACTTGTGGAAAAGATTGCATACAAGTCTAGTCTAGAGGATCTACGCAGCTCGTAGCTCCAAAAGGCTCATTTTAGACGGTCTACGCCATTCAGCTACAATTATTTTAGTTCTATTATCCATTAGTGAAATTTTTCATGCACATCTTATACTAAGCATTTACACATTACACACTCTCCTTAATCGAATAAACCGAAACCCATGTCATCATCAGATTCTTCCTTGGCTTCTTCCTTAGCTTCTTCCTTGGCTTCTTCATCAGCAGCACCACCGGCAGCAGCGGAGGCACCTGAACCTGAAGCAACAGCAGCACCACCAGATGGAACTGAAGCCAACTTGGTGTTACCTTCAGCAATCAACTCGTTGATGTCTTTACCTTCCAAATCTTTCAACAAGGTAGATAATCTTGATTCTTCAATTTCAACACCAACAGATTCCAATAAAGATGAAATGTCTGAGGCAGATGGGGAGGCGTTACCACCTTGGACCAACAATAAGTAAGCAGCTAAGTATTTCATTTTTTATGTATGATGAGTAGAATAATCACTTTTAAGCAAATAGGTTATGCAGACTATCCTTTGGTTTGTTGAAAAGAGATCTTTCTAAGAAGATGCGTTTGGGATATCTTTTGGTGATATTTTTCATTTTTTTTTCCTCTGTGGTTAGGGCAAGGAAATTCTAGTGTGGGAAAAGAGTTAATAGAGCACGTGCAGGAGTATAGGGCTTGAAATCAATATAAAATGCTTGATCTATGTGCAGTACTTAGTACCATTGATTGGTAGCACAAAACATTTTTTTTTTCTCTTCCTTAACTATGTAATCAATATTCACACAGTGTGTAGAGGAGAGAGAGAGAGTGAGAGAAAAAGATTTTTAATTTTCAAAATTTCAAAAACCTCTTTCGAATAATATACCAACAACGACAGCATAGAACATGGTTGACGCTAGTATGTTTTAGAAATCATATTATGATATTATTAGGAGGAAATCAAAAATGGATAGCAGAGACCAGGAGAGGACAAGAGAAGAATATCGACGAAGTTTATATAAAGAAGGGAGAACATATTGATTAAACACAATTTTACCACTCATCCATTTGAATGATCAAAGAACAGTACTGTCACATAGCTGGAGCTTAGCCTATACCCTGTGATGTTATTCTCTTCCTCCAGAGCTATATCATTTTCTACCTTATCCACAACACAATTACTAACTATTCCTCTTTTAGCTGAAAAAAAGAAGAGAACATTCAAGCAATTCTCCTTCAAGGGTGTTGATTTAAAAGACTTGGTTGAAATGCCAACCGAAGAATTCACCAAATTATGTGGTGCCAGAGTAAGAAGAAGATTCTCCAGAGGTTTGGACTCAAAGCCAATGGGTCTCATCAAGAAATTGAGAGCTGCCAGAGCTGCTGCTGAACCAAACGAAAGACCAGCCATCGTCAAGACTCACTTGAGAAATATGATTGTTGTTCCAGAAATGATTGGTTCCGTTGTTGGTGTTTACAATGGTAAAGTTTTCAACACTGTTGAAATCAAACCAGAAATGGTTGGTCACTACTTGGGTGAATTCTCAATTTCTTACACTCCAGTTAGACACGGTAGAGCAGGTAACGCTTCATCAAGATTCATGCCATTGAGATAAAGGGTAAATACGTATACTACGCAACCTTTTTTTTCCCAAGAACAACACAATGTATTGATCTGTTTGTCCGGTTTGATGCATTTAAAATTTTTTTAAAACTTTGTAATTTATAGTCAATAGGGGTTTTAATCAACACAAACTTAGTAAAAGTAATCTAGTGTAGATCAGTGTATGGGGTCGGGAGGTTATTTGCATGGAAGCTCTGAATTAGCAAATGCGATGAAATTTAGTGGAAAAAAAAAATTGGTGTTGAGACATCTCACCGTTTGTCGTCGGTACACATACAATCGCCAATCATGCCTACAGATACAAAGAGAGTTGATGCCGATGCATCAGAATTACTCTCTAGTCTTTCTTTAAACAAACTGGAAAATAAAAAGGAAGAATCAAAGTCGGAGAAGGCACCACCATCGACTAAAGATAAGTCGCCAGTGGAAACCGAGCCATCGAGTGATTCGGCACTTGCTAGTTCAGCTGACCCCAAACCCGATGAGAACAAGAAGGATACATCCGAACCTGAGTCGAATTTAGTGTCCAGTCAATATGAAGTGCAGGTGAAATTGGCCGATTTGCAAGCCGATCCAAATTCACCTTTATATTCAGTAAAATCGTTTGATGAACTAGGACTCAAACCTGAATTACTCAAAGGTTTGTACGCCATGAAATTCAACAAGCCATCCAAAATTCAAGAAAAGGCTCTACCATTATTGATTTCTAACCCTCCCAAGAATATGATTGGACAATCGCAATCAGGTACTGGGAAAACAGCAGCATTTTCATTAACAATGTTGTCACGAGTCGATGAAAGCATCAAAGAACCGCAAGCTATATGCTTGGCACCTACAAGAGAATTGGCAAGACAAACGATGGAAGTTATCACCACCATGGGCAAATTCTCCTCAATAACTACGCAATTGGTGGTCCCCGAGCTGGTTCCTAGAGGACAGGCAGTGCATGCTCAAATCATTGTTGGAACGCCAGGTTTGGTTAATGATTTGGTTAATAGACGATTGATCAATATTAGTAATCTAAAGGTCTTTGTCCTTGATGAAGCTGATAATATGTTGGATGCGCAAAACTTGGGTGACCAATGTCTTAGACTTAAAAAGAGGTTACCTAAAACCACGCAATTGGTGTTGTTTAGTGCTACATTCCCCGATGAGGTTAGAAGGTATGCTGAAAGATTTGTCCCCAATGCAAATTCGTTGCAATTGAAACAAGAAGAGTTGAATGTTGCTGGTATCAAACAATTGTACATGGATTGTCGTTCAGAGGATCATAAGTTTGAAGTATTGTGCGAATTGTATGGATTGTTAACGATTGGATCATCAATTATATTCGTTGAAAAGAAGGACACTTCCGAAAGATTATGGCACAAGATGAAACAAGAAGGGCATAAGGTGTCATTGTTGCACGGTAGTTTAGAAGCAAGTGAACGTGATCGTTTAATTGATGATTTTAGAGAAGGTAGATCAAAGGTATTGATTACAACAAACGTTCTTGCCAGAGGTATTGATATCGCGTCCGTTTCCATGGTGGTTAATTATGATTTACCGGTAACAGGGCCAGAAAGAAGAGCTGACCCTTCAACTTATTTGCATAGAATTGGAAGAACGGGTAGATTTGGGAGAGTTGGAGTGTCCGTTTCATTTGTAGCTAGTGAACGTGACTTGAAGGTATTGCAAGCAATTCAACAGTATTTCGGTGGTATTGAAATGACTAGAGTACCTACTGATGACTGGGATGAGGTTGAGGAAATTGTCACAAAGGTTATAAAGAGTAAATAAATAAAGTCACATTGTATATGCTTGATTGACTTGTAGAGTTCTTCTTCTATGGCCTGTATTGAAATCTATTTACACGGTGATTGCTTGTTTCGACCTATTGGGTAATCTTCTCAACACCACATCCCAGTCAATACATTCCCAACAATTTTCCAAATATTTTTGTTTACCAAACACACCATAATCTAACAAATAGTTTCTTGGTGATGCGTCAATTGACAATGCCGGGATTAATTTTTTATTCAAATACGATGTTTCCAATTCTGCTTGTTCAGCAGTACCCAATTTCAACGCATTTGGTTCAAATTCTTCATTTACTTTCTCTTCTTTAACGTCACTCTCTTCGACATCATCTTCAGCGGGATTACCCTCGCCCTCACCTTGCAACATACTCTTTATACGTCTAATTTGACCAGATCTTTCTGAATCATCAACAGTGCCACCATTATATGTCACAACAATGGCTAAATTGTGAAATGTTGGTGTTGAAGTGAATCCAGAGATGGCTCCACTGCCTGGACCTCTATTCAAATAATTCTGTCCAATAGTCAGCTCAGCAACTAGCCACACCGACCCATCTCCCTTGATTGCTTTCGCCGTGTTTATCAACAATGTACGAAACTCAACCACTGATCCAAAAGAGTGGTTAATCCAATCGAGTAAAACTTCATCTGTGGGCACATTGTCAAAGGAGTCGCCATTGGGAGTCTCCAACAAGCTCAGAGCATTAGGTCTGACAGTCTCAAAGGGAACTTGCTGTTGCAAAGGTCGTAAATTTTCAAAAAATTGGTGAAGATTGTGCAACTTCGATGCATTTTTATGTATATGGTATAATTCCGGCTTATTGATGGTGGCAGCAACAAGTTCGGGTAAAGTGTATGACTTGTCCTCCAAGTTTGACGCTTGAATCATATGTTGATTCAAATTCTGAATTAATTGATTACCCTGTTTAAACCATAATTGATCCAAGGCTGAATGAGAAAAGAGGCCCTCGAAATTGGCATTGGTGGCTTTTAGAACCTCTAGGGTCTTGTTGACTGGGAGCGAAAATGAACCAGATATCGACCTAGTAAACTGTAGTCCCACTGGGATCCTCTTTGTCGTTAGACTTCTATGGAGCATGTCTTTAATGAGCTTCAGGTGTAGTGTGGTGTGGTGTGGTGTGTGTGATGTATGGTGCAATTTTTTTTTTCCTCCTACCTTTTGGTGGTGAAAAATTATTTCAAAGGTCTCTCTGTGTAAGCTTTTTGACTCTCTTCTTTATTAATATAACTAAAACCTATACAATATAAAACTCATACATATAAAATTGGTATCTTCAACAAAATAAAAAAAAACATAAAACAAACGCTTTAGCAAAATGTCATAAATAAAGTAACGTACACTAAGCTGGATTATCTATAACTTGCGGGGGAAGGGCAAAATCCAATGGTAGTGTGCTTGGCAACTTCTCTACCTCTTTACCTTCAAACTCTTGACTCTTCTGATTAACGAGTTACCTCTTGACGGTTTCAAATCGTCGTCATCTCCGGTATCTATGTCCAACGCATTCAACGAGCCTCTTCTGACATTTTCACCGCTATTTCTGTCATCGTTGGAGTTTCTTCTCGATGTGTTGGAAGACCCGTTACCTTTGAATCGTTGCACCAACGACTTTTTCCTACCCAACCCTCCACTTGGTGGTGCTAAAAAATCGTCAGCACCTCTTGGAGCTGGAGCTCCATCGAGGAAAGTAGTTGACCCTAAACCAGCGGTTGTTGAACCATGAACTGGCTCTGCTTTTTGGGTCGAGTCGAAATTGATTACTGATGGATTTTGCTTAGGTGTGTAGATACTTGTTTGGGGGTCGTTTGACACTCTGTTGGTTTTTATCAAAGGTACGGCCTCTTTGCTTTCGGCTTTAGCGTGGCTTTTTTCGCCATCAAGTTTGCTATCATTAGCCTCATCATAGCCAAATGCAAGATTCATTTGTTGATTTTTATCAAAGTTACCTGCACCAGCAATGGAGTTATTAGGCCCATCAGCGGGGAAAGCCATGACAGGAGCCTTCTTTGAATTCTTGTTTCTATGTGGTGTACAAGCGTCAAACGGTCCATCATGGTGGAAGCCACCGCCGAAAAACCCAGTGACATCCAACTTATCAATAGTGTCCATATTCTTTGCTGGTACTACTTCTGGCTTACGTTTACTTGGTGACTTGTTCCTTGAACTAGATGATTTGTGGTGGCGCGACGACGATGATTTACGGTGGCTTCTGTGATGGTGGGAGTCTGAATGTGAACGATGTTGCCTTGTTGAATGTGACGACGAGCCTGGCTCTTTTTCTCTTCTATACTCTCTCTTGGCAGCTTCAGGGCCAGCAGCTTCTTCGTACGATGGTGGGGCGAATTCACCTTCTGCTGGTTTTGGGGGACGTGCTGGTGGGGTATTGGAGTGTCTAGGTGGGGAAAGTTGCGGCTCGCGTTCGCGTTGAATTTGAGGCTGGACTAGCTCTTCTGGTTCATTTGCAGATGTAACGAATGGATTATTAGACTTCATGGCTCTGGGAGAAAGAAAGTTTGTTAGTATATGTTGTGTATAATAGTATCTTTAGCGTTTGTTTGTCGTTTGGAATAAAAGAAATGGTTGAGTCGAGGTGAACGATTGTATTTCTGTTATTTTTAGCTTTTTCTTTTTTTTTTTATTTGTTTTTCTTGCTTCTGTTTTTCTGTTGTCTGTTGTCTGTTTTGACTTCTCTCTATCAAAAAGACAACAAAACAGGGAAAGTCACAAAATTCCCAGTGGAAACAAATTAAGATTGCTCTGCTGGGAGGAATATCAAGCCAGTTTATAGCGTTTTGACAGATGGAATGTGGATGTTATACTTGAAAAGATCTCATCATATGACCTAATTCGTGATATGCTACCGTGGGCTTAGCTGTGAAATAGCAAGCGTAAATCTATGCACTATGTACATAATAAAATGTATGGTTGATTGATAGCTTTGCCCCTTTTTCTTTTTCTTGTTTTTGTCTGGTGCCAAAAAAAACTATTGAGACAATAAAAATAAAAAATAGAACCGCGCATTGTGGCTATGGATTTAAAGACTCACACGCAAAAAAAGTAGCAAAAGACACTGAACTGGATGACTCGGAGATGACACTGGGCTACTTGGAGATAACATTGTACACCATCCCTTGTTGTAATTTCAGCAAAAGCAACAAAGAAAAGATTAGTGTGTTAGCACTCCAAGAGAAGCCTTGTTGTTTGGAGTCACACCTGTTGACTTCCACCCCTCTTTTTATTCCAAACAAACGCTAGATGGAAATAGTTAGTAAAATAGTACATACCTGTTTGAGTAACTGACGCTTGAATCACTGTCTGATCTTATTGCTTGTGGCTTGATTGGTCTTGAATAGCCATTACTTTGATGCTCATTAAAACTGCCCACATATTGTGGCCCCTGGTTAGTAGCACTACCCCCACTGTTGATTCTACTATACCTCCTAGCGTTTTTACCATGACCACCAATGTTACTATCAAGGGAGGCGTTATTATTTTGATAATAGCTGAGAATCTTGTTTGGACTTACTTGGGAATCAGTTTCAGGGTCACCATAAAGTTCTTCATCGTCACTGCCATCAACAAGCTGTCTATTCTTAGCCACCCATTCATCGAAATGAGCTGACGATGTTGATTGGTTACTCAAGGTTGATGCCTTGCGAGGACTATGAGCATAATGTTTAGCTAGTATACTATTATGACTATTATTTGCATTTTGGTATCCCAAACCATGTTGAGGCATTTGAAGCAGCAGCAGAGACGATTGTGGTTGAATTGGGGCTGGAGATGGTTGGTATTGTCTAAATGGATTGTTGGATGACAATCTACGCAAAGAATCGCTTGACGAGTACGAATGATTTGGTTGTTGATACATTATGGCTTGGTAGAGCTCTTTGGGAGAAAGGAGTGATTATCAATAGTGTAGTGATGGGCTGGGTCTATATCCTTTGTTGCTGTTTTGGAGTTAAAAATTTTGTCTGACAATAGTTGTGTAGTGCGTAGTCGAAGGTGGGAAAAGTGCGTGTAGAATACTAATGAATGGAGTCTAGTTTATTTCTCTTGTATATTCGACTTGTATGTCTCCACTGGTATAACCTGCTCCTTTTTCTTTTGATTGCTTAAGGAATAAAAAAACACCAAGACGTGTGATTGATTTTGAAAATGAATTGGAAAAAGGATTAGCAGATTTCAGAGACGAAAAAAAAAAAGAATTTAATTTTTTTGTTTTAATGAATTTTATTTTTTGTTTTAGATTCAGTTTATATACAGTACATAGTAGGTAATAATATCTCCTCAAATCTACTCATGGACAGGAGGGAGGTGCATTTGATAATGTAATTGCATAAGCAAAGAGTGTGAATTTCCACTTGCAAGACATGTGTGAGATCAATCTTTGCGTGTTCATAAAAAACACAACTTCTAACAAGGAAGTGTATCACTTAGACAACAGGGAATAACTAATTCGGTTTAAAAGTGTGTCAACTCGCGTTCAGCGGGATATAAATTTGAGTCTCATCAGAGCTATAAGTACTAGCAACCCGAGGTAGTCTCTTCACTTTCTACATGCTGAACTCGTAGAACCACTAAGTTGATCCACCAGAGACAACTATGCATATATCAAACTAGAAATAGAGTTTATTACAACTAAGCCATTCCATGTGTAGGCTAAAGCCGTTTACATTACATTTAGCCACTACGCGTCTAAATAAAACCATTAACTCTCGGTTCTAGATCCCCTTGAGCCGCCTCGCCCCATAATTTTATTTCGTGCCACACGTATTAACATTTCGCTTCTGCTTTATTCAAACGCCTTAGATTGTTCTATGACAAATTTGACAGTTGTTTAATTAATTTATTCCCAAAGGAGGTGTGTATTATTAACAAATGAAATTGTGTAGTTTTTGTGGCATATGACACGCGTTGATTTTGATCTTTTTTTCCCTTTTCTGAAATATTTTCTCTATTACGTAAGAACTTACTAAAGTAGAACATAAATTTGGTCCTGTCGTCACAAGGCACTTTACGACATTGTGTTTTTACTGTCAAATGGTTGCAAACACCGCACAGAGATAGCTAAAGAATGTTGGTTTCTGTGGTTATGCTTCGTCGTATTGTAGCTTAATGAGGTAGCAAGTACTGAGTGGTACAGTTTAACACGAGCTCACAAAATGTGAGTAAGCCACAGTTCAATACATTTATGTCACTACCGAGAATCGATTCTACCTTAAGCAATGTAAAAAGGACACAGTTGCCACCAACTCCTGGTTGTAAGAGGGGGGGCTTAGAATGTGCGTTGAAGCACCTGTATCAAGTTTCAACAAATATAAAATTTAATAAATAAAAATAAAACAAAGATAAGAAGCTACAACAAAGAAACACACTACAGCTTTCAACTTCCTAAAAAGAACTCCACGTCCAATCAGTAGGCATATCACCAGCAACACTTATTCGGCGTTCACTCTCAGTACAAACATCATTACTTTCAGTTCCAATCCCCCCATTTTTAGGACTACATATACTCAATCGCTTGAAATTAAACGTTGTTGTATCGCAGCCAAACATTTTGCCATCTTGTATGTAGGGATTCTCGACCACAACATATGGAGTGTTTACAATGCTTGAATCCCTTTCCACTCTATCGAGTAAATTAGTAACGTTTTCTGGATTACTGATCTCAGCGACTAGCACCAGATAAAGAGTAGTGCACTTGGGACATGTCTTGAAGCGAGGCAAAGACGCAAGGTTGGTAGAAGTTGCTGTTGTCACTGGGATAATAAAATTGGCATTTTTATCAATTATTGGCTTCATTGTTGCGACGGTACTGGTTTGTTGTGAATTTATGGTTGCTACTAAAGATGCGGTTGATGAAGATCCTGTTGTCGGCGTATTTGAAGTTTGTGTAGGATTTAAGCACAGCTTACAAAAGACCAATCCGCAAAAGCGACAATGATGACGTTTCGGCACGTCATATATCATAGTGACAAGCGAGCTGTAAAATGGACGAAGGCACGACATGCAGGCTTTGGTTGCGTTGTTTGGTTGCCAATGATGGTGACTTGGCTCAATGCCAATGTTAAGAGCTTGTTGCTCTACTGTAAATATTGTGAATTTTGATGTAAAAGCTTTAGCATTTTGTGGTTGAGTAGATTGCAGCTTGGGCCAACAAGGTTGTGGGTGGATTACTTCTTGGGGCGGTAAATACTGGCATTGCTCCTGAATTGGCTGAGGTTCTGCTCTCAAAACTGCCGGTGTCAACAATGGCTTTTTCATTTGGTACACTTGGTTCAACTTTTGCTTCAGATCCTTGTGATATAACTTTGGGAAGCTTACTTGATTCTTGAGCCGAGCAGAGCTATTTCCTTGCATAGATGACAAACTACCCTCCTGCTGAGTGCTGTTCAGTGTAGTCAAGGATTGAAGTTTATTATTTTCATAAATGCAATTGTTGCGAGTATATTCCTCAAGTAACCTGATTTCATCATTCAAAGTAACTTTATTTGGTGTTGAATAGCGTCTTATCGGCTGATTCAAATCAAAAAAAGCCGGTTTGTACCCTTCGTCAACAGCATAGTCTTTTACATCCTTAATTAATACTTTAGCTTCCTCCTCCTCCTTTACCGCCGCCGCCGCCGTTGCCATCTCAAACGATTCATTGCTGTTGTTAATTGGATTATATACGTAATTATTGGTTTTCATCTGAGGAAACCTGATTTGTTGGTCGTAGTCATCAAGTTCAATGTGCTTTGGCAATTTGTGGTGCAGTTTGTCAAATTGAGATTGTCTTGGAGGGTTCTTTTTACCGAAACTTGTTGTAATATTCAGCATTATTTTGTCACTAAAGTTTCTTTTATCTTCTATGGGCTTTTTCAGAAATGAGAATGGCGGAAGTTCAGCAGATTTGCAATTCTTGGCTTCAAGGTTGTTCGAAATACCATCAGTCTCTTCATACAACGGGGTCGTGGTTCCAGTGCCATTTGAAGCGCTCAACAAGTTGTTGTCCAAAGAACCACAGAGAATTTGGGATGGAGTAACTACAATCTGCGACATTCTCCTTGTGTTAGTTTCTTTTGTTGTGACAGATTCTGTGGCAGTTGCTGGGGGTATTGAAGTTGGTTTAGACTTAAGAGAAGACGACTCTGCTGTGGGTTGGTTTCGGATAGCTGTTTCTAACATCTTTAAAACTTGTGCAAAGCTTCGCTTCTAGATATGAGTAGGGGTATTTATGTGGAATAGATGTATATATATATATATATGACAGCTGATAATAACTGACAATCGATTACTCTCTATGAATGTGACGTTGATTTTGCTTATTGTTTGCATCTGTTGTGTAATTCATTGTCGTATTCAATTTGTGTAATTATTGACCAAGATTAACGATAAGATCAATTCAACAAAGGTGGCGTAGGTTCACAGTACACATCTCTTACGATTCATTAAGGGGAGCTGAAGAATTAAAAAACCGAGAGCAGCTCCTATAATGTACGCTTCTTCATCAAGTGTCACATTGAAGTAAAGCATTTCGTTTTTGATTTTATTGCTAACCTCTCTTGACTAGAAGAGGATTGTTTTGTGGATTTTCTTCTCTATGTACCAAAAGTCCTGGGCAAAACAATGAGCTCTTGGTCAAAAAAGTTCATTTTTGTTTTGTTTCCATTCTCTTGAGTCACTAAGGATGTGACAAGCAAACAACAAAACCCAACCCGTCCCGTGCACTTTGTTCCAGAACATATGTTGAAATCTAGACAGGAAGTAAATTGCTGAGATTTTAATTTCACAAATAGAGAAAGAATTTTTTCTTCTTCTTCTTTTGGCATTACTAAGCAATTATATATTTTTCTAGAATGATCTCCATTGTATCTAACTAGAATTGGTGTATCTTTGTAGTTCGTGTTATATGTGTTTTATCAGTATAAGGTATAAAAAAAACGTTGATTAAACCCCTATACAAAATTGAGAAATTGAAGAGGAGAAATCAACTTCTTAAGAACAGCTTGTTTTTCAACACATAATTCCTTTATTCTACACAGGCATTGTCCTGTAAAAACTAATAAATAGACAATAAGCATACTTTAGTTCTTGGTGTATTTGCAACCATTCTCTATTTTCCCATGTCAATCAATGGTCGTGCATGACATTCAAAATAACATACTACACCAACCATTTTTACGTAATACATTACATAATAGATAACGATAATAAAGTTCAATAACAACTTTTGATTGGTCTGATTAATTCCATGTATCAAAATTACAAAACACTTCAGTTTTTGTTAGTCTTGCTTCAATTTGAAAGGTCAATTTAGCCCTCAACCTACAATATTATATACATATTGATATATCTAACACAATGGCCCAAACAAATGTGGTTGCACACTATCTCACGTTTCAGGGGTCGCGTCTATAGAATTCAACTTGACTTGGTACCTTTTTTTAGACAGAATGCGCAAACTTCGGTGCCTTGAATTAAGTATTGGCATATTGGGAGTTGATACAATCCCTAGACGCATAAGACGCATAAATTTGGACTGCAAAGTGCGAATTATAACCCATAGACTGTGTTATGACAAAATTGAATCTCTAAAAAGGTTCAAGAAGAATTGGCATGCTTGTGTTACGGAGGACTCGGTGGTTTTTGACTACTTTGCATGTAATATTTCTTCCCCACGCCGACGTCGCCGCAAAGTTTTTAAGGAGGTTGTTCTTACGTTTGGTACTACCAAATGGTTTGTTGTAAACCCATTTATATGAAAAGCTAAAGCGGGGTATTAGAGCTGAGATATAGGTGTTTCACTTGTAAATCAAAGGCTACGTTTACATGTTTGAAAGTAGGCAGTCCTTCAAATCAACTCATTTGTCTAATAAGTTTCATTAAGTACAAGATCTTAAAAATATTAATGTTATTAAACAATATATAATAAGCAAGGAAAATACTGGATAAATTCAAGGAATGTAGCAAATTTCAACCCAAAAGTGAAAACAAAAAGATGAACACCAAGAGAAGACTGGTCACAGTTCCCATATTTATATATAGAAATAGTTGATAAATTGTCTAATAGAAAGAAAGGACCGTCCTCTTAAACGATCTTTTTGAAAGAGGTGATTCTTATTTATATACACCCAATATATTATGATACGCAAACCAAAAGATCGAGACTGTGTAGAAGTTGCAAAAGAGTTCAAATTGCACAGGTAAAAAAATAGCAAAATCAAAATAACTAAAAGAAAAAAAATGAGCTGTGTATATTTCTAAAGGGGTGGTTATACCGCTATTATGTATGACAGGAGGTATTGCAGGGTAATGTATCTTTATTCACATGAGCTATGAATAAAAGTAGGTACCAATTAAAGCTCAAAAGAGGCTGTATGCAGGATCAAATTCAAACGAGATCTTCATCATATGTTTGTGTGATATGAGGGAGATAGTGTTACAAGTGAAAAGATACAAACAACGTATATATTCTATATACTAATCAACCACATACTAAGTGAATATATATATAGATAGATAGAGAGAGAGAGAGTGTGTGTGTGTGCTTGTATTGCTATTGATCATAGCAAAACAAAAATTATCCCTTTATTCAAATTTAATCTTTAAGAACCACATACAAAGCGTGCAAAATACCTGGGAAATAAATGAAGATACAAAGCAAAATGTTTAGCCAGAAAGAAGGTCCCAACCCATCCTTCATAAACACTGCCAACGGTGGCAAGAAGATAGCAAGGATAACAGCGACAATTTTTTCAGAATCCATATTTATTTAAAATTCTCCTTTTCTATTGGGGATATAAAGTGAAGTGATAATGGCGACAAGGGGTGAAACAGCAGTATATGTATGTGTGTGACAAAAGAAGACGTCTTTGGAATAGGGGTCTCTAGTTACGTAGTATCAATTAGGAGATTAACTCAATTGGTGATAGCAATGGGTACTGTTTTTGATATGGTCCAAGGTGATAGGGTGTATATATCTTTCTCTTTCTCTTTCTCTTTCTCTAGTAATCTTTTTTTTTTCTTCTTTGTCTTTCTTTTTGTTGTTGGGTTTTTGAAGTTTTAAATAGGGAAATTTAAATGAATTTTATATACACTACCTTACTTACTTTCTTATTTACTTCCTATTATTTTGTGTAAAGTATTAAGGAAAGAAATATCGCATTACATTTATTCCCACTAACCGACTAAACTGACTAAATTCCCAATTTAGCCGTTATAACTAGACACACACACAGTGCCGAAAAACGAGATAGTCCAATCTTCTCTTGGCTTTTTCGTTCAAAAATCGTATACGGAATTAGATCTTTAGTTGTTTTCTACTCACATAGTGTTCGGTTTCCAATTCAACTGGGTTGTAATAGTTGAAAGTAACAAGGGTTTAATCCGTCTTTTGTTCAACTTTGTTTAGTAGAGATTACTTTACCAAAAGGCGCATCCCATATTAAACAGTTTACGCCGTGGTTTATATGTGGCTCATACATGGACCTCGCTATTCCCGACAGGGGGACTCGTAGCTACATATTCCCTGGAACTTTAACGGTTCATCTCATCTTGCAGTCATTCAATTTCATATTCGGAATTTATGGTTCAAAAAATAGAACTGATTGATGACTCAAAAGCTGGTAAATTTGTGCGGGACTAATTGTTCTCGTCACGAATCTTTAAACTCCGACATTTGTCTCGGAGTTAAAACCTCGGAAATCCTACAAAGGTATACCGAAAAAGAAAAAGAAACTCAATCCAACTCCGCATTTCATTGCAACGGCATCGCTTGGTGACACTATTCACCCTATATACCCAACTAAAACCCATTTCAACCAAGCGACAACAACATACAGTGCCAATGACGAAACAAGCACCGTTGTCACCACCGTCATATACGCCAATCCAGTCACAACGTGTAACGCTTCAACAACATATATAAACTCAATCACATCAAATGTTCGATATGGCATTGAAATATCATAGGGCCAAATCAATGTCAAGATACGGAACAACTTGATCGAGCCTGAACACATGATTGTCGTTAAAAGTACTGCTGTTATGTAACCCCATTGATCACGTTGCGGAATTGTTGTGTTTGGCCAGTTTCCAAATCCAAATTGACCTCGCATTATCGACTGTATCATAAAGTTAAATACCAAATGACGTAGACTTATCACCACTATAAAGAAGGTGTACTGGTTGATCAAATTTTGTCGTAGTATAAGCTGTACAATACCATTATCAGCACCACCATCTTGTTGCCAAAATCGGCTCTTTTCGCATGTCGCCCATGTCAAATACACGTCAAATAAGACAATCAAAGTAATCAATCGAATCAAATTCTGATACTTCAAGCCCCAACTTGTATGATTACGGATCTTCCATTCGGTTAAATTATACGATAAATGACGGTATGCTGGTTTTTTCAATAATAAAATATCAAGAAATAAAATCACTGCGTCATATTCAATATACTTGTCACAAACTTTGTTGCATGACTCACAAACAGTCAATTTCACGTATTCGCTCTTGTATTTGGAGTATAAGTTAGGTATATTGCGATGCCCACATTCGATACAAATCATGGATTGATGTGGAAGTGGAGTTGTGTTTTTTTTTTTTTTCATTTTTTTTCTTTCAGTTTTCGCAGTACAAAACAACAGGATGTCAAAATCGTAACTTCATTAAATACCTCTGAGATATACGTAGCTCTAAATACATAGCTCTTGTGGCGGAGGAATATCTGGAATATGGCCCAACTCAAATTCTGGTGCTCTAAAGGCTTCCTGTACAGCTAAACTCAAATTAGCAAGCAGATTAGACATATCGCCTTGCTTAACCGTTCCAAACAGCGGCTTTGCATTTGTATTACTTGTAGAGCCAAATGGCAACAGGGAAACTTGGTGGTTTCCGGCTTGATTTGGTGCCTGACTTGAGCCAAATGGGTTCAGGTTGGTCTGGGTTGAAAATGGTGACAGGGTCAGCTGCGGTTTAGCCTGTCCAAAGGGGGACAGTGACAGTGTTGTGTTTTGCGTTCCGAATGCATTAGTGGCTGTGGAGGCTGGTGTCAATGATGGAGCGGCGCCAAATGGAGAAGTAGTTGATGATTGTTGTTGTTGCCCAAATGGGTTTGATGCAATAGCACCAAATGGTGATGCCGTCGTACTCGTCGATGAATTATTTCCAAAAGCTGAAGTAGGGGCAGTATTGGCCCCCGTTGAGCCAAATACAGAATCCTTAGCTAATGTGTTTGAAGACCCAAATGCCAGTGATTGACTCGAGTTGACATTGCCAAACCCACTGTTACCTGAGTTGCTAGCCCCAAATCCACTACTGCCAAACCCGCTACTGCCAAACCCGCTACTGCCAAACCCGCTACTGCCAAATCCGCTACTGCCAAACCCGCTACTGCCAGACGCAGAAGAAGTAGGTTTATTTCCCAGCCCAAAAGCAGACGACGCTGATGGATTACCAAATCCTGAACTATTTGCCTTACTGGAAACAGCATTACCAAACGGATTTGATGCAACCTTGGCTGCTCCAAATGCTCCACTTGTTGTACCTTGATTCAGACTAGAACCAAATGCTGATTGACTTGTCTGATTACCGAAAGCTGATGTTGGTTGACTTGTTGTTTGATTTCCAAATGCAGATCCAGTATTAGAGTTCAGCAACGCTCCAAATGGACTAGCATGTGATAAACTTTTATCTTGTGCGCCAAATGCCAGGGTAGTATTACCGATATTGTTGTTGTTGTTTGCGCCAAATGCTGAGCTGCCAAATCCCGAATTTCCAAATCCGGTGCTATTGCCTGTAGTTGTAGATGCTGGTTTACCAAACCCTGAGCTTCCAAACCCCGAACTTCCAAACCCTGAACTTCCAAATCCGGAGCCTCCAAATCCAGCACTCCCAAATGCTTGACCAGTGTTTGGCAAACTACCAGAGCCAAATCCCGAGTTCGCCGACTTAGAGTTCGCCGCAAATGGATTGGCTTGATTTCCGAATGCGCCTGATGAAGTCCTCTGTGACCCAAACATATGACCTGCTTTATAAAAGAAAACGGAGAGGTTTCGTTGCCTTAACTTATTTTTTTTTGGCTTCATCACTTTCTTTTTTGTGTAAATTATATTCTATTACCTAATATTAGTTTGATTAATTATCGTTCTACATTCATTAGTTAAAAGTGAAACCTTCTGGGAGCATATACCATATGCGTCGTGGTATATCCGTTTCATTTCTTCCACCACTTGAGGTTTGGTTTTCGATCCATTGCAAATTTCCTGTAAGGAATTCTCCAACGCTTTTCGCAAGAATGGCTTTGATAGGGAAATTCCATTAAACTCCATCTTATCAAATCCTTCAATAAGACCAATGCCTAGCGGCGAAGGCTCAATGTAATCAGCTTTCCCCTTTTTCACCTTGGTGACATACTTTCGAGATATAATTTTGTCGATATGCTCTGCAATTGTGGCATCAGTACCTATACCATTGGCATCCATTAAGGCAATTAGTTCAGGTTCAGTCATTGATTGTGGTGGACTTGTTTTGCCTTCTTTCATCAAGCCGCTTGAAATTTTCACCTTCTCGCCCTCGTGAAAACTAGGCAACAGCTTTGAGCTTTCCCATTTCTTGTACGTGAATATGTCAAGATAGTTTCTCTCAGTAACCATTAGTCCGCTCGCTGTAAAGAATTCATCCCCCCATTTCAATGTTGCCAGCGTTAACATACCCTTGGCATCTTTTGAGCAACATGCTAGAAACCGTCGCACAACATATTCGTACACTTTCTTTTCATTGGCACTGCTCAACGAATCAATGGACACATAGTTTACCGGGTGAATTGCTGGATGTGCATGATCATCATGTGATCCATTCCTTGGTTGCTCGTGGCCATTGCTTAGCAAGCCTCCACTATACGACCCCCATCGAGGATCCTGTTTTTGCTTTTCAAAAATACCTCTAAAGTCCATCGAGGAAGGATACTTGTCAGTCTCTGTTCTCGGATATGATAGAAAGCCTCGGTTATACAATTTTTCAGCAGCCTCAAGAGTAGCCTTTGCTGACAATTTAAAGTATTTAGCACAATCCTTTTGCAACTCAACAGTGGTGAGGGGTAACGGTCGGTAGTTTGTCGTTGGCTTGGTCTCTAGTTTAGTGATTTCGCCAGACTCTTCTTTAAGACATCGTTCGTACATGAGCAAAACGTACAATCTATCAAAGATATGTCCCTTTACCCAACCGAAGGTTGTCCTCTTATTCTCCTTCCGTAGCATTGGCTCGATATACCAAAAGGGTTCTGGCTTAAAGTTTTTGATTCTCTTGTACCTATCGACAACAAAACCAAGGGTTGGGAATTGACATGTACCGTAGGATGCTATATCTTTTTTATCAATGATGCTATTTGATTTCAAATTGTCCGTTAAAAGACGTGTAAAACTTGTTCCAACTCTAAAATCGAGTTCCATACGACACGATACGGCTGATGCCGCCTTCATATCTAACGAGATTGGCGACCTGGCTGCATGTAAAATATGATTTCGTTCAAGATGAGAAAATTTGCTTCTCCAGACATCGTTGAGCGAAATCCTACCATTCCCCTTTTTTGCCGCATCAAAGATCTCCTTGCCAATAAATTCACCCTCACGATCACAGTCAGTCCATATCATCAACTTGTCTGAGTTTCTAGCCTCGCTCGCTATATTGTCAAACACGTCCTGTTTCGTCACTTTTGTTACAATTTCCGCAGTGAAAAGCCTTTCTGCAGAACATTTACCCCACTGGAACTGCGGTGGGAAATCAAGGTTGGTGATGTGACCTACCACTGAAGTCATTGTCACGTCGCACAGGCCGCGATTGGGAAAGGTAAATTTAAAGTCATAGTTTTTGATGTACTTGTTTTTCGAGTTTCGGACCAGTACTCGTCCTCCTGCCAATATGTTTGCAACTTCCTTCGCAATAGATGGTTTCTCTGCCACACATAGAATTTTCATGCGTTATTTGTGTTTCTTTGAGGGCGGTTGGTGGTTTGAGATATAGGATCAGATCTGTTTCTTACATTTTTTTTTTTCTTTTTCTATGGGTTTGGCCAACGCGTGTGTCACAAAGTTGGTACAAAGTGGTAGGGGAAGTGAGAGTATCTCTGATGTACTGTTTTACAGTAGCATCTTCAGTTAGACTCCCAGACTTGATGCAATATATCTCTCTGCTGGTGAATGCTACTTTCGTAGCACAAAGCTCACAGAAAAGTTGCGTTGCCTGAATTGGACCCGAAATTATCACTCAGCAAAACTCAAGTAGAAAACTGGCCCTTAAACCTGAGTAATATAGGAATCACAGCTATTCAGGCAACCCACTACGCGTTTCAGTTGAATTATTAGCCAGCTAGCCTATATTTATATGCTATAAAAACCTTTGTGTGTACTGTGGTTCCATCTTCGCAATAGACAAAAGATAAGATAATAACCAAACACCATCTACTCTCAACAACTATACAAATCCGCATCGATGGAGAATGATTACGATTCAATAAACTTGGCATCCACACTCAAAAGTGAACTAAAAGCAACGTCGTCGCCTGGCCAGCGATCACCCTACCAACAAAAAATACCAGTTTCGGAGAGTGAAAGTTATGATGACGATGAATTCGAGCATGACCCAGAAGAGTTTATAACAAACAAACATGGAGATCTGCAATTGGAACCCATTTTCCAGGATTTCGCTCTGCGTACTACCGATGAGCAAGATGATCAACTAGCAGGTTCAAACAACACTTTGAGATTAGGACTGTTGCATTTATCTGAGCTTTTGCCCCCTCTGAATAGCCAAAACTTTGATGAACCAATCCAGCATCTCTCAGGACGGATAAAAGCATTAGAGGGAAAATTGATAGAGCACTCACAAGTCTATAGTACTTTATTGAGAGAAGGGGATTCCAATGTGGCCGAAATGAGATCGGTCATTCTACAAATTTTTCATCAACTATCTGAATGCTATTTTTCCTTGAATGAGTTGTACTCGAAAGACATGTCGTATACAAAGTCTGTAAATACCTACTTTGATGCCTGGAATTTAAAGCATGACAGGGTATTGCTGAAAATAAAACGGGAAAAAAGTGAGAGGAGTACGCATGGTGCCAAACTTTCGAGGTTGTTAAATGAATCAACAGCGCTTGATGACGATATCGATGAACTCCAACAGCGAGTGGCAGTGTTGCAGAAGAAGAAATTGGTTTTGAACAAGGAGATAGAAGATACCACTAGCGTGTTGGAGAGTAAAACCGCTACATATGGGGAAAACTTGCGGTATTTGGAACAAAACGGCAGAGAAATCCTACAAGACTATTTGCATTACAATGGTCTACCAGAATCTGATTTTACAACTTTGTTGAAAGAACAAACTATAGACCTTTCATTCAGCATGCCTAAAAGGTCAACTTTCGACGTGGCAACCAATTTCGAGCATCCACATTCAAATATGCCTAGACTCCAGCCCAATGCTAATACCACCCCTATAAGCAGCGTTGGCAATGGGGGTTCAATAGGAATGAAGCCTTACGAACCTCCTTTGGTACCTTCATCACCTACATTGCCACTGCAAAAGCCTCTCCCCCTTCACGACGAGTCTTTGATGAATCATGGCCACGGTCCCACCGCATTTGAGAAAGGATATGCCATTGGAGCTCAAAATTCAAAGCTACTCAAAAGCCAGGTTCAAAGCTTCCTTCACAATGTTGTTCTGCATGTACCAAAGAAAAGCGAGGTATCTCAATTAAAGCATTTGAATCGTACAGTCACTACAACTTTGGATGTAGAACCCATTACCACTTTCTTACGACTACGTGTGGATGCTTTGAGTGATCTAGTAATAAGCACATCTAAGAAGGCTGCTTATTATCACGATTGTGATAAGCAATGGTCCCAAATCCAACGAATAATAAGTTTGCAAGAGGAACAACTAGAACGCATTTTAAAGGAGTCAAAGGCCGACGAAGATATTACGCCAGTCATCAACGCCTTGAATCAAACACGGGCTCAGTTAGAATTGGCCATGAAACCAATTTTGCTTTTGAATTTGGGGGGAGTTTTACTGCAATTGGTTCGTAATGAAGTCGAAGCAGTGACAGAAGCCTTGTCAATTGTGTCAAAAGGAAAAAGTATGAGTCAAAAACAAAGCTAATGAAGGAGAGACAAGGCAATGTAAAAGTATTGTGTAATTCTTAATGTAAATGCTATTAATTAAATGCTAAGTTCACCTTTTAGGTGGTTTCCTTCGAATAAACATGCTTGGAGTCTGTGGCTTTGGTGGTAGCACCATGCCTGAAGATGTTGGACCAACAGGTCGCTTTGGAAGTGTGCCAGAAGAACTTGGTTTTGGACGATTGTCAACATTAGAATTACCAGACGACTTCTTCTCAATTGGATTAGGTGGTACTGGTCCCGCTTGCGTAACTGATCTCCCATTAACAACTTTTGCTTCACTTGGTTTAGTTTCCACCACCACTGAACCTGCACTCCCTGGTCTGACTGGAAGAGTTCCGGAACGGATTGGTTTTACTGAGCTTGTCGATGATGGCATTTGGTTTGCTAATGCAGGTAGAGATCCACTGGTCGGTTTCTTTGGCAAGCCTTGATTCAAATTAGCTTTTTGCTTTTTGTTTTTAGATTGCTGTCCATCATTTTGAGGCCGCTTCAAAGCTCTCTCCGTAGGCTTGAATGTCGACGTACTTGCATAGCTGCTTAAGAACCCCGAATGTGCCTTTGTGACCGCATTTCTATTCTCAGCATCGTCTAGCAATCTCTTCCACACGGCATTTCTCTCCAATGAGCTCTTGTTACCCAATATCCACAAAGTTGTGCATGCACGAGTAAGTGCCACATTCATACGACGAATATCACTTAAAAATCCAATGCTTCCATTAGCACTAGCTCGAACACAGGACATAATGATAATCTCTTTCTCCTGACCCTGAAAACCGTCCACAGTATTGAAATCAATTTCGTTGAAAATTATTCTTCCATACGCTCTTTCAAACACACTTTTGATGGTCCTGATTTGCTCTTTGTATGGCGAAATGATACCAATCTTTCCAGCGATTTCCCCTTGCGGAACCATGGCCATCATTTTTTGAACCAATTGCAAACACACATTGGCTTCTTCTGTGTTAAACAACGATCGTGTCAACTCGTTCTTCTCGTGTCGACTAACAATGTCGAAAAACCTATATGGCGTCAAAGGCTCAACCAGGTGCCAAGGTCGAGTATTCTTTTCCTTCATCCCAGGTCCATCAAGTAACTTAGAGTGATAAAACTCAGCGCTGGGAAATTTTGAAATCAGGGGGTGCATTCTGTACTGCGTATTCAACAAGTAAATTGAGTTGGGATGATTTTGCTGCATTCTCACAAATAAACTCTGGTCATAATTGAACGATGCAGCTGCTTGAGACAATACCGTAGGCGGTAATTGATTTGGATCACCAACCATGATACACTTTCTACAACCATACCGAAGTGGAATGATTGCCGCCAGCTCTAAACACTGACAAGCCTCGTCAATTATCACTTGATCAAATGTCACCGATAAATTGGCAACCAAGTCATGGGCAGATCCTGATAATGTAGAGCACAAGATGTGTGCTTCCGACAAGATTCTGGCTTGAATATTTCTTCTATCAATCTCCTTGTTTCGGTAGGCAATAGACGTGCGCTCTCTTTGCTCATCAAGTTTCTTAGTGAGTTCACTTCTTTGCTTGTTGATTTCACGCAACATCTGCTGAACGCTCTCCCTCTCCTTTGGATCTAATGTCTCGTCGTTGAGTCTAGATCTAAGCCTATCTTTTTCTTGCGTCTTTTTGGTGAGTTCAGTCCTGAGATTTGGATCTGCTGCAACGTCTACTTGCTTAGTTTGCAACTCTTTATCTACCAACTCTTCCAACGTCAAGTCCCTCACTGCTGGATTAATAGCATCACTTCGTCCAAGTCGAACAACCTTTAACGGCATATGTTCACCTTTTGAGTTCCTTACCCCATTTCTTAATCTCACAACCAATTCATCAACGGCAGCATTACTTGGTGCACATATTAAAATCTTGGCCTTTTCTGATGGCGACGGAGCCTTGGAAGGCATGTCGATGGCTTTTTCATTCCTTCCGTGGGATAATGAATATCCTACAATACCTAAAATAGTTTTTGTTTTACCTGTTCCTGGGGGACCTTGAATCAAGGAGAATCCTTCACTCAGGTAAGAGCCAATGATGGCCTTTGCTTGAGACATATTGACATCGTAGAGTTTAAGCATGTGTTCCACATCCTTGTCTGCGACTTGCGTAGGGGCAGTAGGTATTGCCAGAATGATTGAGTCTACCAAATCATAATACTGCAACCCTTGCAACGAGGAATATTCTCTTTCTGCTGTCACCATTTGCATTACTCTCATACCAAGGATAGTTGCTTTAGGGGCTAGAGTTGCCACGAGCGGCGAGGTCCTTGCAATCCGCAAAGTAACATCAGAATACTCATGATTAACATATTTGATTTGTCTAATTTTCGCCAAACATGTCGGAGTGCTTTCAGACTTCATATACTTTCTTCTTTCCTTGGGTTGGGCTATCGATTCGTTATCACATGCGAGTACAAGCAAATCGCTTTCTGTCAACTTTCTATTCTCGATGGTTTTCTTGCTCATTGACGTGAATACATCATAAAATCCATCCACTGATGTTCTCGTCCCAACGAGGATCTCAAAAGGGTCTTCGTCAACTGTATCTCTAGCTGATTGGACCTGTTGCCAGCACTCGAGCATGAATAATGGCTCCATAGTTGACACATACTCATTAACATCATTGTAATGGTCTTTAACCTTGGTGTACGCTGATCTGTCATTTGAGGGGTAGTCATTTTTGAAATTGTAGTTCCATTGCAAGATATTGAGATATAAAGATTTAAGATCGACATTTAATCTTAATCTCATCCTTTCCTTTTCCAGCTTCTCAGAATGTGCTCTTTTCCGAGGCATTCTATCTATCAGGCGAATCGCTTTCCCATTCAAATCAACCTCGGTGATCTTAGAAGCCTTTTTCTTGCTAACAAAGAGGTCGCTAGTATCTATATCACCTTCATCATCAGACGAATCCGACACAACTTTCTTTGCCCTAAGAGTGTTCAAAGATCGGCCTATCACTGGTGGCGCCTTCTTTGAATTGAACCCAGCCGGACGAGGAGGAGCAGGTGCATGTACAGGTACTTTTTCAGGTTTTGATGTAACTCGGGAGTTTTTCAAATCCCGACGAATATTGTCGAGGCTGTTCAATCCCTTGACTTCCTTCGGCAGTGGCGCGACCGGGGGTTCACTTGAAATATGTCCAAATCTAGCCAATGTTTGTTGCTGCTTTGAACTAGTTTGAAATTTGTTTGCTGTAGTTGGCGAGACCTCTCTAACGAATTCAACTTTCAGTTTTTCTTTCACATTGGCTTCTTCAACAATCTTGTTGACCAAATTTGGGTTGACTGACTTTGCTCGTGATATAATTTCGTTTCTTTGAACCTCGGTTAATTTGTTGTTGAACTTCTTAGCTTTAACTCCAAAGTTTGCAAGTTTTTCAAGAATACTGTCGTCCAACACAAAATTCCTGTCATTGGCCAAGTCAAAAACTTTGAAAACTAGAGACACACACGAATCTAAAAGAGCCGTATCGCCTAATTTAAGCCAAGTCACCATATACTGAAATGCATTCATGAAAACAGCAAATAAGTCGGGCGCTGACTTTTCACCAGCATGAGGAGTAACTGCATCAGCAAATGAGACAAATGATTCCAACAAAAGTCGACTCAAATCTAAAGTGTCCCGAGTAAAGTCCACCAACTCGTGCATGTGGTACTTGCCTGCCCAAAGCATTGCTTTCTGGTATATCATGATCAAAAATAACAAGCTCGAACTCCAAAATTGTTCAACATCTTTATAGGCTCTGGAAACATCTGGCAGTGACAAAATTGAACTCAACGGATCGGTTAATGCCGACACCACATCCATTACAATTCTAACTGCTTTGGGTGTTGGCTCGAATGCCTCCAAGTTAGTCAATACTGAGACGCTGGAGTTTATTGCACTCAATGTTAGTTTGAAATTGTGGTTCAAACTTTCCTCGATGCACTCAAATCTCCCACTACCATCGTACACTTGACTTAAAAGTTCTAAAGCTGATTGAGTGCACAAAGGTGAAAAAATACAGGACCATATGGTGTCAACGCATTGCGAATTATTTAGTAAATCTTTGAGTAGTATCTGAGGTGCAAGACTGATATTACCAAATATCAGGTTCACATACTTGATTACAGTGTCCAAAGATCTTGCATGCTGCTCTTTTGCCTCTGTTAATCGTTTGTTCACACCTTCAACTTTGGTAGGATGAAATCGTATTACAACAATCAATTTTTTCAAACTCTTCATAATTTCTTTTGCAAGATTTACATCGGAGTTGATTTTTGACTTGGCCAAAGCTTCCCAAAGCATTGGAAAGGTGTCAAATAATATGGGGATTTTATATTCAAGCAACAACACACTGTTGTGGCTCAAAATGGCAATATCATACCTAATGCATTTGGTGATGAGTTCGATTGCACACTCACTTTTTGCATTGATAGCTAATGCAATTAACGCTTCACCGATGCAATCAATCCTTGCCCTTAAGTGTCTGTAGGTCAGTAGCTTGATGGCGTAGTTTGCATCACTCAAGTCACCCTCATCGTCGAAATCAAAAACTCTGTTGAATAGATTGCAGCCAAAATTTCGCACGTATATTTCTCTTTTCAAGCTTGGATCATTAGCTGATGATGTGCCCCCAACTGAAAAGTTCAATAAAAACATGCCCAATTTTAAGCACACATTCTCTCTTTCAGACAGAGCAATCGATTCAATTATTCTGGGCATCCACTGTAACAAGTCATCCAAAATCCAATCGTTCAATGCACACCCCTCCGCCGATGCTTGCAACAATTGTTTACGGAATGCAGGATTAAATTTGATGCAATCTATAATCTGCAGGTGGTTTATGGGTCCAGTAGTTATCCAAAAACGCGAATTCAAGCGACACAAGAGTTTTCCAAATACTTTCAACAATGTCGGTAGTGGTTCGTTCAAGTTTGACATCAAACTATTTGCAAGTAGTCTAATGACGGGGTAAAGTCTTAGATTTTTGTGTTGGCTCATGACCTCAATGTCCGCTGGCACATTGAGCCTCGTTTCAAATGCATCGTCATCAGTAAAGTCCACAAGGTTATTGAAGTTTTGCCAGAACTTGATTGCATTTTTGTCGGTGTAAAAGGAGGGATCCTGTATTTTGTACAAATGAATATCAAACTCTTGAATAACTGCTTCACTGAGTCCCATTTTATCATAAACCACCTGATTTTGTCTCAATTTTTTGATCCACCGCGTCACCAATGACTTCTCATCACCTTCCCCTTCAAACATTAAATACACTAACCCCGGAAGCAAATTTGGAGGTACGTAATCATCCAGTCTGTTTACCAATTGTGAAATTATGCTCAAAAATGTATCTTTGATTGGTCCAGATTGCCTCAATATGTTCGGATTATTTAAGCACCAATAAACTGCAATCTTGAGCTTTTCATCTGTATTTGTATGCATCGCATTAAGACACTGGTATGATGCTTTTATCAATGGAGATAAAATTGAACATTCCCATGCTGTAATTGTATTCAAAAATTGCTCAACATTGGCGATTGGGATTCTTCGCTTTGTTGCAAAGCTTAGTCTCAATTCGGCCTTCCCCTTATTGAAATAGCGCTGGCATTTTTCGCATGTAGTTAGACACTTGGCATAGCTTGGTTGTAGATCTGTACCATATGAGCTATTTGGAAATGAAAAAAGGATTAAGGAGTAGGTGGCTATGGGGTATAGACGCTTGTTGCAAAACCAATGATCTGTTGATGTATGTTTCATCAAATAATTATGACTACGTGTGATAGCTTGTTCATGTACGGACCCGTCACGGGCTCCGTCTAGAGACCTGCTAATGATTGACACGAGATCATCGTATTCGTTGTCGTCATTAGTGGCGTTTTGCTGAACGCTCGTCATTAATGATTATATATCGAGCGACGTGTAACTTTCGAGTTAGTCGGCAACAGTAATAATATTACTCCTTCTTCAAAAGGGGGGAAGAGCACAGTATTGTTGCTTCAACGAACAAAGCTTTATGCTGTAAAGAGAGCGTTTAAATATCAAAGCGATCGTTGCAAATCCTCTTGAACAGGTGAATGGATCAGTATGCATTTTTCCTTTCTCTTTTTTTAGTGAGAGCCCTTCTTTTATAGTTAATTGCGCTACCGGGCATCGGCTAACAGCAGACGCGTTTAAGGGTATCCCGTTGAGAGAGAAGAGGATTTCACCCAGAGATACAAAACAGAAAGGTGGTGCTTTTACACAGACATGGACTTTTGGAATTGTAAGTTTTGGTGTTAGAGAACTTATATACAACGTGCCAAGGATGCTGCGAGACTCACTTTGACTTTTTCAATCAATCTACTCCAGCACATTTGACAAATCCTTATCTAATAAACCTCCTTCTTTTCTTTCCTTACCCTGTTCAACGTACTTTTTCCCAAATAGAAGTACTAGCAACTTTTCGTATAAATTGAAGAGGTATCCAGCTGCTACTAATAAACCACCTGCAATTGTCCCCAATTTTGCAATAAACTGTAGGAATGGAATTCTCTTTTCTCTTATAACCAACTTGATAGGTTCAAATTCGTAGGCAAAATATATTCCTGGTATGTTTTGAGGTCGTTTTGAATGTGAGTCGACCTTCACAACGTGGTGATGTTCAGTCAATGAATACTGAGTTGTGTCGACTTCTAAACCTAACTTCTCGTACAAGGTAGGAACTACTTTTGCATGATACTGGTACATTTGCAACTTTTCGTCAGTCACTTTTCCCGTGGCGTCCAATGGATTGTTCAAAAAGGGGAAGAAATCACCATAAGAAAACTCTTGTATCACATGGCTAAAATTCAACGCTTCCAAGGGTACAAACAGTCTATCCCTGTATCCAAACCCTTTGGCTGTTATTCTAAAATCTCCTTTAACTTGGTTGACTGGTATCGAGCCAAATATATGACAGGCAGGAGCTCCCTCATTTACTCTTCGACCCAACTGGCCAAATTCGGCTCTCAAACTCTCCTGCATAACTTCATCCAAATCGGGGGTTTCATGGAAATCATTTGGATTATTGATGGAAAAGCCTGGAGGGATGAAAAACTTGATTCCCTCAAAATTTAAAGTCTCACCGGCAAGAAACCTGTCTCTAGTGATATCTTCGACGTTTGTGTGTAAGAACTCACACGGCATTGCCACAATCATATCAAGATTTATAGTCAAATCGGACCGTAAAGCGTCATCAACAATGAATTGTCTATCCACATATCCACCTATGTATCCACCGATCTCGACCCACAATATAAGTAGTCCAAAAAAATATGTAAGCAAAGTAGAAAACCCTCCTCTCTGCGATCGCACCTGAGACAGGGGGTCCACTTTTGGAAATGCGTCAAAAGTTTTCACCCGTTTGGAGAATGAGTCCATGGAAAGTGTAGTTTGTAGAAGGTCTAAGAAATCAAAAGTCCTGCGCTTGGTTCAGCCAGTTTTGACACGACTTTAAATTTCTGTTGTCTTTTTTTTTCTCTTTCTTTGAATTTGGTTCAAGCGACCTGTAAAACGCTGGAAAATGATACAACTAACGTCGGTGTAAGACAAGTAGTGAGAGCAATTTCAAAAACATTGGAGGTCTGCGGTGTTGCTCTGGAGTGAGCCCTTCGGTTTCTGGAATGATAGACTATAGTGTAATGGAAAAGGGCTGATATCTTTGCAAATATATGTATATCAGTAGGTATCTACCTTGATGGGGCCAAGACACAAGTTTAGATGGCATCACCACTTTTCTCTTGAAAGGCAAACCACACTGAGTATATAACGTACTTCCAAGCCAATAGAAGTGGTGGTACTTCAACTACCGTTTATTCTATTTTGATTTCGGTACATGGTAGCATCAGAAAACGTTTTGCGCATATAATATGCACGATTTCTTAACATTTATTTAGATGATATCTGACTAATAGATGGCAACTCCTCCCTGAGTACCACTCGATAGCGAGAGTGACGACTAGACACCAATGAATGACGAAATAGAGTTTTCCCAAGATCCAAATATACAAGAGCTACAATCGTGCTCTCTCATCTTTGATAAACTTAAAGTTGATTACGATAACCTCGGTGGATCGATAGAGGTGCCGTTGCAAATGGATGAAGGAAAGACAATAACCTTGGTACAAGCAGGGGAACGAGGACAATCTGTTCCTTTGTCGTCTAAGAAAGTGGGGTTCTTACCACCACTAGAGTTGCAGTTCCATTTGCTGCACGGATACCCTGAGCAAAATCCACCTATTGTCAACTTGAAATGTTCAGTATTGATGCAAGAGAAGATCGACGAGTTGCAGGAACAGTTGTTTCAACTATGGCAAGATTACAAGGACCGTGTGATATTTAGCTTGATTGATTATTTGCAAGAACGATCTCAGTCTTTTCTCGATGAGCTTTTACCGCCCACCATTGAAGTTTCAGATTTGGACCAGTACAACTATATCTTAGCCTATGATGTGCATTCCAAAGAAGAGGTGTTCAACAATCAAACGTACACGTGTGAGATATGTCAAATGGGAAACAAAGGAATAAACTGCACACAGTTTGACGAATGCTTGCATGTTTTCTGTAACGATTGTTTGAAGAGTTATTTCACATCGAGTATAGTTCAAGGTGAGGTGGATAAAATACACTGCCCTGAATACCAATGCACAAGGAAATATATCACCACTAGAGATGAGCTTATGAAACTAGAAACTTGGACGATGAAAGACGAGGGAGTGAAGGAAGTTGTTGGGACTTTATTGACACCTACAGTCTCGGCGGGTAAGCTAAAGAAAATACTCCTGACTGACTTGATACAACGTTATTTATCGCTCTTCAAGAAGTCTCAGTATGAAATGATTGGCAGGCTTCTACCGAGAAGACTTGTCAAATGCCCGCGAATCGGTTGCGACGAAGTGATCTTTCGAGAAGATTTGAATGAAAAATTAGTTGTTTGTCCAAAATGTCGGTATGCATTTTGCAACGATTGTCGAAAATCATACCACGCAAGATTTAAAACCTGTGTGAAAGTTGAGGGAGATGATGGTAAGTATGGAGGCATATCAATAGAGGACTTGGAAGCTTACAATCATATGGCCCAAGGTTCACATGACAAGAAGATATTAAACGCAAAGTATGGTCGAAATAAAATCTTGAAAGCTATTGACGAGTACGAGATGGACAAATTGTTTGAACAAATGTTGAAGCAGGGCACTGATCTCAAAGAATGTCCCGGTTGTGGCGCTGTTATTGAAAAGTTTGAAGGGTGTAACAAGATGAAATGTAGCGAATGTCTCACTTGTTTCTGCTTCAATTGTGGAACCCAAACTGACAATAGTTATGATCACTTTACCGATCCGCGTTCCCCCTGCTACAAGTTATTATTCTTTGGGATGCTAGGGGCTGAAGATGACTAAGCCAAAAAAGGTGAGCAAGCTTTTGTATTTATGCGCTCTTGGGTCTTTTATGTGGCCTTCCGTACCTATAACACTCCCTATATAATCTCCTTCTTCTGAATTCATAAACAATATCCAGGTGCACAACTCCTTCCATGTTGTCGTATATCCACCCTTCTTCTTCATTGTCTTTGACTATAAACAAATCCGGTTTCAATGATCTCTCCTCGATGAAAGCTTTCGGATTTGTGTCCAAAACCCACTTGTTAACGAAGCCCATGTCAAACTTCCAGTCATGAGGAGGTAACACCTCAGACAAATACTCAACTCCTGTTGGCCTCCTGCCAGAAACCCTGGTTTTGTTCTCGGTGTCGTACATGGTAGTTGAATACCTATAGAACGACCAGTTGTGCTTCAATATACTCTTGATTTGCAATTGAAATACCTCAACTACCCTGACCTCTGGCGCATCATCGACGATAATATCATCACGATCAAATTTCTTTCCATCATTGAGAAGTTCATCTATGAATGATGAGCTTATTTTACCATTCAGCTCCTCTGATACCTGCAGCTCTGCATCTTGTGATAACTCGGCTTCTTCTTTGGCTTTTCTGGCTCTAGCTTTCCTTGTATTGCTCATATCCACCAAATACTTTTTGGCCTTGGGATGACACAAAATTAGTCCTACCCAGCCAGATTGGATGAAAATGGCCCTCCAGGGGATAAATTGCCCAAGAAACAATGTTCCAAACGTGGCAAGTAATACACCATAGAATATAAACGTCGATAATCTCTCATCCTTGAATCCAGCAGTCTCAAAGTAGAATTGTTCCCCTTTGTCCATTCCTTTAATCAAGTCGGACGTCAAATTTTGAAAGTCTCGCAAGTTGATTAACAAATCCAAATTGGATTTTCTGTGCCTTGCTGTCTCCTTCTTCTCTTTTGGTGCATTGTTGCTTTTCGCCTCATTTGACGTTATTTGAGCAGATGAAAGAGTCACATCAGAAGCTTCATCTGAAATTGAATATGTTGATGATGCAACCTCGGCATCCTCCCGTAAATAATCCTCATCGACCATATCTTCAACAATACTTGACTCTGGGGTTGAATTGAAGAAGCTTAACAATGACTGGCCCCTTTTCTTCACTTTGATCAAGTCAAGGCGTCTTGGAGGATGTCTGTAAACGTATCCTGGGATAAGAACACCAAAAAGGAGAAATATCAATGGATAGGCGATAATCAAATGTGGCCAAAGGCAAGCGGCAGTGTATAGCACGAGAACACTCAACGTTTTAGTTGGTTGTTTCCAAGTAACAATGTAAATTAACGCATACTGTAATGCAAAGAAATTTGTCATCTTACTTGCCAACTTCTTCACATTGGATGCCAACGTTCCAATTGACAATCCAGGCCGCTTGTTTCTCTCGGGGTCACGTAAACGCTTTTCAAACACCTCTCTCTCTGGGATATCTTCCGGTAATGTAGACTTTAACAACTTTTCAATCATACGATCAGCAAAGTGACTATTTGTGGATGATGACTTGCTTTCGTTATCCTCGGCCGAATCTGGCATGGATGCAATGTGTTGAATGTCCTCGGCTGTTAAGTTGGAAGGTAATCCTAACCCCTTACCATTGCTATTGAACTTTTCCATACTCATTTCCAAGAGTGTCGATGCTGTTGATGCTGCAATTGCTCTTTTACTGCCTGGCTTTTGTTGGGCTATGTTGTTACCTTTTTGTACTGCGCTGTTGACGAGATTGAATGCGAGATCCCTGTAATGTTGCTTTGACGAAGATTCCTCTTGGGGATTGGAGGCAAATGCTGATTGGTATTGCTCTTCTTCTTCTCTATCCATGCTATTTCACCCGATTCAAATTGTATTTTAAACTTTCTTGGAAAGAAACTGTTGAAGAAAGAGCTTAGGTTTAAAAAGAATGTGGGGGTAGTGTGAGTAGATTTTGATTTTTGACAAAATCAGAAAGCGCATATGACAATTTTTCTTTACAATATTCGCAACTTTACGTATTGTAACCAGTGGTCGATCAATTGCATCTGAACATTGGTTTGCCAGATATGACCAAAAACTTCCTACATTGTAACTAAAGAAGCTGGTAAAGGACGCACACAAAAGGATTGGAGATATTGTGAACAACTGATATTAACAAAAAAATTAACAGCCATAAAATGCATCTACATAAAACAGGGTTGGGTTGTGTTGCCAAAGGGAACACAAACGTACTTTAGAGTAGATAGGCATTGTCGACGATAGACTCACTGGTTTTGGTAACGACTAGTATATCCATTTCATTGAAATTAAATACAGTTCCCTAAGGAAATATACAATATACTATCAGCTTAATCATAAAGATGGGAAATCGTTTTCATTGAAAGATTTTCCACCTCTGAGGCCGCCTCTGCTGTTACCTCTACTGTTTCCTCTGCTGCTGCCTCTGCCGTTACCTCTGTTGTTACCTCTACTGTTACCTCTGAAGCCTCCTCTCTTTTCACCTCTGAAACCACCTCTTGGTTCTTGTGGTTGCTCATCAGCAAAAACGGCATCAAATTCCAAGAAAACCTTCTCCTTTGGAGCCTTTGATTTGGTCTTCTTTTGGTGAGTAGAAGCAAAGTACTCTTCTTGAGTCTTTTCAATCTTTTCCTCAGAATTCCACTTTTGTTCAGCACCTTCGTTGGCTTTTCTCAATTTCTTAGCACCATCCAACTCCCTTTGTTTTTGTTCTTGTTCAGCAAGGTATTCTTGAAGGGATTTCTTAGGAGTGGTATCGACTTCCTCTTCAGCTTCCTCTACCAAGTCAGCCTCAGCATCTTCGGTTCCTTCAGCTTCACCTTCCAATTCTCTAGTATCGGTGTTACCCCAACCTTGCTTAATCTTTTTGCTGGAGTCGGTCTTACCAGATCTTGAGTGACGGTCGAATGGCTTCTTTTGGTGCTTGGTAGCGGTCGATTGTGGTGGTGCAACATCCTTGTTGTTGTTCTTGGTCTTCAAAGCACCTTCGTTTCCAGCTGGCTTGGCCTTCTTCTTAGCCTTGGTTGGGTCTGCTGATGGTGGTGGAACATCAGCCTTTTTAGAAGAGGTGTTCTTCCTTACAACCTCCTTGATTGGAAGGTTAGCAGCGGCATTGTCTTCCTCGACATCGTTACCTAACAAGTCGTATAAATTCTAGATTGTAGTTAGTATCTCGTACAGTAGGTTTGTAATGGAGTCATGAAGTTTTCAAGCTTCACGCGCAAATTGAGAAAGATCACACGAGCAATTGTTCTGTTCACAGATTCTGGCAAATCAAAAGCGTGCTATAGGTAATTTGAAACAAAGTGAAAACGAAGCAGTACAGTTCCTCTTTCTTAAGCTTTCAGTCTTTGGGACTTCCCCTAGTCTGCAAAAATGAATGGGTAAGGCTGACAAAAAAAAAGACCTATGCTTCCCCTCCTTACTATGAATCTTCTAAACAGCACCCAATTGACGCTCAATTCCAAGTCATTCTTAAAAACGAGAATAAAACATACTTTGTTTTGAAAAGACATGATGTCTGCTATTCGGATTTCTTTGATATAATCAACGATAACTCTCTTTACAAAGTGGAGGTTTTAAAATTTTTCTCTTTTCTTCAAAATGTTGAAAATTTCATAAAAACCTGTGAGTGAGGAAAAAAATTTTCTGTGACTTTGTTTGGACTTATATGCAGAACAAGTGAATGGAAGTACTGTATTTTGCTACTTCTTCTCCAACGCTACCAGCAAATTACTCCGAAATATCTACACCACAACCAAAAGGCAAGCCATTTTGTATGATTGATTAAGTACATTATCTTCTACGCAAAATAAACCTTACAAATCTATACCAGATTGTCAGTTTTCACGAAATCAACACCAATTCTCGCCAAAAATGCTCTAATTGCAACTCTCATGTCACTTGATAAATTCTTTGACAATATTTCCAACACTAACTTGTACATCGATGGGCCGTATTTTTTGAAATCCTCGTCATCCAACTCGACATACCCTTCGTAGATTTCAATTATGACCGGTTTCCAAGTACTTATATTTCTTTGCTGATTTGTCTCATCAAATTTTAAAAAGTTATCAACGATGGCAATACACAACGTATGCAATTTTGTCAAGATTGCTCTCTTGTCCTCTGATGAAACTTTTTCATCGTCACAATACATGCGGAACATTATATTGATGTAAACCGCAGACGACGACGACTCTTGTTTCAAAAGGTTTGGCAAGCGCTCTATCACACCTGCATTCCATAATCGAACCCTCAAATCGTAATTTTCATTGAATGACTTTGCAAAACTGTACGAACTATTCAAATAGTCAGCCAACTTCATCAACTGGTTTAAGGGAATACTGTCATAAAATAACTCATTTTCGAATAATTCAGACAAAGTTTGAATTAATAGCAATTGCAAGACACTCTTCACAACAATCGACGATTTCTCTCTTGATTTTTTCAACCTAACTTCATTGTCATCGAGTAGTTCCTTCTTCAACTTCGAATCTTCCTCTCCGTTCCCAGTTATAGAGAGGTTATCCTCGTTTCCTTCGTACAATGGATCCAATGTGAATAATTCTTTGGCGGTGGTGAGCTCAAACAAGCTAGCAAATGCTTCTGATATTTCTTCCCATTGTGATGCATTGAACTTGGATGAATTATCAATCAACACCGTTGTAAGGCATTCGCGTCCTATTCTTGCAATGGTGTCATTCTCCTGACAGATACACGATATGATCAACTTCAAGTATTCATTCAACATGTGGCTCAACTCTGTGAAATAACTGGTAAACAAATTAATCATGCTTTTCAAAGCTTGGATAAGCGTTGTCGATAACCATACCGATAAGCTATCGTTCAACTCATCCAAGCTCAATTCCCAGTGGTTTCCCAAGACCTGGAACATTGGGAATAACAACTCACGACTAATTAAATTCCAAAAGTCTTGGTCAAAGTACTTTCCATACTTCATGATCAAGTCAAATAAATTGTTCAATGCTCTCGATCTCACTTCCAATTCCTCACCTGTCATAATGACATCATAGAAGCCAAATAATACAGGAAACCAAAGTTTTTGTAAAGATTCGCCGCGGTTTGGATGCTCAACATTGTTTTGATCAAACAAACTGTATTGTGCAATCTCGTGAATCAACTTTGATAAAACATCCAAAGACAATAAACTAATCCGTTGGTACCTTTCATTCTTGGTCAACGTAGTGAAACATACAACCAAATCGGAAAATGAATCCTGCTTTTTCACCTCTTCGACATATTCTTTATTAATCCAAATTGCCATTTTATAGCTCTTCATTACCAAGGTCTCCTTGTTCTCTTTTGCTGCTGCAGTAAGAACGTTGAATATGGTTTTCCAGCCTGACTTTATTTGAGAAGCTCTGGCAAGAATCATATTGTTTATACACTCAAGTACCATGTCCTTTACCTCTAGTGATCGGTTGTGGATTATCACATACTCGAATGGCTTGAGAAATTGCTTCTGAAATTTAAAATTTGCCAACTCTTCGATTTCAAGAAACCTCATTGAAAGCTGTCTTAATGAGTCCAATGCGAAAAACAGGATGGACGGATTCGAGTGGCACCCTAACGCATTGAATGTCTCACCCATAGTTGCCCAAAGTTGTGACCACTCCAAACGAATTCTGTTCATATTGTAGTAGCAAATGTCGACAAATTTCTGCAATGAAAATGTTCTCGGGTTCGCACTTTGGCCAGAGGAATCAATCTCTCCCTTGGCAACTTCTGACAAGGCCTTAACAAATTCAACAATGCTGCTCCCATTTAAATTAGCACTGTTGGTGAATACTTTGTCGATTGCAACTTCTAAATCTGTTTTGACCAACAATCTTGCCACTTCGTCAGAAAGATGCTGATTATGGAATTTGCTTGCAGCCGACTGTGCAGGACTTTGCGATGTAAATGAACTAAAGAAGCTCGTACTTGTCCTTGTACTATCTGTTGAACCTCTGGTTATAAGTTTCGAGGTCGTAACATCGGGTATGGAATCCTGATCCACCCCCTGAGCAATCAACTGCAAACGCTCAATCTGTGAAATGGATGTCAAAATTTGATTCCAAGCTGCCCCTAAATGATCACCTTCCGAAACTGCCAAGTCCAACATAATGTAAATTGCATCAACATTTTTGCGCTTCATCTCTTCAAAGTTGCTCAAGTTTTGAAACTGAACTAATGCACCAATAAATGATGCTCTTGCATAGTCCAAGTCAAACATACAAGCGATACGGATTGACAACTTTATTCCCTCCAAGCAGGCCTTTGTTACCACATCATCATCATACTCTTTGAATGGCGGTGTCAATCCCGCAAGTATTGACATCCACAAAGTGTCAAATATGGATTTCACGTGTAAGACACTAGTTGCTGCGTAAAACATCACATCTCGGTCATCCACTTTCGCTTTCTTTCCTAGATTCTTCATCAACTTTTCTGTCTTTGTTGTCATTTCCTTTGATGCAAACATATAAGCTTCACGAGCCAAATCGCGCCCTCCAAAGAACCCTATGGATTGAGATGATGGCGCAATTTGTATATCACCTGCAATGAGAGCAGCGTGTTGCTCAGACTGTAATTTGATCTCATTGTTCAAAATTTCGTCATATATCCTCTGTAGCAAATCTCTTGGCAAGTCTTTTCCATCGTCTATACCTGAGTTGTTCATTATGAAATTGTCAATATTCATCCTGTTTTTAACCTGTGGTGAGTGAAGATCAGTATTTAGCATGATAACCGAGTATCCTAACACATAAGCCGTATCAGCGTTTGCAAAAAGGTGAGGGTTTCCTTTGACATAACGTTCAGCAAACTTTAACAAAAATCGATCAATTTTTTGCGCTTCTCCTGGCAACCTGAAAGATTGCAAGAATCGCCTCATTGCATCAACGAATTCAGCATTTTCAAAGTCCATCTGATCCACAAAAGAGTGCATGATGGAAATGTTTTTATCATCACCTTCACCGAGATACTCACCAATGGTGGCCTTGTCAAGGCCGTCAGTTTCCAAAAGAAAAGTCGCAATGTCTTCAGAAGAGTCGGATTTAATGAATCCCTTTTCTAAGAAATACTTTATTCCTCTCTTAGCCTTCTGGTTGAATTGCTTTATCCCTTCAAGTAGCGCCTTCTTTCTCTGTTTCTGGTTTTCAAATTGTTCAATCTTGTCTGACTCGGTCTTATTCAAGTCATCTCCATTGATAAACGACGTATTTCTTGTAACATTCAGTGATGTGTTGTTCGAATCAGAGCGGTTACGGTTCAACGACAAGTACGACTCGCTGCCTTGTTCCAAGAGTTGCATCTTGTTTGAATTCAGTATTCCCTTTTGTGCCCACGAATGCAAGGAGCGCAAGAAGGCGACGGAACAGCTAATTGATGTCATTTTTAAAGCATACTCCAATGGAAACAATGAATAAACGGTTGGCTGTGGTGGTTTTGACGACATCGTGCTGCTTGTTAAGTTGGCCACTTTGCCAACATCATAAACCGCTATACCGCTTCTCCGATTTTCCCTAAAAGCTTGCTTCTGCTGGGGCGTCACCTCAACACGCTGTAATGAAAGTTTGGTCAAATAGTCAATGATTTTCTCACACATATTTGGCATGTTACTGTCACAGTCGTAGTTTAAATAGAATTCAATAATACACCTAGAATCATTGCACAACCTCTCGATGACTGACAATAGATAGCGCTTCTGGTGTGGACTCGAAGTTTTCATTTCAGCAACGGGGAAATAAATTTCATCCCAAAAGACGGGAATCTCCCTCTTGAACTCCGATCGCAAATTGGAAATGATTATCCAAAATATTTCCAATGATAACTCAAACACTGGTGCTAGGTCAGATGCAGCATTCTTTGATAATGCTAGGTTAATGTATTGTCTGACGGCATTTATCAAGCGTACTTTTTCATGGGCACTGGGTGATAAAATTACCACGTCGTGGCTTAAGAAAATTTCTATATGCTCCTTGAGAATAGTATGAATAATGTGTAGTGACAAAAGTTTAGATCTCACCGAGTGCGATTTCATATCAACAGTAGTGGAATCTAAAGTTTTGATCGAAAGCTTACACATAGCTCTAAACACCAAAAACGCATCTTTGACTTCTAGATCCTGGTCATCTTCTGTGGCGCTGCTGGCTTCATTTACCCTGTCGTTGTCATTTAAGGAATCGTTGATTGTCTCTAATTGCGACAACGTTAACCTCTCCTCTTCTCTACCATCTGGAAGATTTACATTTTCAATAGACTCAAAATTCAACTTTGACGTGTTATTGCTTTGGCTTCGGGACTTTCTTGACTCTTCGACTCGAGAAAAGATTGCTCCAATGACCTGTGTTAAAATACCCTGGGCAATCGCCTGGTTTCTTGCCGTTAAGGAAAAAATAAAAACATTGTAGATTTGTCTCACCGCTTGCAATAAAGATGCTCCGTGACAAGGCATTAAAAGTATTGAGTGCATCAAAGCCCGAACTACTTGCAACTCCAACTCGGGGTCTGTTCCTTCTCCTTCAAAACAAGACGATATAACACTAACTGAGTCGTCGGTGAGTTTCTTCTTTTCTAATGGGTCATCAAATTGAGCGTAATCAAATAGTTTTGCAAACAAATCAACGGCCTTGGACTTCAACTCGACACTATTCGAGTCACAGCAAGCTTTTAACGCATCAAATATCATGTACGGTTCTCTTTCCTCGGACTTACTTAAGTAATCAAGGGCACGCTGTATCAAACCTTTAAATTGTTCATTCTTTTTAGCTTCTTTCGACTCCAATATGGAGTCAAAGCTTTTCTTGAAGATTTGCGAGTTATCGACGGTTGCACTAGAGGCAAAAGACAACACCGAGGTCTGCCTTCTGTGATTGGCATTTGCTGAGGACTGTGCTACAACTGGACTACTAGCAGCCGAAACTATGGGGGATGATTGTGTAATGGTTACATCAACATTGTTGGTATCAGAACTGTTGTCATTTCGGGTCAGCTCATTGTGGCCAGAGACTTCACCAGAAGCATCCTCCCCATTGTTCTGCTGAGCTTCTAGCGTGTTTTGTTCAGATCCTTCCAACTCCACTTTAATTCCATTCTCAGTGGACGTATCATTCTTGTTGGCGTCCCCATTGACCTTCTCCTCTTGTGAATCTTCAATTGCGTGATCTTGATCTTTTGCATGAGCTGGTTCTTCTGTGGACCCATTAATGGTACCTTCCTGATTTACAGACATGAATTGGGGTTTTGTGGGTATAATATTCCGGCTCTTGAAGTGATTTAGTGCTTTGTTGAACCTCGCTGTTTTAATTTTGTTGGCCCGTAACTATTTTTATTTTTTTTTTCTCTCGTTCTTCTGTTGTTTTTGTTCAGATTTGCATGGCTTTGTGAAAGAACACGGATCAATTTACAATAAAGTTAGGTCACTTTATATTTATTCACACATATACTTATAAAACCTATAAACTCTAAAATTCACTAAGAGCGACAGCAGTAGCTTGGAAATCGTCGTGTGAAATGGACACATTGACATTCTTGACTCCTGCAGCTTGTGCAGCTGTCTTTGCATTTCCATTCAAGACAACTTTTGGTGCACCATTGCCATCTCTAATAATCTCAATCTCTTTCAAGCTGGCGCCGCCACCTTGAGATTTAACACCCAAGGCTTTGAAAGTGGCCTCTTTTGCCGACCAGGTTCCAGTGAAAGACGCTTGAGGATTGGAAGAGTTTTGGCAATACTTGATCTCCTCCGGGCTGAAATTTCTCTCCATAAACGTTTCATTGTCAATGTTTAATTCTGACAACAACTCAACATCAACACCAACACCCTTGGATGACTTGTTTAAAGACGATAAAGCTTTGGCAGTTGCGTTCGAAATTTCACTCACGTATGACTTGTCTGATTGAACAGATTTCTTTGAAAAGACAAACTCATTCTTTGTTTTGGAAACTCTAGCCAATGGGTCCAAGTACACATCCATGGTCAATTCATCACTATAAGGAGCCTTGTCCTTGGCAACAAACATGGTGTTTCTGGTGATAGCATTGTGCATGTAACGGTATGTCTTCTTGTTTCTTGCTGTAACTCTTTGAGCATAATCTTCATAAGTTGATTTGTCCAAAACGGCGTACAAGTAATCGGGATGAACAACAACAGCTTGAGCACCCTTTTGACCAAAACCAAAAGATGTAACCGAAACTGCCTTGATACCATCGGTTTGGATGGATCTGGATGGGTACAACACATACTCATACTGCTCCAATACCTTGTCAACATTATCGGCGTTCCTGTTACCAGGAACGATACCAGACTCTAAAATTTGGATTGCACCATTCAACATCCAGGCACCGGCAGCACCCTTTGGATGGCCAGTTAAGTATTTCTGGAATACACCAAATACAGGGTTTCCCTCTGATCTACCCAAATGTTTCATCATATTATCAATGGTTGCCGACTCATTCTTGTCATTTGCAACAGTTGAAGTACCATGGAATGAAGCAACTCCAATGTCATCAATAGTCAAGTTAAATGTAGCCAAGGCTCCCCTCAATGGAGCAATTCTAGGATCAGAGTTGTAGAACGAGTTACCCCATTGCTTCTTAGCATCAGCAACTTGTCTCTTGGACTCTCTGTAAATTTCTTCGGTTCTTTCTCTCATAAACTCAGCTTCTGAGAATGCTTCACCAAATTCTTCTCTAGCCAACTCAGCCTCGTCTTGCAAGTAGTTAAGCTCTGATGATTCCCACGATTTAATTTGATCCAACCTCTTCGACAATTGTCTCTTTCTGTACTTGATGTTCAATAATGGAGATGGGTATTTCAAGCTTCCGTGATGCTCTCTTGCTGTGGTCAAGATACCCTTACCAGGTGCTGGAACTGATCTTCCAATCTTGTCAGTTGCTGTGGCTGACATAGCCAAAACAGCGTGAATAGGGACACCCATTTTAATAGCCAAGTCAGCTGACATGATAACTTGAATACCTGACCCTTGTGCTTCCATGAAACCATTTCTAGTTGTTGTTGTAGGTCTAGACATTTCCTTTGGTGTTCTACCATGTTTGAATTCATTGATAGCATTCGATGTGGCATTCATATTGGCGAACTCATAAGAACCCTCCTCTTGGAAATCATCGTAACCACCAACCATGACAACCTTGGCCTTACCCGACAAAATAGTTTCAATACCAATATCAACTGATTCGACAGCTGTGGCACATGCACCCACTGGTGTTTTGATAGGACCGGAAGCCGACAATAACAACATATTGACCCAAGCAGACATGGTATTGATAAAAGACTCTTGCAAAATGTCATTTTGAACTGGCTTGTCAGCATATCTGTCTTTGAACATACCTCTCAAGGCACTAACACCACCCATACCAGAACCGGAACAGTTACCAACTTCAGAAACGTGAACGTATTTGTAGAATTCGTATGGATCAGTGATACCAGCAGACAACAAAGCCTCAACTGTGGCAACCAAGACGTACAACGTAATTGGATCAACTTGGTTAATAGTATCCTCTGGAATGCCGTAGGTACGAGCATCCCAACCACTTGGAATTTGACCTGCAACCAACCTGTCGAATCTCAATGCCTTCGGAATAAACAATGTGGCACCCTTCAAAATTCTAACGCTGTACTCACCACTTTCTTCAATCTCGGAAATTTCACACTTTTCACCGTGCTCGTGTTTGTATTGTTCAGCAGTTTCCTTTGAACACTCAAATGGCTCCAAGTCATGTTGAATAACAACTTCCTGGATCATTTGCTTTTTCTTTGGATCATAACCATTGAATAACTCAGGTTCAATTAATCTTATACCAGAGTGATCCAAAATCTCCTCCTCGTACTTGGCCTTGATGTCTTTATCATCAACTGGTGTTTGTGTCTTGGCGTCAATCCAACCAGAGTATGGCTTTCCTTTCAAGTTACCGTTGTGGTATTTGATCATACCCATGATCCAAGCCATTTCAATGGCACCTTCGAGAGAGAATTCACCTTTCGATTCCATTTCCCATCTTGTTCTTGCGTTACCCCATGGACCAACTTCAGCAAATCCTGTAACCACCACAACGTTTTCCAAGTCCAACATTCCTTCCAAGTCAGGAGCAATTTGCTTGATGTCTTCATAGGATTTCAAAGTTGGGAAGTCAAACTTCATGTTTGCTCTTGGTTGAACAGTAAGCTTGGTGTAGTTTGAGTCAACATTTTCACCATTGATAACCTTTTGTTCAATTGCAGACTCAATAGAGACAGCTCTTCTAATATCTGCAGTTTCAGTCAAATCATTTCTCAATTTGGAAGTAAATTCTTTAAGGTTTTCGATAAACTGCAAACCACCATTCAAATCTGCCATAACTGGTTCTTCTTGACACAAGTTGACAATCTCTGGGGTCAATAATCCTAGAATGTTGAAGGCCATTTCCTTTTGTGAGAATGTTCTAACTCCCATCTTCTCAATGCCCTCAGCAATGATGTTGTTTGCACTCATTAAACCAGTACCTCTTGTCCAACCAATGATGGCACCACAGACGGTCAACTTAGTTCCCCAATCTTCAGAATACCATCTGTTGAACAAAGTCTCTAATGAAATCTTTGACTCTGAGTATAACCCGTCAAATCCAAAAGTACCGTGGTTTGGTGACAATGGCAAGATACACTGAGCAGGTCTAGTATCGGTTGTCTTTCTGGCTTTCACTGCACCCAACAATCTCAAAAGGTTGGTCAACATGATTCTGTGAGCAAATTCTGACTTCGAATCGATGTTGTCAATACCATTACCGTTTTCAGGAATAGCAGCAAATGGAATAATGACATCCAAGTCCCAACCCAATCCGCCTTTCTTTGGGTCGTTATAGATGTACTCGACCAACGAGTCAACATCTTGCTTAGAACCTTGGTTGAAAGGGACAACAATCAAAGTGGATCCAGCAGCACCGTATCTAGCATACATGTTTTGATAATACTCTGTCACTTTCTTGGAGTAACGAGATGTGGTGACAATAACCTTGGCACCACCACTAATCAAACCTTGCAAGATTTCTGCACCGATAGAACCAGCTCCAGCTCCAGTAACCAACACGTACTTGTCACTGAAGGTCAACCCATTAATGGCTGCCGATTCCAAACCATCCAAGTAGATTGAGGATAATTTACGATCATACTCCCAGTTTCCACTCTCGGATTTGCTTTGAATGTGCAAGAATGGAATGGTTTTGTTTGGTATGGTTGAAGAAATTGGTTGGATAATGGATGTTTTATCAGGCAAAGATGCAATCTCGTCGTCGTCAGAAGCTGTTGACAACTCGTCCTCCTCTGTAGGAGTGTTTGCACCTGTTGGAATAGCCAAAGCATCTTGTGTGGTTTGCTCAGTTTCAATCTCAGTAGATCCAGCAACAACCTTTAACAATTGATCATAGACTTTTTGTAATTCCAACTTGCTATCTCTTGAAGCTTGCTTCGAGATTGCCTTGTAAACTCTGGCCAAATCTTCCTGGATTGTGGATTGCTTCATCTTGGTCATTGAACCACCTTGAGCCATTTCAAAAACATATTGCTCAAATTTTCTGACTGAATCCTTGTTGGCTTCTTCGTATACAATGTCACCCTTTGCACCAACAGTTGTTTTTGGGCCAGTGATTCTGCTGACATCCTTGTATACAGGTTTTTGTCCCAAGACTTGCTTACAGTTTTCAATCAACTGTTCACCCAATCTCTTTCCCAACTTGTAAGTTTCTCCTCTGTAAGTAGGGCAAAGATCAACGTGGTACTGCATAAACTTAATCAAGGTTGGATTGGCTCTATTCATAATTTGGATACATTGATTAATAGTTTCCCTATCAACAGATGTCAATTTCCCAAAAATAATGTCAAACCACATTGACAAAACATCTTGCCTTGCCCAGTTCCAGTAGGAGTCGTAGGTTCTTGATTTCAATGATGAAAATACAGGCTTAATACCCTTTGCGTAAAACTCACCATGCTCTGCTTCCCACAAATCCAATTCTTGCTGCAAGACAGTAGTAGCCTCTTTTTCCTTGATGAAAGCCTTTTCACCTTTACTCAAATCAACCTGAAGATACCTTGCTAAAGTTTCTAACTGCTGTCTAGCTAATTTCTTGTTTTCAGCAGTTAGAGCATCCAAAGCTGCACTGTCAACAACGGCAGCTCCTGCACCGGAGCTAGCACCTCCTGCCGAAGGTGATGATAACGAAATTCCTGCATGTGATGCATATTTCTGAGCCATTGAATCCAAGAAGGATTTGGCATCTGCGTCAGATCCCAATCTAGCAGCTGGCTCATTACACAATGCGGTCAACAAAACTGAATCTTGTCTTCCGGAGCCCAAGCCAAATCTCGACTCTAAATACTTTCTTGCAGTTGTAATAGAAAATCCTCCGGGCATCTTTGATGACATTAATCTTCCAATCAATGAAGTCGATGTCTTACCCAACGATCCAGAGAAGGTATCTTGGAATTGTTCTGCCAATTCATCCAATGGGGTTTCCTCGGGTTTTTCTGGAGTCGATCCGAATTCCTTACCCAAATCTCCCAAAATTTCATTTTGAACAGTAGATTTACCATTAACCAAATCCTTAATTGCTTTTGACATGGGAACGGCATCCAAAGGTTTCTTTAATTTTTGTGCAACCAAGACGTGTATCAACAAAGCAGCTTTAACCGGTTCATCAGGGATCGATTCAACTGGTCCAGCAGATGGTGCTGGTGGCGCTGGTGGCGCATTAGTTGCAGCAGCTGGTACTTCTGCGGGTACTGATTCAGTCTTTTGCTCTTCAGTTGCTGGTGGTTCAACTGGATCAGGAGTGTAGTAGATTTCCTTTCCATCTTTGGAGTAGCACAACACTTGACGTTGCAAAGATAATGCGGCATCGTACGACTGGTACTTAGCCTTAATGGTTCTTGAAGCCATACCAGCCAATGTTGGAGATGGTCCAATTTCAATTACTCTCTCGGTGTTGTGTTGTTTTAAAAAGACATCTTGAGTTTCGATCCATCTAACTGGCGAAGCAAATTGATATGCCAACAATTCTGTTAACAAAGTGTGAGATAATTCTTGTTCAATTTCCGGCTTCATTGTAGCGTATGCTGTTGGTGATGATGACAAGAAGAAGTTAGCTGAAAAATTAGGACAAGCTAACCTTATTTAAATTAAAAGTGAATTTACCCAAAAATATTTTAGTTGGATAAAAAGTTGGTGCTTTGAGTTACACAAAACTGACGATAGTCCGAAAGAGATAAAAAATTGTTGGAAAAATGGGCCATGGCGGTGGAAGGAAAAACACAGTTGTTAAGAAAGGTAGAGAAGTTATTATCTTCTACTGTGCTACGTACAGTTATAAACTATCTACTAGACAGGTGATGGTGTTTTCACTAACTCGTTGGTGATTCTGTATCCTCCTCCCAACAAATGCTGCAACCAACAAACAATAAAATATTGTCTAATATGCAGGTTGAAAGTTTATCAAAAGTTGTTGAGCTGAGCTTTCTTTTTCTTTTGTTGTTTTGTTTGGCCAGTGTCGCGTATCAAAATGCATCCCCTAAAGATTCGACACGACACATTGTAGAAAGGATCAATAAAGACTTAAAAATTTTTCAACCAAAAAAAACTAAACATTTGGTCTCCTTTCTTTTTCCCTTTTTCCTTTCTAATAACATCACCAAAGCTTAATGCCTTCTCATTTACCCTGAGTGTATTCGTTTACGTTCAGTTTAAAATGGTACAAGAGAACACTTTTGCAAATTGGGAGATCAAAATCACAGGTCATCTCCACCCTGGAATGAATCTCTTTAAAAGAGGATTTCCTTTTTATTTCGGGACTATTACAAATGATCTACAACTGTTGAAAATTGTTTCAGTAAGCAACTGCAGCACCCTGCTTAATTAACAGTCAGTGTGAAGTAAAGAATGTGGTTGAGAGGATAAAGTAACACATTACAAAATAGTTTCTATTCCCTCAATTCATAATAATGTATTTACAATATCACCAAAGTAACAGCTAAATCTTTCTCTATAAATGACCAGTTCGGAGCACTCAAAAACATACTTTTTGTTGTTTCCATTAAACATCACCCACTGTAGGTTATTCAAACGACGATGGTACTCCAAAACAAAGTCCTGAAACTTTAAAAGATTCTGATCCACAGTGCACTCCCAGTATTCATCTGCAATTAAACAGTTGTTACGTTCGGTTGTTTCCAAAACATGCAAATGAAGAAATTGTGTTGACTGCGAGATAAATGGCAATATTTCAAGGATATCTTTCTCGAGAACAGGTATTTGCAAATATCTCAAATTGGTAAAGCGCGATAACTGTTTCAAGCACGTCAAGTCAAACTTGGAATTGAGTTCCAACCGCATGATCCCAGAGTTCAATTTGTGTAGAACACCACTTGTAGGAGTCTCTGTCTTCAATAGCAATGATCTAAGGTTTAATTTTGATAAAAGCTTTACCATTGAAGGATCGTCTTCAACAATGAGTGATAAATGCTCCAACGACGTGAAATCTTGGTCAAAAAGATAGTCTCGTTTATATGTACAGTTATCCAATGTTAAGCTTTGGACTTGACTAAAGTCGTATTCCAAATCAGTTAAATCGATATTTCGTAATGTTATTGTATCGAGATCTTGAGCAATGTCAACTTCAGTGTAGACTCCTTTCGTCATGCAGGGAAATTGGGCACAGCAATCGGTCTCTATTAGTCCACTCATTGTACAAATCTGGGAGTTGTATTTCAAGTAGCTCAAAGGGAGGGGAACGATGTGGTTCCAGGAAAATATCTGCAACTGGATCATTAAAGGAAGGATTTTTCCAAAATAATCAAATGACACTAGATCCGAAATATCAGGTAAATTGCTCACCATGAGTGCCTTGATATAGTGGGCGTACTTGACCACACACTTCATAAATGCTTTGAGCGCAAACACTGACCTTATTCTAACACCTCTCACAAACTTTCCTTCGATTTTGTAGTCGTTGCGGTGCTGTTGAAATGCATTTAACGATTTGGTATCATAGTGGAATAGATGTGGGGATGAGTCAAAGATTATAACTGAGTATAACCGGGGATGCAAAAGACGGTAAAAGTACCGGCTTGTTGTCATCAACGAAAGTAAGTCATTTTGCGGTAGCAATACGCCAATCTTTTCAACTACTTCTGGTGGTAAAAGGTGTAACATTATTTACTACTGAGTGAATCGTTAATTTTCAGAATTCATGGTGAAATTTGTTGATATAAATATGGAAATCACATCTAACTAAGTTTTCCCACGTCAAAGTGTCACAATATCCTCATCCACAATCCGTCTCGGATTTGAAATTTTATTTCATCTGTTACACAAAATTATTTCATTCGCTATAGAAAAAAGTTATCTCTTCGGATCTATAAGTCCAGGAGAGAAGAATAATAGAGGCTATATTTCTTGGGTCCTGAATTTGGTTCTAGTTAGATGTGGTCTGCTAGATCTTAATTATCTTTTCAAAACACACCTCTGTTGGGGATCGCAACTGAAGTAAGATGGTGTTTGGTGCAACAAAGCGTAAACCTTTCCCAAAAAGGGCTTATATTGTTTCCATGAATTGGTCGAGGGATGAGAGTAGACAATTGATGCAGTACCATTACTGCATTAATTTTGTGAATTTGCAACTCAACTGTTTCAAATCTTGAAGGCAAACCTCCTTGGCGTTTTCATTCGTGTGCCAAGGTAATATCGGCTACTTTTGTTTCCTGGGAGAGGTAAAGTGGGACCTCTAGTAGAGCTTTGTGCTATCGCAACTACTATCCCAATCTGCTTTGATTCGTTAAAGCGCTTGCTGTGTGTCCTTCAGTAAGCTTAAGCAGTATTTAAACACACTTGATTAGCCTGTTTCCAGTTAACAGAGGTGGTTTACAAATAACGAGACTGCCTATCAAAGTGCAAAATATACCATTTTAGACAAACAAGGCTATTATGGCTACTCTTCTAATTTGAATAATCTAGCGAATTGTGCTCGGGAAGACTGCTCACGAGGTTGCTTTTTTCTCATAATCCAGCTATAAAATGAACCTGATAGAACAAATACCGAAATAATTCCTCTCGATCACTGACTATACTTGCATATTTGCACCCTCCCTCCAATGAATCATTTGCCGGAGAGGGCCACTACCAGATGAAAAATAGGCACCATAACCCTCCTAAAAGGAACCAAAACGTGACCACCAATGTCTTGGTACGTTTTTTCAAAGGTAAAACCAATTCGAAAACAGCCTGGCTAGCTCAATCGGCTAGAGCATTCGACTCTTAATAACTAGTAATCGAAAGGTTGCGGGTTCGAGTCCCGCGTTGGGCTTTGTTTTTCACCGGCCTGGCTAGCTCAATCGGCTAGAGCATTCGACTCTTAATAACTAGTAATCGAAAGGTTGCGGGTTCGAGTCCCGCGTTGGGCTTATTTTTTTGTTAAATTTCTAACCATAATGTGGAACTAGGTATTGTTTTATTATCTGGCCATTATATTTTTTTTTTTTTTTGAATAATGAGAATTGCCGTGTATATTCTTGATCTACATGTGTATGATTATTTGGTTCTTAATTTTTTTGCGTACAAATTGTACCAAAAATAGTTATAATAAAACTCAGAAAGAAAGAATTCTGTAACAATTTACAAACTTTGAAACTTTTTGGGTTGCTCTTCTTTTTCAGCTTTTGTTTTTGCTAGTTTAGCGTTTTCCATGACATCCATTCATTTGAGCAAGAGATAACTACTATTAGTTGTCACCACCTTGAATTAAGAGCTTACATTTTACTGCAAATGGCATAAATTTCGAGGATTTTGCAAAGTCTGGTAAGTAGAAACGCTCTTTGAAATAGGCAAAGAAACCGTAAGTCCAGAGTTGGAACCATACGCGAGTTCATTTCATGCTGCTGCTATGCATTATGCAGAGGATAAAAGAAGATGTCGTCAGTTCGTATCAATTACCAAATATACAACTTACATGAGAGTTTCCGAGCCGAGGCTAAACTAACGCAAAGATGATTATGAAGTTTAGGATGTAGCTGTGATGATGTCTTGTGCACAAAACCAATTGTTTATATCTATGGGAGAGAGAAAAAAATAACAAGACAAACGGCATTATTGAAGTGTAAATTGGTCTGGGACACACTCGATGAGTTTCAGTTTTGTGTTTACATTCTTTAAAGGTCGTGAGACATCCAAGAGAATCAATCACCGATGCTCCATCACCTCTTCGCTTTCAAAGAAATGAAGCTATATAAGTTAACAGATTCTTACTGGTCAGACTGATCAATAGCACTTTTTCTCTGCTTTGCAGAATCCCGTAGAAAGAGATGTTAGTCATTGTGATACATCTTCGCTCTGCCAACTCAAAGTGAATTGAATTCCAATTTCGTTCTCTAAGTCTATCACATGTGAAAAAACACAGTGAGGGTGCACTGGTACTTCATACTAAGTGAGAGATTTTCTAGCCCTGCTAGTTGATGATTTTTGTTGGCTTCGAAGCCGTAAATAAAGCGAAGTCCTTCCGATGAATGCTATACACATGTTTAGACTATAAGACTTAGCTTGACCACAGGTATACAATGCCAGGCACAACCACAATGTAATTACTAGTCTGCAGATAAATATTGTGATTTGATTTGCAGCTTAAACTAAACAAAATTGTGCAATGCAAAAGCTTGGCGTTTGGCATCGTAATCCGAATTGTAAGTCTAGCTACTACTTCCAGTACCCTTCACCAAACCTAAATATAGATCAGTGGACGCTGTGATCTTAACACTGCCACTAATTAAAGGAAGTAGCAGTCTAAAATTGCGACAAGGTATTGAATTTTCTCGCGCTACCCACAAACAAAAACAATAGGGGTGTTATTTGTAGACCCAAACACACATAATCCGCGGAAGTGTTCAGCGGCACCGTTATACATTGAAATATTACACAAATCCGAACACACAAAATGAAACGATTACTTAACCAACAAACTTATATGCAGTACTACATAAAAAAGACAAAAAGCCAAAAAAAGAGAAAAAAAGAAATTCTCCCCCCAAAAATAAGACAAAAGTTTGGCAATTCTGTCCAGCTGAAAAATCAGATAGAAAGGGGACATCAAAAAAAGAAAAAGTTACACCTCAAGCTTGGACTGAAACAAACAGTTGAGCTTATGCAGTTCAACGGGGATTAACTGGTAAGCAAATGTAAATAAACATCATCACACTTGTGCTCAATAAATACAAACGTTTTTGAACTCTAAGCAATAGACAGCTTTTGATTTGAATAAGAGATTACAAAACCATCAAGCGCTAATACATATACTAAATGGAGAATTTGGGAAGTACAAGTTTAAGCGTACAAACAAACAAACAAACAACAGTATCTTTACTTCCACTCTTCTGCTGCAACCAGCTGACTTTGTCTTTGTAGAGAGTATTGCATAAATTTTGGTTCGATTATTTGATTGTCACACTGCCTGATGACCAGAAATGTGCCGTACTTACAACATTTAGTTCGCTTCTTCTTCCTCCTCTACCTATATAATTCCGTGGGCTCATTCTAATTTTGTCCCCATGCAGGTGGCTATATCCGACGTTTGGTAAAATCAAAATAAACTTTGCGGTTTGTTTTGACTTTCAACTATTATTGTTAGTTTAAGGTCCAGCTTTTGTTACACTATGCTTTGAATAAAAAAATCGTCAAATTTTTAGAACTTTGAGAATAATAATAACAACAATAATAACAACGTCTTTGTCTCGTGCTCTTTATTAGGGACTCAATATTACAAACTGGTATGTGTGTCTAGTAGCTCTTACAATTTAAAGACATAATTCTGGAATTCGTGCATGGAAGCACCGTCAAAAGAACAACAACACAAGCAATTTGAGTACGTTGATGTCCTACTCTGGCAGTAAAGTCAATGAGTTGTGGCAGGAATGAAGAAAACACAATAAACTGCTCTGATTGCTTCTGCTTCAAGATTTTTTGTCAAATTGGTTCAATCTCTACCTTTTAAATTAAAAGACTCAATATACCCTTTTGTCTGTCAATAAAGTGTATATATATTTTTATATAGTGTTATAATATTATGAAACATATGCATAATTTATTAAATTTTATTTTTAATTTTTAATTTTTAATATTTTGAAAAATTCCAAATTATTGTGCACACGTACACTACCAATTGTCTTTTACTAATTAACTAAAAAAATACATACAGACAGACACTTTCTGATATAACACCCAAGTCCACTTTTTTTTCTATTGCAAACACAAGAACAACTTTTTATAGAGATCAACCAGGGTAAATATCTATTTGAGTAATTGCATTACGTATTTTACATATCACACCCCATAGAATCTATACTCCATCCACTTATAAGGTACCCACCTCATACACACACATACACTTGTGTTCTGATAATTTTAATTTATTTCTTTTTTTTTTTTTTTTGGTTGGTTTAGGATAGATTGCCACTGGACAATAACGTAATCATCCCTCTCGCAAGAGTTATAATCCACCATTCCATCACATCACATCACATCCCCGCCTTTTTGGACTGTATTATACAAGCAATACCACACTACATCAAGATAGACGCTCAAATACCCACACGATATGTTTAATACTAAAATCTTTGATAATAGTGCTAGTTCAGGGTCTGCCACTGCCACTGCCACTGCTGTAAATATCCCCCTAAATAACAATGCATCAGGATCAGGATCTGGTACATCATTTGGACATTCACAGCAGCAGCAACAACAGCAACAACAACAGCAGCAGCAGAACCAACACCTGTACAACAATGACCAGCCGCAACCGATTGATATCACATTTAATCATCGGCCATCCATTTTCAACAACTCCAGATTTAGAAGGGAATCAGTAGCGCATTCACAAGGAATGGGTGGTATTTCATGGGGGTCGGTAACGATAGGCTCATGGTTGAAAGATGAAGTGATGTCGGTCAATATAGGCGGCGGGCTGAATAATTTTTTAAACCCTCATTATAATCAGCAACAGCACCACCACCAACAACAACAACAACAGCAGCAGCAACTGAACCATCACAACTTGCAACAGTCGCATACCAATCATCAAAATTTGATAAATCCGCGCAGAGGATCCTTTCGCACAGCTTTCCACCCTAGCATGTCGCCGCAGCAGCAAACATCATATCTACCAGACTTGGAAGCTGATTATTGCAAAGATTATAATTGTTGTGGTGAAATATTGCCTACATTGCATGATTTATTAAGACATTATGAGGAGGCCCATATACTGGCATCCCCTCCAGTAGATGCTACCCAGAATTTACTAAACAATAACCGCAATCGTAACAATTACAACAATATACACAATGTGATGGAAACAGTATCGACAACAGATGTATTCCTCAACAATAACCACCATCAGGGAGTCGATGTAACTAAAGGTTACGACGGAGGTAATAATTATCAGTTCAATAGCAACCCAGAATCACAAATAAACCCAAACCAACAACAACAACAACAACAACAACAACAACAACAGCAGCATCAACAACAACAACAGCAACATCAGACACCACAAAGCCTCGAGCAGCAGCAACAACAACTGCACCTACAGCAAAATCAACAACAGTCACAGCTGCAATTTGCCAATACTCAATTTGCAAACCAACAATCTCCACTCAGTCCATCACAAGCAGGAGGTACACCAATGCAAACTGATGACGATGATATTTATATTGACGATCCAGCGCGTCATTTATACGTGATGGAAAATGAAGAAAATAAACCATTTAGATGCCCAGTCATTGGATGCGACAAGACCTACAAGAACCAGAATGGATTGAAATATCATCGTGCTCATGGCCATCAAGGACAAAGACTTCGTGAAAACCCCGATGGTACGATATCCATCATTGATCCAGAATCAAATAGTCCTTATTTGGACAATTCAGCATTGGAAAAGGATAAACCATATCGTTGTGAAGTTTGTGGAAAGAGGTATAAGAATCTCAATGGGTTGAAATACCATCGTGGTCATACTACCCATTAGATGTACATATGAGGAGGAGAGAGAGAGAGACATTACGTTGTTGCATTTTCTTTTTATTTTCCAATCCGAATGTTGTAATTTTTGATGTAACGTTTTATTTTTCATTGTTGTTGTTTTTTTTATTATTTATCTTTGAATTGTTTTTACTGGGTAAAGGGTTCCTTGGCATTTTTACATAGTTATTTAGTATTATTCGTATGTTATTAGTAATTTCTTCTTGTGTTAAGTGATTGAAACGTGAACTTGCTCTAGCTTTGAGTAGTAGTGGGTTGAAGTAGAAAGACTATTATTTTCATCTCTCAACAAGGGGAATGAGGTTGGGGATGTTCCTTTGGATAGGAAGTGTAGTACAGTTACCTATACTGTCTAAATTTTACATCTCAGAGTGTAAAATTCCTCAGAGCATAATTTACATGGGGTGAATGTAGGTTTACACTGGTTCGGATAGCGCAAGAAAGTGTAGACAAAAATAAATCTCCAGAATATTTTTTTGGAAGAAAAGCAAATAGGTTTTACACTGATATCGCAAAAGCATTAGCTCAAAGGCATTAGCTGCAGAATAGTCACTTCTGTTTAAATTGGGTCTCCTTGATTTTGTTGCACAACGAGGCTTGTACACGCACAACAGACAGTTGCTCACACACATCATTACACGCCCCACCCCCTTCCCCACGCACCCACGCCTGATTGATTCTCTCCATACTACAACAACCTTATACACTTGAAACACATTCGATTTAATTTCCTAAAAAAAGAGCCAAACCATAAAATGAAATTGATTACGACGCTCGGGTTTAATCTACCATTAGCAGCAACTAGAACCTGGCTCTATTTCACATCGACAGTGGTTGCATTAATCCTTCTTGTACCATCATCCATCATTGGCTACTATGTATACTACACCACATTGATTCCCGAGACGTACTCACCGTCAATCCCATTAGATTTCATCACTACTAAAATTGTTACTCCTGTCAAAACATCACAATTTGGGCACAGTTATCGACCAGACAGGTTTGTATATTTATCAAGTCCAGTTGATCCGCAATCAATAACCCAGGATTCTGTATTCACTTTTGATAAGGATTCCATCTACACTTTTAAGCTCAACTTGGACCTATATTGCGACCATCAATTTGCTTACGATACCAGTATTCATACAGTTTATTATAGCTTACAACTGAATGTCAAACCCATGACATTTAACAAGGATGCAGATCGATGGGACTATGGAAGCGACGAGCCAGTATTCAAACATGGATCATTCATATTGGATTGTGATCCGAATTTGTCCTTTGGACTCCGCAATCAATTTGTGCCATTGGCATTACGAAATTGGGTTCCATCCTTTTTGATTGATTATCGCAAATCTCGCGCTGTTGAAATCGATGCTTTTGATATCCTAGGTTCAGGATTATTCACCAATGATAAGTTGGCTGCTGTGACCAACAACAACGACGACCATACTGCCAATGGAAACAATCCACCTCCATCTTCATTCAGTTTAATCCTACAATCACCAGAAGATACATCACGCTCCAACCAACGAGTCTTTACCATTGATCGCAGTTCTAGTTTTGCTCAATTTCAATTGAAATTGACGGGGTTTAGATACTTTATGGCGAAATATTTCTTTACGTTTTATTTCATTGGTAGTTTAATATTTTATGTCATTTGTTGCTTTGTTACATTTGTTACCGGATATGGGATTTTATTCACTAGATCTAGGCCAGTTGGGGCTGCTAAAAGGAGGTAGGAGCTAGAGAGGAAAGAGAGGAAAGAGAGGTATTAGTATCGCGAGAAGAGCTCAAAGTGATAACAGAGATGTGGTGAGGTGGATATAAAGGTATTAAAAGCGGATATAGAGCAATGAAAAAAGTACAGTTTGTTGTTTTTGCATTGAATTCTTGAACTACGGCAGCATCTTGAAACCACTCATAGAGTCGTGCTATGGGAGTGGATATGCCCATCCTTTTATATCATCTACTTTTGCAAAAACTCTATTACCTGTAAATCTAAAATCTTTATTTAAAAGTAATTCTATAAAAACATGATTTAAAGAAATCAAAAACCAAAATTAAAACCAAAAAGCCAAAAAAACCAAAAAAACCAAAAAAACCAAAAAAAAAAATCAAAATCTTAAAAATCGCCCTCTAAAGTAGCTTAATTTGCATTCAACAACTTCATTTCATTACTTGAATCAACACTTAAAAACGGAATAATTCGTTTGAAATAAATAAATTCATTGAAATCCTTACCTCGAACAGTAAATGATTTGACTCCACTCAGATTGGCACTACCACAACCGCTAGTATCGCCACCCACATTCTCTTCACTGTCATCAATTCCACTAAATACAGGAAACTCCACACCTTCAACGGCGCTTGAATCAGTGTCACTATACCCAGCACTCAGATACAATGCATCAGCATCAATCCGGTTATTCAAGTACTTTCTAAATTCATCAATGGTCAAATTCAACTCATTAATTGATTTACCTAAATTAATCATGGTGGTCATTGACGATGATGAGGTATTTGAAAACACGGAAGACTTTATCTTCCTGGCTGGATGATAGGATCTAGTTCCAGAAACAGGATCTAAACTCGATGAAGATATGTTTGAATTTGACACATCTTGAGTGTAATACTCTTCAAGAAATATTCCATCTTCTTCTTCATTTATATAAACCATCTTGTTATTGTATAAATCAGTATTGATGAATAATGAAATGTATGGAAGTTGTGGATGATGAGGAAAATACAACACGGTGGATTTGGACAAGTTGTTGCTGTTGTTGTTGTTGTTGTTGGTGTTGTTATTGTTGGATCTCGAACTTGAACCCGATCCAGACGAAGACGAGCTTGTAGCTGTAGTTCTCGATGACATTGATGGCAAATGACCATCCGAATTATAAAACATTTGTTGACGAACCAATGAATTTTTATGATTGATAATTTGAAATTTCTCATTAACCGATTCATGACATACAATAATATCAAACTTGAAAATTGGACGAACAATCTCTGGCGGTAATCGAGCCAATTCAGGCGGTTGTATATTATATGATTGTTGCAACTGAGACAGCTTCTTCTTTGTCAAAGGGGACTTGCCTTGACCCGATTGCTGCATTCTTTGTTGGGCGCCAAAACTTGCATCTTGTAATGAATTGTTCAACTTGATCGTATCAAGAGAGTAAACTGACTCATTATCGGACCTTGTAGATGAGGACTCAGTGACCGATGTAGGAGTCGACCTGAATGACATAATACTGGGCGACGATGAGCGTGACTTGAATGAATTTGTCGTTGATAATGAAGTAGATGATTCTGAGTTGCGAGTAATGTCGTTTCCACCAGTTTGACCATTATTGTCAGGCCGATTTGCCAAAACTTCCTTCGGATCAACCATCTTATCATCCTCATCATCATTATCGTCAGAAACAATACGTAACAATCTCCCAATAGAACTAACCAATGACGTTCCCTTTGATCCTATTGAGCCTGCCACCGAATTTGACGACGAAGAGGAGCCCCTTCTTGACCCATCAGCTTCATTGTTAGTTGAATCGCTCAAAACAGGTGGCACCGTAGCACAGGTGTAAATGGCTTCATCGAAAATTTCAAATGCATGTGTCTTTCTCAATTCTGATGATTTCGATAATGAAGTGGCAGCGGCTGAAGCCATAAACATATCTTGTGGTTGATCATCGTAGCTGCTATTGTTACCAATGGACAAGTAATCATCGCGAGCACTAACAGGTAAAATACCAAATTTTCGATTAACCAAGGGTTTATCAGGTTTAAAATTTAACGTAAACTTTTGACTCCAGCTGGTGTCACCACCACATTCTTTTCGATTGTGTTCATTACACATCTTCATCGTATACGTCTGCAATGCCTCAAGAGATTGATCCAATTTGTATTGCAAATTTCTCGTCACTTGTATTGTTGCTGATGACTGATAGTTATTAACGCCAATAATTCTCCAAACCAAAAACTTGATATAGTATGATCTTACTAGTGGGTTCCAATGGACAAACAAGGTGCGGAACATATCATCGCTGATGATATAGTTTATGAAATTCAACTTGAATGAATCTTCCGTATTTGTTATCCATTTATAATTCTCGTCATCAATACTACCAATGAGCCCAAACTCCAGGCGTTGCGGTTTAACAAATGAGCACAATGCATCGGGAATCATATCCCATATATTGAAAAGAAATGCAAAGTTCTTCAACAAACTTTGTACGTGATCCGAGTGACTAATCATCATGTAATTACAACTTAACCAAAACTCCCAACTGATGAGATATTTCACCTCGTTGGATATATTGTTTTCAATATGGTTGACAAATTCAAGAACAATACCTAGAATCAATCCATTCTTGTTAAAATCATAGATGGTCACCTCTTTTGCTATTGAGATCAAGCACAAGTCTATAATCTTGACCACACTGGCACTTATACAGTCAATGGATTTATTCTCAAGTGTAGCACAGTAAATCACATCACGCACAGTCTTGAATATCTTGATTATTGAATTATAGTACATGTCACTTTGCTTGATATTTATGTTGAATTGTGGAGGTGGTGGCGGTACAGGTGATTTGAATCGTTGGCCATTGGAGTTGAAGGTATTATGTGGCGGTGGAGGAGACGGAGGCGGTGCAGGTGCACCTTCTGAATTCTCATCCCGTTTACGATTTGCCATGGTAGGTACTGGTGGAAGTGGAGCATTCTTGGTGATGTTTGTAAAGCTTGGCTTAGCAGAACTAGTGATTCGAGTAATGGCAATATGAAAAATCTGATAAATATGACTCAAGATGACACTAAATCCAGGACATTTTAACAAAACCATCACATCATCATCAATGACCGGTAGCAAACTCTTTTGAACAATTTCAATATAATGACGCAAAAATGAGTTGAAAACATTAGAGTCAGATCCACACCAGCGTCTAACCCAATCACCATTGGGGTTCTTGATTCCATCAACAGGATGTTTGGGTGGTGGTGTGCAATTCATAAAACATTTTTGTCCCTTGTCTGACAAATTTGTTAAACCTTGGAAATCAATCAAGTGATGCAAGTGCTTAGGAAAAATACTGTACAACTCTCGATAATCATGAGTGCTGGGACTTGGCAAAGTCTTGACACAAGATTCTAGAGTAATTTGCTTCACATTAAGTAAAAACAACAATGCATTTGAAACGTTGGGAATCTTGAAAAAACTAAAGGCAAAAACTTTTCCAATAAATGCTGCCATTGGACCTGATATCGTTTTCAATGTAGTCAATTTATCAATACAGAAGTCCAATGTTGTAGTGAGTAAGACTTGGTAATCATTGAATTCATCGTAGTAGACCCAATCGTCTCGTGAAATAATCCGCGAAACACACTCCAAATAAGCATTACGATCAGAAGCAGGTATGCTAGTGAAATGAATAGGCTCAGCACTGGATATCAAAGAGTGGGAAAACGAGCCTGAAGTGGATGATGACGATTTTGCAGCCCCTGTGGAAGCTGCCGATAAATTGGCAGTAAATCTCAAATTTCCAATCAATGAATTCCACCATTTAATCAATATAGCCAATACAACACAAGACAAACTTTTATAAACCTTGGAGTCTTTGGCGAAAAACTGGTCCAACTGATTTGCACTTCTCAAAAATGGAATTAACGATGTTCGAAGTAAGTTTCCCTTCATTATAGCTCCATTCACGGTTTTGCTGCTATTGGAGTTGTGATTATACTTTTTCGAATTAAACTTGTTCAATGCTAGTTCCAACTTCTTGTATCGCTTTAGTAGGGTTTGTATAAGTTTGTCATTGTTGTTGTTATTATTGTTGTTATTGCTGTTACCGCTATTAATTGATGCATTTGTCGATATCGAGCTTGCACTTGGTATCGAAGAATAAGATGATAGTGAAGCATGTGAAGATCCCGATCTAGGAAGTCGATAACTAGCAGATGGTGGAGTTAAAGGAGGAGGTGGTTGTAATGCAGGAACTTTCGGCGATGCCTTTGTTACCGGAGACGCCTGTAGCGTTGAAGTTGATGTGTTTAATGACGATGACGATGATGATGATGCAAGAATGTTCCTCTGTGAAGGTACAGGAGACGACCTTAGTAATTTTGAGGGCAGCTGCATTGTTACAGCGGCAGGCTTCGTTGGCGGAGGTGGGGGAGGCAGTGAATTCAGTGGCGTCTGTTGAGCGAAAAGTGAATTGGAGGAAAACTTTCTGCTTATGAAACTTTTCGACTTTGAGATAGTCTTTGATGGTGTAGTTTCCGTGGCGGAATCTTCATTTTCGTTATTTGTGACGGCTGAGTTAGAATCACCTTGTGCGCCGCCTGATTTAGACAACGCATTGGTCATGGTAGCAAACAACGGTGTAGCGAGCTAGCCCAACAACAATGTATCAAAATGCAAATAAATATATATCCAAGGGAGCCTGATGGCACTTGGATCTATTATAAAATGTAAACTAGGAAAAGCGAAGGAAGCTTGCCCAAATCCAAATGAAGAAAAGAAAAGCTCCGTAAAATTTGGCAAGCAAAAGCGATTGAATCGGAGCTTTGGTAGTAGCTAATGTAGCGATAGTGCGATGATCTATTCCTAATCTCAACTAGGATGAAAGGGGGAAGTGGGGAGAACTTTCAGGAGAAGGAGGGGAACGAACTCAAAGGACAATAGTGTAGTCTAATTGCTATTGCCTTCTGCCTTTTGAAATTTCGATTGTAAAGTGATTCTGTTATTGTGGATTCTCTTAAATCTGCTTCTCCTGATGATCCAAAAGCAAACGTTTTTTTTTTTTTATGTTGCAATCGGTTTATTGGTTAGTGTATGGCTTGGTGGTGTTGCAGCAACGTGGTTTCGTGACTGGAGATGTAGAACGATCGAATGATGTAGTTTGGCGTGGTCTTGTACTCTAGAGTAGTAAAACAAATGACACAGGTGTTTTAGTGTTGCTGAAAGTTTTGGTGTATGGTGTGTTCTGTCTCCTTCCTTTCAAGCGTTAAGTAGGGTCGAGAGTGGTTGTGTTGGTTGTTGGTTGTTGGTTGTTTGACGTGTCTCTCTAGCTAACTTTGAGTTGTGCTTGTTATATATGGTGGGTGTAAGGTGCTGTGTTGTTGTTGTTGTTGTTGTTGTTGTTGTTGTTGTTGTTGTTGTTGTTGGGGACTAAAGTTGCTCTATGGTTGCTTAGTTTGTTTGATTTGTTGTTGCTAAAATATATTTATATGTTTTTGTTTGGTTGTAAAAAAAAAATAGTATTAAGAAAATAGAAAAATGTATATGTATACGTTTTATTGATGAATGTATATATTGTAGTATACTGTATTGTGTAAGTGTTTACTTTTTATTTTCTCCAAAGTATATAGTACTGCATATAACCAATTCCCATCCGAAGTATAATTACATAATCCATTACGTAATAATCACCATCACTACATCTACAATACATACAATACAATACAATACAGACAGAACTCCATTGTAGAAGAATCTCTCTTTGGCTGTGTCTTTATATTGTTCTAGTATACTATAGAGTAAACACATTATGTCTTTATTGTATTCATTTCATGGGATACACATATTGTAGAACAATTGTGTACGGTTAAGTTAGTGAGAATACGGTGTATGTATGTATGTATGTATTTTAGGAGTTTGTGTGCAATTTGTCTCGAATGAAATTATGTGAAATTTCACTTTTGTAATAATAAGGGACGACAATGTAAATGAAATTTTTCAGTTACAATAGATTTTATTGTTTAAAGTTGCTTATAGTGAGATATTGATACAAAAATGGACAGAGTATACGAAACTGAACGAGGAGGGAGATATAGAGACGAAGTGAGCTGACCAAAGTGCAAGAACTCCATAATACTTGCTTCGTGCTAATAGTGTGTGTACTTCTCTTAAGACGTATAAACACTTTGCATATACAGAACTTATTCTTTTCTATTCTTAAACGCCTTCTTACTTTCTCAAAATGGCAATTATAAGCCCCTTTTTTATCAAGTCTAGGGATAGATATGTAAACAAACAAAGCCAGCAGAGCAATTGTATCATTCAAATATATATAGTAGGCCAAGTACTGCCATAGGTGCTGATACCTCATCCTCATTAATATCGTTGACCTGATTATCACCTTTATAATTCAAACTATTTTCAAAAAATTTGAGATGTATTATATTTTCACTAATCGTTGAGCTAAAAATAACCAACTACTACCACCACACACCATCTACAAAAAACAATAAGTTACAAATATTAAGCCTCCCCTTATTATTACTATTATTATCATTATTATTTCCTCTGTACTAAACTTGAACAAACACAAAATATAACCGTCTCAATAAAACCTAAAGGAAGGCAACGTATGGCTTACGTCATTTCCAAATGTCTTCCATTGAAGGTTCACCAGCAAACCATCTCAACCATAACCCAAGAACGTGGCTTCCTACTCTTGCATATTCCTTGGTATATCTACATGTAACCCTCAGGGAAAACAACAAAGAAGCGAAAAGCAACATAAGAAAAAATTATTTTATTTTTCGAGGATTGGTTCCTATTGTTTATAGAAGTTACGAGCCCTTTCGCCCAAACTTTAAAAGTAATGATATTTAAAGAAGAAGAGTGACAAAAATTCTCCACAATCTTCAGAAACCACATAACTAAAAATAGACCCTACAACATACACTGCTAGTCAAGGAATAATGAAACTAATAAATTCAACTCTGTATCTGGTAAATATACTTTATTGTTATCCAAATCCCAATCGCCATTGAACAACTCCTTTATTCTTGTAAATCTAAACACACACACAAACACACTGCAAAAGCCTTGCACCTTTTCTTAAGCAACTGAGCTTTTATCGAATTGCATTTACCTATCCATTTTCGGTAATCACTCACCCAATTTGGGAAACTAACCATTCAATATTTGTTTGCTTTAGTAAGGCTTTTTTGAATTTTTCTTGTTTTCTCGTTTTACCGGAAGTATCGGAGAAATAACTGATCCAAAAAATAAACAAATACAAAGCGCAATTATTTTGCGCGTTGATTTCATTTCTACGTTAACCCGAGTTAGTGAATGATATACCGTCTTCCTTTTATTCTATTGCGAGCCACTTGCTTTTCAAAAGTGAAGAATTATTTTGCGCTTGTGTTTTCTTCCATTGACATCATATCTCAGTCCGAAAAGTTTTAACATTCAAGTGTGTTATTGGGGAAGAGAGGAGAGGTACCTAGTCGTCTAAAGCAGCCGAATTTTCTTTTTTTTGCACTGGGGAGTCAAAGTGATATGGTGAATGCTACAAATAGGATCTCTCTTTGTTGTGACGCTGGACCCATGTAGATGCTTATTTCATCATCGCACCAGTCAAAAGATGTACTTTTGCAAAATTTGTGTCAGAACTCTTTAATGTTTCCTTAAATTGGACTTAGGCGGACAATAAATATCGAATCTCTAGGATGTATTCTACAACTTGCTAGGTAGCCTATTCTATACCCATCATGCCACATTCTGACTTACCAATTGAGCTACTTGCTAGAATTCTTCCCATAGAGGATTGCCTTCTAGACTTGCCCAATGAGATTATTATTCCTTGGTTAAATTTGTTGCCCCAGGTGGAGCTGTTTAGAGTTTTGGGCTATAGCGGTTTTGGATGTAATTTTAACGAGAAAAATGGGAAATCAGAAGTAACTTTATCAGGCAAAATTTGCACCAAGTAGGAGATTATTGGGAAATAACACAAGCTTGCCTTGAAAAAGTGCTGGTTAAATATTTGAGCGAAATATTTATCAAAACTGAGCATTTTGTTGGAGTCAAATACTATAAAAAGTCATATTTGACTTTAGGGCCATTGGAAATTTGTAAATTGATTACCACAAGCTTCTGTACTGCCCAGTACTGCTTGAGGCTTTGGACAAGTTGTGATAGACAAATTGTTCTCCTATGGACTAATTACTTTGCGTGGGGTTATTTTCGAAAAAAGACTTGTCTTTCGCATCCTTCAAGGTTTCATGCGGATGCCGAATTAATAAAGTTTCCCGACTCTTGCTTTAAATAATTCTTAACGAATCCTTCTATGTCAGAAGGCTGTCCTCAGTTGTTCCAAAGAATTGAAACCTTGGAACTAGTTATGTCTATTGACGAATTTGTTGGGATGAAAAGCAATTTTCCACCTGTGGACAGCTACTTCCAACCTAGACAATCGAGGTTATTTTTGAATTTGGTTCAATACAGTATAGGAGAAGTTGTAAACACAAAATACCCAAACGATTTCCCCATCCAATGGATCGTAGATTTATTCGCTGTACAAAAGGTTCAGAGATTCAGCATACACTATTTTGATTCCAACACCACTTTCGATGACCTTGACAAACTCTTTCATCAAATGCCCGCCCTTTTGGAACTCGATCTTAGCTTTGGCAAATTGGGGTTTGAGAATGTTGTAATGCTGGTGCCGTTTAAAAAGAATGACTTTCACATTCAAACCAAGGTTGACAAAAGTTTCTTTGAAGCATACTAGTTCATATACAATAAATCCGTTTGGAGGATAAATATTCAGGATATATTTGCCCGAGGTTAGCTATATCAAAAGGGCAATTGCATCCAACTCTACTGAGGAACCGTTAACGCCTGCACGGTGTATTGGTCTTTGGTTTGAGTACCAAAGGTGGAAATTGAGACAACGAAGAAGCACATTAGCAAAAGATAAAGGAGTAAAGTTATAGAGAAATAGAGTAAAAATAGAATTAGATTGAAAGTTTACGTGCTTGTGCATCTCTTCACATAATACTCTAAAATAGGGATGGAAGAAAGGAGGATGTCCTGTGTAGTGAGTGTACTTATATCTTAAGATGTGGCGGGACAGGATTATTCCTGCAGAAAATGGCAAAGAAAGCACAGAGCGTTGAAGTTTTGGGAATACCAAAACAAATCAAAATGAGGTGTTTGTTAAAGGAAAGTACGTCTAACAATTTGTGAAATTTTGTATACAAAATCAGATCCAAACCTCACAAGAAAAAAAAAAAAGTTTTGCAACACTTTTAACATCTTTAGAGTTACACATAACAAGCGAAATCAAATAGTCTCCATTTACATGAACAATACAACTTCTCCAACACCAAACCTCTCTCAGGATGAAGCTAATTTCATGAACATTGTCTTTTACTGGAATCATTGTCAACGACTTTGGTTCAGTGCTATATTAGCAGTTTTTTGGCATTTTCAATTATTTGTTAAAAATATGACATCGCGTCTTTAACACAGTCATGATTGGATAAAAAAACAAGAACCTGGGGAAGAAAAAATTTGTGTAAGACTTTTAATGGAGCAAGGGCTTAAAGATTTGGAAAAGTCATCAATGACCTAGCAAGAACCAACAAAGTCCTTGAAGATAGAGTCAAATGGTTGGAAAAGGTAGTTGAGCATAGCTCTCAGCAGATACCCTTGTTGAACACTGAAGCGTATGAGAACCAAAATGTCCTGGGAACAAAGGTAAAAACTAAGCTTGACGCAGCTGTACCTTTGCTAAAATCTGAAGAATTGACTGACCTACATTTTGAAAAGGATGCTAGAGAAGTCGCCTCGACAACGAGCACTGTCTGCAAAGGTAAAGGCTTACCTAATCATCACGCTTCATCAAGTGGACTGGAGATTAGTGACAAGATTGTGAGGGTTTATTCAAGTGGTATTGAGTCAGAGGATATTCATCTTCAATCTGATATTATCGAAAAAGCAATTGCTCCAGTTGAGGCGGCTCAAAGTTTATTTGCTACTAGTGATGAACATTTGAATGAAAGCTGGAAATTGGAGTGGGAAAAGAAAATGATGGATGAGGAATATCCGGTGTCTGGTGCGTTAACTATGGAAGAAGGTAGAGAAGAAGAAGCAGAACAACAAGCTACACTTTTCCAGCTCCTTTTGAAGATGCCTGAAGATTTTTCTGTCAGCCCCCCCGCAACATTATGCTTTGGGTGTTTATCTTTTGCTTTATGATGTTGTAGCTGATCACATATGCGTACTCCGGTACTTGATAAAATGGATCGATTGGGCCCTTAGAGAATACCAGAGCTGTTCAAACTTCATGCTAGTCTTTGAATTCAAGTAAGTAGAAGGTTGTGCGGTTGACTTAAGTAAATCTATAGGTGGCTTAATTCTAATAAAATTAATAGTTTGCCTGGATATTAAGGTGTTTGAGGTTTAAAGAACGATTTCATTTTGAAGTTGAAGTTGGATAGCTTGGGCTGAGAATTCATGTATTTTTCTGGGTGAGCCGTTGCAAATTAGGATAGAGCAAGACATTGTAATACTTGATAGTAAATTTAGAGAATCTATACGAACACACACACAACCCTAAGTCATTATTCATCTTATGAGCTTCACTCAACTGTAAATTGCCAGATGTGTATCACAACAAGTCGAGTATCTTAACAAAAACGCTTAAGTACCTTGTGCCACAAACTTCAACAGATCCTAGGAAGCGTTTGGATTCGTAGTGATTTGTTTAAGTTGTTTCTTCTTTCTAGTAAGTTTGATGTTCGGGATCCACATCATTCCGCGTACTATGTTTGCCAAGGATTGAAGAAATTCCTTTGCAGTTGCACTATCCTATACCGGGCAACTGGCAAAGTCTGTGCCTGAATTCATGATTCCATGCAAGTTGTTGCATCCACAGTGACTGGCAATCGTGACAACCTCATTTGTTCTTATTATGATGCTTGTGTCATTATTTGCTATATTGGTTGTCTCCAATATGCATTTGTCCCACCACCCAGCACTTTGATTTCAACCTTTTGCTTGTTCCATTCAAGTTTCACTACCTTGCATCATGTTAGGTCTCCAGAAAGTTGGAGGACAAACTAGAAAACTAGGGCTTTAATATCCAGCTGAGAACAATTTAAGGAAACATTAAAGGGTCCTGATTTTGATTGGAAAACACTGTATATAAATAAACATTGCGCTTAGTGTACAAATCTAATATTACATTCTATTACATAACGAAAGTTACTCACAGATCCACAAAGTATACAATAGACGATTAAAGAACTAGATATGGATCAAAGTTTAACTGTATTGGTGATTGCATATACACGAGTCCTCTAATTTTTCTTTCAAAATCCAGTCCTTGATTTCTTCTTTTTACTCTTCTTCGACTTCAGTTTAGTGGGGGAACCTGAATTTGATTTCGAGCTAGTCTTACTTGGACTTTGATTAGACGTCAGGGGCTTTGTTGGTGTTTCATTAGAGACAACATCATCCTTGGCTATTGAACTTTGTTTATCGTTGGCATCTCCTAAACTTAAACTATCATTGTTATCCGTGGGAGATTCACTGTCAATTGATCCTTGGCTCTTGGCGACTTCTTCATCACTAACATCCTCTTCCTTTTCGTTAAATGAATAAGTTGAACTATTAGCATCATCATCCTTATGTTTGTCACTCTCATGGTAAATCTGTTTATTAGTTTCTGCATTATGCGACGTGTAATCTTTGACTTCCTCGACAACACTTTCAGTATGTTCACGAGATTCAATAATATTTTCCGCAATCTCAGTACCTACTGATGCTGAATAGTCAGTGGCTGCTGTTTCTTTAGGAGGCTGTGAAGTTGATGGTTGTTTTCCTTCATCTAAGCTAGGAGTTGATGGTTGTTCCTCATTATCCGGTTGCGGGGTTAATTCTGCTTGCCCTTTCTCTGGCTTCGTTGATAAGGTTGGTTTTTCTTCATCTGCTTTAGGAGTAGCGCTTGCCACTTTCTTTTCCGACGTTGGAGCTTCAGAGGGCTCTATATTATCATCAACGTTAGTAGTACCCAACCCTTTTGCTTCAGTTGCAGTAGTTTTCTCACCCGAATTAGACTTGGCAAAAGTTGAATCATCCTCGTCTATCTTAGACAGTGATATTCCCTCCAGTCTTTCAACACTAGAAGTTTCAGGGTCCAAATTTGTGTTTTTATTTGATGGTTCATCTTTCTTAGCTTTATCATTTGTAGAGCCTGTTTCTCCATTCTGAGTATTAGACTTATTTCCAGCTTGATCCTTTTCCTTTGCATCTTCTAAATCTCTCTTGAAGGCTTCAAATTTTTCTTGACCAACACTCCTTGAATGGAGCACCGATTCAGGTTCGTTAGAGAGAGGATCAACTGGTACATCTGTCCCGACACTATCTCCAACGCTTTCAGCTGCTACGATGTCATATCTGCTCAAGATTTCTTTGTCCTCTTTGACCTCCTCCTCTCCTAACGACTTCTCATCCTGAGCAGTTTTCTCCTCCGCTATTACATCATCATGTAGCTTTGCATCGATTTTTGCCAATGTCGACTCACTTTCTTCAGAGACAGCGCCTTGGTTTGATGCATTAGCATCTGTATTTTCATTGGATTTGGTCTCATTAGAAGTATCAAATGTGGCTGCATCTTCTTGTTCTGTCGAACTTGCCTCTTCTGTATTTGCTCCTTCAGAATCACCCGCTTGAGAAGTTCTACTTTCATTATCACTTTTAGCATCATCCTTGGTAACTGGTATGGTTGTTGGTGGTGGTGTGGAAGAATTCTGCGTCACAGTTTTAAAAACAGGAGCAGATGGAGCGAAATCTGAATCCACATTACTAGTTGCACCTGTCGTATTAATAGACTCCCACATGGAAGCAAGTGGTTGCTTGGTTTTTTTGCCTGTTAAAGGAGTCGTGCTTCTTGAAATTGGCTTTGAAGAATCCTGACTCCTGACCTCTGGTTTGCTTGTAGGCAATTCCTCCACTGTGTTTTTCCTACCTGATTCCTGAATCGATTCCTTAGGGGTCTTATAGTGATAATTATCTTCACTATCAAACCCCTTAGTGTTCTCAACCTCAGTATACTTCAAATCAGATGTCTTAGGATTATTATCCTCCGCATTATCGACATTGGATTTAGAATCATCCGGTGGGAATGCCTTGCTATCCTTTTGGTTCGCTACTTCATTTTCTTCAGTTTCGTTTGAACTGACACGTTCCGAGACAGTACCATTTACAGCGTCTATAACATTGCTTGGCAAGTATCCACCTTTCTCTTGTTGCTCAGGCTTCTCTCCCTTCTCAACACCATCTGCATTCAAACTATCTTCAATCTTTCCATACGCTTCATGCAAAATCTGCTTCAATTTTGTCTCATTCAATGGTCCACTTGCAAGCTCATCTTCCATCAATTTCCGTGACTCAATAATACTGGACAAAACTACAACATTTCTTGACTCAGCGATACTTAACTGATCCTTGACTTGTGTAACCTCCTTCTTTAAGTCAATATTGGTCGAATTCCGTTTACTTGATATGTTCTTTTCTGTAGCCAATCGTGCCCTCAATTCTTCAACATACCATTCGATTAGCCTGAATGTATTCCTCGATGCTTTCTTTGTCAATATGGCAAACTCATTCTGATCCACTTCTCCGGTCTTTATATCTGAAATGTACTCCTCATCTGAATGGTAGTCTTCACCAGACGACACCGCCTCATAATTTGTGGCGCCTTGTTCGAGGTGCTTGGCAATCCCTGCAAAGCTAGGGTCAAGGCGTTTCAAATCCTCGACGTAGTCACCACACCTTTTGAAAAATGCTTGGTACATTTGTAGCTCTTTAGTTGCCAAATCAATCTCTTCAGACAAGGAGTGGTTTCCGGCCTTCGTTTCCTTGAGCTCATTGTTTAATTTTGTTTCCGACTGCACGAGTATTTCTGCTCTTTCTTTAAGATCGACCAAAGCCTTTCTAGTATCATCAAGATCGCCAGAGACTTTCACGTAATCTTCGTGCATAATCTTGTATGTGGCTCTCAACTCTTCCAAATCTTTTTGCTGTTGGTCATAATCCTTGGTAAGTTGGTTGATTTTATCAATTTGATGGTTGTTGTCATTTTCAAGTTCCTCAATCTTTTGTTGCATTGCATCTTGCGATCGACGAAGTTCAATGATAATCTCATCTTTACCACCCTCAGATTCCTTAAACAACTCCTTTTGTTGTAGTATTTTACGTTCTGCGGTGGCAATTAACTCTTCCAACTCCGCGATTCTCGAGTCTTTCTCCACAGCCAAACTCTCTATCCCAGTGTTTAACTGGAATTTATAGTCCTGGGCAAGTTTTTGGCTATGTTTCTGAGCTTTTTGTAAATCAGCCTTCAACTGATCAGTTTGCTTCTCGAAAGATGTGGTCTTCTTCATCAAATTTATTGTATCTGAGGTCAACTTCTCTTCGGAAAGAGTCAATTTCTCGGTATTTTTAACACAATCTTTCAACTGAGACTCAAGAAGTTCATTTTGTTTTCGGAACTGTTCAAGCTTCTCAGATGATTCCTTTTTGGAGGCTTCTAGTTGCTGATTTTGCTCATCATGTGATGATTTTGTCGATTTCACGTAGTTTTCAAATTCTAATTGCACCAAACGCAATTTCGCTGATTTCGATTCATGTAGCTTGTAAAGCACTATCACCAAAATGCAGGCGAGTGCTGTGAGAAGCGCTGAATATGACATGACGTGGCTAATGTGACACAAGTAGATGATTTTGCCACAGGCTGGGAGCACATTTATAAGTTTTTTTTTCATTTTTTTCAGTAAGGTGTATTACGCTACCTTAAAGCGTCTTACGATAACTAGACCACTAGTATAGCTGTTTTGATAAGAGTTGTAAGCGCTATAGTGAGAGGTATGGCCTGAAGCGAAACCCGTTCATGGATTTCTTTTAGTTTTGCAACTAAAGACTTTTATGAAAAACTTGGTGTTCCTGCGATGTATCAGTTTGATACTGTGTTTTTTTCTTCGCGGCTGAACTCTCGAAGGTTCAAACAACTACATTGGTGAACACCAAGTAGCTAGGAAAAAGATGACTCCGCGACCCACTAAACAGACTGATATATGTCTTATTGATGCTAGACCGGTATTGCAAATCCAAAGTGTTTATAGAAACTTTAAAAAGAAGTATCTTTGAAGGTGTGCACACACTGATACACAACTGATCCCTTTGATTATCACAACGTGGCCACATCTGTATCCTATCATTCTTACAGCATTAAACAAGCAAGGCATTCATAGTAAAACGTTGCAATTGTTTCCCTTTTGTGTTCATCTTATTGTTAGTTTTTTTCATTAAGTACGATCTAATTCCTAAATAGGGAGAAAGTGCAGGAAAAATTAGACGCCGACTATGAAAACTTTCTTCTTAGCTATCGTATATCAGTCAGTATCCACCGGCGATATTATTTTAGTGACTTCTCGTACCAGTTCATATAGACGAAACTGACTCATAGCTTACTATAGACCAAGCCTACTATCACTCTCACCCCCATCTTGTTCAAACATGGAGATATCACCAGCAAGTCTAACCCCACGACCAAGATCAAGGTCAAGAACGAGAAACTCGACCGCCAATTCAAGGTCTACCTCAGCAACGAGAAGGCCGAGTTTGTCGGGGTCAAGAAGGTCGTTATCAAGCTCTTCCTTGAACAAATTGACCATCACACCAACGCAAATTGACGATGAACGGTCGGTACCATCAGTGCAAGCTATTTTGGATAATTCATTGCCTGCTGATTTTTTCAAGCAAGATATTGCAGCTTTGGCTAAAGCATTGAGGATCCATAAATGGCATAAACGAAACTTGAACATACACAGACTTAGAATTACAAGAATTTCTGGGGCTTTAACCAATTCAATTTACAAAATCGACTATGATGATGACGAGCAAGATATCCATTTGCCTTCATTATTGTTAAGAGTATATGGAAAGAACGTCGACGAGTTGATAGATAGAGATAACGAGCTAGTTACATTGATTAAGCTATCGCAAAAGCGAATTGGCCCTAGGTTGTTGGGAATATTTACAAACGGAAGATTTGAACAGTTTTTAGATGGATTTGTCACTTTAACAAAAGATCAAATAAGGGACCAAGTTATTTCGCAAATGATTGGTAGAAGAATGAAAGATTTGCATTACAAGGTTGAATTAACTAATGAGGAGTTACAAGCCACTGTACCCACTTGCTGGAGATTGATTGAAAAATGGCTCAAAATCTTTGAAACTGAATATAAGCCGGGTTACGAGAAGGCAAATATCGACCTCAAAGATATTTTTATGATGGAATTTGATGAGTTTAAAGAGCTTGTGTTCAAGTACAAGCAGTGGTTGTTTAAAAAGTACGACGAGGAAGGTTTTTCTTCAAACTACAAATTTTGCCATAACGACACTCAGTATGGTAACTTGCTTCTCCATCAATCGTTTAATCCAAAAGAAATTGTTCTCGACACGCCAAATGGATCGAGTACAAATTTACCCGAGGTTGCCATCAAGTCGACTTCTAATAAAAAGGATTCAAACTTGGTGGTGATAGATTTTGAATATTCAGGACCAAATTTCCCTGCATTTGACATTGTAAACCATTTCAGTGAATGGATGTCCAACTATCACGACCCGGAAAGGTCATATTTCATCAACAACGAGGCTTTTCCTACCCAAGTGGAGCAATTGAATTTTATCAAAGCTTATATTGAATATGATTTTCAATTGCCGTCATCGAACTTGGTGTCGGCAAAATCAGACGAGGAGCTTTTGAACAATACGAATAACCACGCTGTCGGCATTATTCAGTATGAAATTGAAAAGATGTTTAATGAGTGTATCTACTGGCGGTCATCGGTCCAAATTTTCTGGGCTCTTTGGGGATTGATCCAAAATGGTCCTATTGAACCAAGACCAGAGTTGAGCAGTCAAGAAAGTGAAAAAGGTGTTGACAGTACATACAGTATCACCGTTGAGATGGAAAAGTTTGGACTTCAAGATTTAGATCTAACTGCTGGCGATGCTATAACTTCTAGTGATGACGATTTTGATTACTTGAAATATAGTAACCAAAAAATAGCAATCGTTGCTGGTGACACTATACAATTTGGATTACTTGATAAGGGTAATGTTGATTCGAAGTTCCACGATAGTATCAAGTACTTAAGTTCAAAGACTTATGACTTGTAAAGATGAGTTCTTTTGTATATACTGCATATAGTTTTCAAATTTTATAGATCTTTATATCCCCCACTTTGACAAAACGAAAAACAAAAAAATCTAGGATAATAGTTTAGGCTGCAATTAGCGCCACTCCTAATACATTCATGTTATCCTTTCGTACCAAGGGCTATAATGGTTATGGAGTCCAGTACTCGCCTTTTTTCGACAACAAAGTAGCAGTGGCAGCAGCTGCCAACTATGGTCTTGTGGGGAATGGGAGATTATTTATTCTAGACATTGAACCAAATGGACAGATCTCGAATCCCATATCTTGGGAAACACAAGATGGATTATTTGACCTATCATGGAGCGAAATAAACGAAAACCAATGTGTGGTGGCAAGTGGAGATGGTCTGATTAAGTTATTTGATCATACAGTGCCTCAATTTCCCATAATGCAGTGGAAAGAACATCAACGAGAGGTGTTTTCTGTAAACTGGAATTTAGTAGACAAGACTAATTTTGCCACATCAAGTTGGGATGGAACTATAAAGCTCTGGTCAAGTCAGAGACAGGAGTCAATGCTTACGTTAAATCCAGGTGGAACTGACTTTACAACGGTGGCGGCTCCAGTTTCATCAACCGCACAACCACCACTTCTGCATCAACAACAGCACCAAAGGAACCAAAATAGTAATACTAAAAACTGTATCTATGCAGCCCAATTTTCACCCCACTCGCCTTCAATGCTTGTGTCATGTACTGGTGCATCACAAGTGCAAATCTGGGACATTAGAGCACCTCACCCATTGCAACTACATTTCGTATCACATGACGGTCTAGAGACTCTTTCAGTTGACTGGAACAAGTACAAGTCAACGGTTATCGCATCTGGAGGGACTGATAAATCTGTTAGAGTATGGGATTTGCGCATGGTTTCCAATTTGGATCAGCCTTCTGCTCATTCGCCTATGCCTCTGCACCACCACCGCGGCCCTAGCGCGTTAAATCACTTTGTAGGCCACGAGTTTGCCGTGAGGCGAGTGCAATGGTCTCCCCATACCGGCAAAGAATTACTAAGCACATCGTACGATATGACAGCCAGAGTGTGGGTCGATGAGCTGGATGAGCGAGCAAGATTTCTAAACACCAAAACCGGTGGCATGAGAGGTGTATTCAACAAGCATAGAGAGTTTGTCATAGGATGTGATTATAGTCTTTGGGGAGAACCTGGGTGGTGTGCTACCACTGGCTGGGATGAAATGGTGTATGTTTGGGATTCAAAGAGGCTTTAAAGATGAGATACTCTATTTGGTAAATGCATGTGTAAGCAATGATCTCGTAAATGAACTATGACACAATATGCAACTAAGATGTTTCTTCTTCTTCTGCTTCTTTTGCTATCCCAACGTCTTTTTTACCTTTTACGGATGATTCTGTTATTAATCTCTCTCATTTTGTATAATGTACCTTTTGGTGTAGATGAGTTTCCTATTTAGTTCAAATTCAAAATAAAATTTCTATGCATGGAAAAAAAAATGTTATCAATTTTCCTAAATAGGTAAGCGAATATTAACTTTTGCTGTTTATTACTATATGGACTACTACCTTTGATTTTGCAACTCAAAAAAGGGAATGATTACATACAAGGCTTATTTGTGGTATCAGTAGAGGAGTGGGGGAGGGGGAGATCATATATAATCGATCATGGGTTTCTTACATGTATTTTTGCGATGTCGTACGGGTGAAATTACTTTACACGTTTTATATTTTGCATAGGATAATCATGACAGTCACTACAGTTACCTTAAACTTGGCCTACAGTTTCAGAATTGATCCGAAGGCAACTAGAAAGTCATCCAACTACCAAACATATTATGAAACCAACAATGGGTTATGGAAGACGCATTTAAATGACTTGACTGGGGAGTCGTACAAGGTGATGGATAACTTGTCCAAATTGAGTTCAATATGCAACGAGATTAACATGGCAGGAAGCTTGGTCAATTACGTTGAGTTGATTTCTCCCCTGATGAATAACCATCGAATCATAGTGCATTTACACGGCGAAGAGTCCTTTCTAGCCAAGTCCAAGACGAAAATCCTCCATTCGTACAACTACACAAGTTCAAAAACATTGACCCTTGATGAATCGCAGTATATGAAGATTGACGAACAATTTATCCACCAAATGAACGCATTATGTCAAAGATACCCAGTCGAAGTGATTATAAATAATGAAAAATCGTCATTTAGTAAAAAAGCATCCGAATCAGCATATTCCATCCACATAGTTGGACATCAAGACAATGTAACTTTCTTTGGCACTGCATTGAAGGTGTTAATTGATCTGCATTTGAATAACTACACCATAGATTCTTACTCAATACCATTGAGCTTGATTCCATTAACTGGTGGCACAAGTTTATCCAACTTTAAACAAATTGCCAAACAAACTAGGTCCAATATATACATCCCTGACCTATTACCCAATATATTCAATTCTAGTATACTTACCAGCAATTTTGACATGACCGTTTGGATCACTGCTAAGTACGCTAGGGACTTGATCTTAGCAAAGTCTATTTTGGATAAAATGTTTTACAAGAGGAGTCAATTGATTTCAAAGTCGATTGAAATGTGTCAATCAAAAATTGACTTGATCCTCTTGCATAACCAACAAAGTGTGATTGATTTGATGTTGAAACATGGGGTCTTTATTCAATTACCCAGTTTAGGTGAGGAAAACCAATCAGTTGTAATCCAAGGATTACAAGCAGATGCCATTGATGAATGTATTAAGGATATTGGATCGATAGCAACTGAATATTATACAGTTTCGGGTATATGCTCCAATAAGAGTGAAATCTTGCAATTGTCCCAGTACACTAAAACATGCACAGTGGTAGTTACCGGTAATACTTTTGTGATCAATGGCCATTACAAGGAGATCAAATCGTTAATCCACAACTTGTCATCACTTTCATCAACATTGAATGTTCGTATTGAAGTAAACAACGACCAAAAAGATTTCATTAGTGGTAAGAAAAATGGTAAATTGGTTAAAATTCTTAATCAAGTGAACAATATCCCATCGATTAAATTCATTGCCTACAATGAGTATCGATTCTACATTGATATTGAATCGTCGTCGGCCATAATTAGTCAAGCTATTGATTTGATCGAATTGGAATTACCCCTGGAATTGAAATTTAACATACCTGAAGTATTCCATAAATCAATAATTGGTAATGGTGGGTCCATGATTCAATCAATAATGAAGAAGTATAATGTCTTTATTAAATTTTCATCAAACTTCGACACATCAACCAATGTGTATTCGCTATTACGTCAACCAAATGTGTTGATCAAGTGTCCTCAGAAAAATATGGCCAATATTCCATTAGTAAAACAAGAGATTGATGACTTGGTGTTCAAGTACTGTATGAATGATGTTCAACAACAAAACGTATCCATTTATTATAACCTCAAATTCCAAATTTTAAAAGGTCAATACTTGCTGTTGGTGAATAGTAACAAGCTCCATTTAATTAATCAATACGAGCATGACTACAACTCATTTATAGATTTCCCAACATCAATTGATGCGTTCAAGACAAGCAATGTTGTTGAATTTAACATCAAGGGTTCGGAAACAAAAATCAAGTCGTGTGCTAAGCAATTGCAAACAATTCTTGCCACCAGCTATGAATTTAAATTTGCTGGCAACTCAACCAAATTTAATCAATATTTTAAAACAACAAGGGCATTTGAAGATGAAGTGGTGATTCCATTTAAATTGATGTTTGGGTTCGATGTGATTGTTAATGAACTGCCATTAAATTCCGATTTACCCTATTACCAAGTTGTGATGTCTTATTATTGCGACACCAAATTAAGCGAAGCTATCGAGTCTTTAACCTTTTGGTTAAGAGAATGCGGGTTCCTCATTTACGAAAAAGCTGAAATGAAGTTTAATTCAATATTAGAGTCGTCATTATCGTCGCCAATCAAGCTTCATCGTTTCTCCAATCAGATTCCATTGCAATCAATCACTAATGTCAATATCAACATGATGACACCATCTTCATCGCCAGTAAGGAAATTGCAGCCAACAACAACAACAACAACATCATCATCATCTGTGGCTGCAACATCACCAATCAAGAGTTATATGGTGTCCCCTTCGCGACAACAGTTGATGATGTCGTCACCTATTAGGAATAACATGTATCTGCCGATGATTGGACCTCAATCTCCAACTAAACAAAAGATGTCGACGCAGGTGCAGTCACCGGTAAGGTACAACAATTTCGGAGCTAATCTGGACCAAGCAGTACCACCAGTGGTCAAGTTGCTGCCGGTCAAGTTCAGTTTAGAACCGGCTTTTAGCGCTGGGAATCACGTATACAATATATAGTTAACGACAATGAAATGTTTACACGATATACGCATCTACTTTGAAGATTTCTTTCTTAGTAAGAATCATATTCACCTGTGGCATTACAGCAGATAGGTCGGGAATGGCTTGTAACTGGTTATTCTTTCGGTTCAAACCGACAAGACAAACTATTGAAGAAGGTAGCTCCGCCAGAAGACAAAGATTGGAATCCCTTCATATTGGTATAATACCTCTCTCTTCTAGTTCTATTCCCGCAAAATAAGCGAATTTGCTATCCCTTATCCGCCTTCTCCAATAAGGGGTTACAAAAGTTAGAAAGAAAACGTTTTTTTTTTGTTATTTTTTTTACCACAACTTCACTGTTTTTGGTTTTGCTGGGGTTTTATGAATTTAGCCGAGGGTAAGTTCTCTTTTTTTTTGTTGAGAACTGAGAAACATTAGACGCCAAATAAGAATGACAACCAAAAAATTTACTTTGTTGAACCAGCTGCTCAACAAGTCAAGCTTTAAGACAACCTACATTCATATCTTTGCATTATGTACGGCTGAATGAACTCTATCACGCTCTTGATTTACACTCCGCTGGATCCTTCTCTTCTGCTTTATCTCAAGAAGTAAGTTCGTAGTTTTACCCAACATTCTATTTTTAAACTTTGTGTAAGGGACTTTAATTGCACCCAAAAAAAAAAAGAACAATTACAAAATTACAAACCGAGATATATCATTTAAGTCCGAAAACAATGAACAAAAATTAGACAGAACTTCCAGCAAAGACGCAACCAGACTTAAAACAGAATAATAGTGTACTCCATACGAACCCACGCACAAACAAACTTTAACTTCAATGTGCAGAGAGTAAAGAAAAAAATAACGCAAAAAGCTTTTTGCTTGTTTAGTTTAGTGTAGTTTTGTTTTTGCTTTTTTTTTTTTCGTGTTGTATAAAATGCATGAAAAAAGTCCATCCATCAAGATGACTGCTGCTCTGTTCAGATTTCAGCCGACTTTGCCAATTATTCCACATAATAAACAACCATGTTGATGAAGTTTGGTCTTCCCAGTGCTGATGCCTGGAGCAAAGTGCCTACCCTTGAAACTCCAGTAGCTCCGAGCCCATTCACCTGTCAATACTTGACTCAATTGTATGAATTCACCATGAAAGGTTCGACTCCATTAACCATTGCCATTATTTATTTCACTTCGGTGCATCTTATGAATAAGGTTGTCAGGAATAGACAAGTTCGTAAACAACAGGAATTGGAGAAAACGAGTGATTATAAAGGGGGAAAAGGACAGAAAAAGCAAAGATTACCAGCTGCTCCTTATTCCATCTCCAAGACTCCGTTATTCAAAGTCTTTGTCATCTTGCACAATATATTTTTATGTGCTTATTCTGTATGGACATTTATTGGAATCACAACCACAATTGCATCAACCATGGACATTTTCAAATTAGAATTGATTCCATCATTTTATCAAACTCTTAAAATTGAAAACTACACCTTGCAAAAATTAGATGTGTTTTTCCAAAGTGTCTGTGACCCCAATAGTGGAATTTTTTCCAGAGTCATTACATCAACTCAAGGATTGCATAACTTGGAAATATTGGGTTTCTGGTTTTATATTTCTAAATTTTACGAAGTTATTGACACCATTGTCATTCTTCTCAAGGGACGTCCATCATCATTATTGCAAAGTTATCATCATGCTGGAGCCATGATGTGCATGTGGGCTGGAGTTAGATTCCAATCGCCACCAATTTGGATCTTTGTTGTATTCAATTCATTCATCCATTCATTAATGTATCTCTACTTTACGTTATCTTGTTTCCATGTTAGAGTCCCTCAAGTGTTTAAAAGGATGTTGACATCGATGCAAATCACTCAATTTGTTGTCGGTGGCAGTATTGCTATTTTACATTGTTTTGTTTGGATTATTGATACTAGTAAAATGGTTAGTGCCGAGAACATGGAGTTGGTGAATTGTATCAGCACTCCTGATCAAGCATTACCAGTGTTGATTAATGTTGCATATTTGACCCCATTAACGGCTTTATTTGCTGCTTTTTACATTGAAAGTTATTTCAAAAAGAAGACCGCTTAGACTTTAGGGGCAGTGAAGTGGAAGCATAGAAGTTTATTCATTGTCGCATACTAGTTTGATCTGTATATATTCACATATAATAATAATTAGCTGATTACCAGTTGCATTTGTCTCCTCTGTTTATTCAGTAGCTGCAAAAAAAGAATAAAATAGAGTCATGTGTTTGTGAAGGGAAAGTATTGGACCTGAATGCACTGCAGTTCAGGTAGCTAATGGTATTGAAAGTGTACTGCCTGAGTGATTTACCAGGTTCAGAAGCTATCATAACCCTTAAACAATTACTACAGATGAACTAGCTTTTAATTCTTCCACATTGACTGTATATAGTTCATTCACCAGCAACACTTGGTTTACAAAAAGCCCCGAATAAATCTTACACAAAACATACGTCATACTTATTTCTTTTAAATAAAAAGTCAACCACGAGAACAAAAGGGGAACAAAATTCAACAACAAAAACATCCAAAAATCTCTATTTTATATTGAACACTAAACCATTTTAGAACAATCTATTCATTTTCTATTTAAACTCAAGCAGTCCACTTTACGTATTCCAAATTAAAACCAATATAGTCATCAATGTGTCTGGTGCGAAAATGTCATACAATCCACTAAGCAACGATTCTCAAGATCCCTTTTCTGACCAAAACATATTATCCATTGAGCAACCAGCTGCTATTCATGCCACAGAACTGTTGATATCAACGCAGCAGCAGCAACAACAGAGCCAAGACTCCAACATGAATGATGATTTAAAAGCCAACGGTGGTAAAAATTTCAATCATAATGAGTTTGCCAGTAGTCTGCTGGAACATGCAGAAGAAGAAGAAGAGGAAGATGATGAAGATTACGATAGATTTGACCCTATACAATTCAAGCACTCTGGAGATGGCCAAGACGATTATGACGACGACGACTTGGAGCGCAGTTCAACTGATTCGTTTACTGACGCATTTGGTAATCATTACGCTATAGATTTTAACAATAAGGCGTATACGCTGAAACTTAGATTTAAAGGAAACACATTGGTTTACTTCACGTCGGCGTTTGTCAGTTTATTTGTCAGTTTATTTGGTTACGAACAAGGTGTATGCAGTGGTATATTAGCCTTTGACACGTTTAATGGGTTTTTCCATTCACCAGGTCCGGCAATGATTGGATTTGTGATTTCGATATTGGAAATCGGGGCCATGGTGAGTTCGATATTAGTTGCCAAGATATCTGATACTTTTGGCAGGAAAAGAACCATTTTATTGGGTACTTTTGTGTTTATGATTGGTGGTACCTTGCAAACATTTTGTCCCAACATGTTTGTGTTTGCCTTGGGAAGAGTGTTTAGTGGAATTGGGGTGGGGATTCTTTCAACTATAGTGCCCTCATATCAATGTGAAATTAGTCCTAGTGAAGAACGAGGTAAGTTGGTCTGTGGCGAGTTTACGGGGAATATAACGGGGTATGCTCTTAGTGTTTGGGTTGATTATTTCTGTTATTTCATTCAAAACATTGGTGATACTAGATCCAAGCCGCATTCATTCTTGGCTCATTTGAGTTGGCGATTGCCTTTATTTATCCAAGTTGCCATTGCATTTGTCTTGTTTATCGGTGGGTTCTTCATTGTTGAAAGTCCTCGTTGGTTGTTGGATAATGATATGGACCAACAAGGATTCAATGTCCTTAGTTTATTGTATGACTCGCATAAATTGTCAACTAAACCCAAAAGTGAATTTTTCATGATTAAAAATTCCATCTTGCATGAACGGAAAACGACTCCTAAATCAGAACGTACTTGGAGACATTTATTAAAACATTATAAAAAGAGAGTGTTTGTTGCTTGTTCTTCATTGATTTTTGCGCAATTGAATGGAATCAATATCATTTCCTATTATGCACCACTGGTATTTCAAGAAGCTGGCTTTGACGATGCTGGTGCATTATTAATGACGGGGGTCAATGGTATCATATACTTATTATCAACAATCCCACCCTGGTTTTTGGTGGATCGATGGGGAAGACGGCCTATTTTGGTTAGTAGTGGGTTGGCAATGGGAATTTGCTTGATTTTGGTGTCGGTGTTTATGCTCCTCAACCGATCCTATACTCCATCGGTGGTGGCAGTGCTTGTCATTATTTACAATGCGTCATTTGGATTTGGATTTGGACCTATCCCATTCTTATTATCAGGTGAATCATACCCCCTTTCGGTTCGATCAAAGGGGGTATCACTTGCCGTTGCCTGTAATTGGCTCAGCAATTTCATTGTCGGCTTATTTGCTCCCATAATGCGCCACAATATCAAATGGGCCATGTACTTATTTCCTGCTGGTTCATGTTTTATAAGTATTGTCTGTGTCATTTTGTTTTATCCTGAAACCAAGGGCATTGAATTGGAACAAATTGATGAAATATTTGATGAGTTTTATTCAATCAATCCCTTCAAACGTGTTGTCGGTAGTTTTGATATGATTTTGAGAAAGAGGAAGAGAATTAGAGATAAACAGAGTAGACGATTGCATGCAAAGTATAATCGATTGAGCGATGGGCAACAGCAGTCACAACTGCACCGTCGATCAAGGGACTTTGGTGGCGCAGATGATGATACGTTTGAATTACAAGCCTTGAATGAAATGGACTATGAGAACCCAGATCTATAGTTGTTATAAAGTTGTCTATACTAAATCAAAAAAAGAGTTGGCAGAGTAATAAGTAAATAGTGGGGCAATGGGGCCATAGAAGTCAATACTGTAGTGAAGTTTGAGCTCGGATTCTGACGGTTTCTCTTTAAGTTGCCGAATTCGGTAATTACATCCAGAACGTGTTAAACGAGATTTTATTTTAACGGTTGTGTATATTGTGTGTACAGAAAGAAAAAGGATTGCGGCATTTCTCTCTACACACGACATCTGTACACATACACACACACTCCGAGAAAAATTCTAGACCCATTTTTTTGAGATCGAATCGACCCCCACCCACCCATGCCACTGCTTTTAACGTCGGCAATAAGCGAGTTTAGTTCAAAGAGGGTTCATCATGGTAAATTAGGGAGTCTCATTAGCAAGGCAATTGGTGGAGACAATCAGATACCTTAACTGAGTCAAATGTTTCTCTAGCACGTCATTTTATAGGAAAAGTTGTGCCACATATACCAACGGAAAACAAAATTTAAAACAATTGAAAATGTAAATAACAAAAAAATAGTTTAAGCGATGAAGTCAACTTTAACAGACTGGTTTGGATAGTTTGGGGCCAAAAAAGAACAGCAACTTTACTAACAGAAAGATAGTAGTAATGTACTGATAGCAAAGAACGTTTGTTCTTCGTTTTAGATACATCGGCGTATACCGACGCCTATTAAAAGCAAGGACTGTGTTATTGTTTTTCGAGTTGTTGTTGTTGTTGTTGTTGTTGTTTTCTTATCTATGAAATTTTTATACCAAAACAAGCGCAATTATCGTGTAATAGAATTTAGCTCATTTTATTTTCGTTTGCTATGAAAGATGAGATCATTCATTTTTCATTCAACAATAGCAAGTTAGACTTTACATGTAATGTAAAGTGGGATAAGAGGAGAGAGAGAGAGATCATTATATTGAGATGTGGTTTAAGCGTTGTCTCTTTACGGTAATAAAACTTTCCTCCAGTCTGATTTCTGTTGATTACTCTTTTCGTTGTTTGTCTGTTGTCTTGTTGTATTCTTTTGTTTTATTGTTACAGTCATTCCACAAAATATTAATGCCCCCAATGTTACATGAACTGTTGAACAATAGATTTAGTTTACACGATAATGCATAGAACAATAGTGTAGTAATGTATTCGCCCCCATACTTTTATACTTGTGAAGTAGAAGTTATATTAGACAAAGGCATTGAAGTAGTAGAGAGTGTGTATATAAAAATTAAAAGAAATTAAAAGAAATAAAAAAAAATCTAATACGTATATAATAGGTATATATATATTATACCAACCCTTTAACTCTAATCTAATAAGTTATACAGATCTTCATTTTATACCAATTAAATTGTATTTACTCAGTGAACCCAATCAACAAGGGTAGTCTATACATTCACCTGTCACGCACACGAAGCAGGAAAAGTGTTTACGTTTTGCGGATTTAGAATTTGGTACCATCCCGCTTATTCCCTTTGGAAACTAGTACTTGAAAGCATAATAGACATGGCAATATAACACACCTCCAAAAACACTTGGCAAAAATGTATATTGACATGGAGCAACAACCATTATTCGACCAGGAGTGTCTACAAGAAGTTTGCAATCAACAATACTGCTCATCGACATGTATACCAAAATCCAAACCTGTAAAGATTCGAAAATACAAAGCCAACATTGCAACAAGAGAGAAAAGCAAGAGGCAAAGGGGGATCTCCGAATTAGCTAGAGCCCAGCATTTAAAACACCCATTGGATGATACTTTTAAAGTGATTAATGACGACGAGGATAATTGTTCAGAGGATGATTACGATTCACTAGACGATATCTCATACTCATCTTGCTCGTCAGCGTCAGACAATTTTAAAGACCATCAGTTATTTCCAAACTATTCCTACGGTTCATCATCACCTCGTACCAACTCTTATGTCGATAATAGTATAGCCAGCTGCAGATCAGGCATTTCACTACTTTCATTAAATGGCACCACATTTTCTCCGTCGTCTTTAGCCAGTACCCCATCTACAACCACTGCGTTCTTAACCACCACAGCCACACCTACTTCCCCTTTAGAGTCCATAGAAGGTACTGGTCCTAAAGCTACTACACCATATCTTGCACCTAGTTCATCGCCACTCTCAACATCTGTTTCCCTTGAAGGAACAAATACTCCGAAGACAACCAAGTCCCTCAAACTTCATAGGACTACATCTACTGAATGCTTGAACAAAGTGCTCCTCAAGTACAAACTGAAGCAATCACTATACTCCAACCTCACAGTGTCACTAAAATCTTTAAGAGATAGACTTGTCACAACGAGCTTGTCTGATATTGACATGTCTCCTTCAATCTTGGATGTTTCTCCTTCAACTGTAATTGATGAACCAATTTCACCGCATATAATCACAGATGAGCTTCCATCGCAGGAATTGATTACGTTTTTTGAAGCCAAACATGACCATGATACCATCCAAGAATACACCAAATCTCCATTCAAAAACAGAGACCATCGCATCAACTCCCAGTTCCTCAGATTATATGCTTATGACTACAATGCACGTATGAATTCACGATCGCTTCCTAATTCGCTTTCACAAGAAGAATTGGTTAGTATTATCATGGATAGGCCGCACTTGAAACCATTTCATAAGAAGCACAACATTTATCACATTTCCAACCTATCAAGAGAGAAACTTTGGAACTCGGTAGTTCTCAAACCTAGACTCGATAAATCGCCACAGCAAAATATCGACTATGAAGATTACATATGTACTGATAATGATAATAAACTTACTTATGCTTCGATAACACGAAAACATGGTAAGTATTTACCATGGGATTTGAAGCCTAGTATTAAACCAGCAGGGGTTTTGCCTGGCGGTAAATGGGAATTCAATGGTCAAGCTCCCAATCTGGGGATCAGCAAGACACAATTTACAGTTAAAGGTTGGTGTAATAGCAGATGGGTTGCAAAGACACAAGGCTAGGGAAACATCTGCGGTTGACAAAGCTCCACCCACCCCTCAAAGGCATTCAGTTCAATTTCTTTCTTTTTTTCAACTATCGTTTAATTTGGGTAGATTTTATAGATTTTACAATGGATTTAGTTTTATACTGCATTTGTTGCAAAGTTGCAATTTTAGAGTACGCGATACTATAATGCGACACTCGAATGCCACATTCCAGCGCGACAGTGAAAAGAAAAAAACAGTCCCATTAGGTCACATGACGTTTTAGGTTTCTTTTCTCGCTCGTCCTACATACTATGCAGAAACATCTCACGCACTAACCAAACAAAAATAAATTTTCAAAAACCTGCCTATCCCTCTATACCAACCTCTCTCTCTACACCAGATCATAACTACATAATGGCTCCAAAAGGAAAGAAGGTGGCACCAGCCCCATTTGCTGCCAAGTCTAGCAAATCTACTGAAGCTAAGAACCCATTACTCGAATCCACCCCAAAGAACTTTGGAATCGGTCAATCAATCCAACCAAAGAGAAACTTGTCTAGATTCGTTAAATGGCCAGAATACGTTAGATTGCAAAGACAAAAGAAGATCTTGTCCCTCAGATTGAAGGTTCCACCATCTATCGCCCAATTCAACCAAACTTTGGACAAGAACACTGCTGCTCAAGCTTTCAAATTGTTCAACAAGTACAGACCAGAAACTGCTGCTGAAAAGAAGGAAAGATTGACCAAGGAGGCTGCTGCTGTTGCTGAAGGTAAATCCGCTAAGGATGCTTCACCAAAGCCAGTTGTCGTCAAGTACGGTTTGAACCACGTTGTCTCCCTTATTGAAAACAAAAAGGCTAAATTGGTTCTTATTGCCAACGATGTTGACCCAATTGAATTGGTTATCTTCTTGCCAGCTTTATGTAAGAAGATGGGTGTCCCATACGCTATTGTCAAGGGTAAGGCTAGATTGGGAACTTTGGTTCACAAAAAGACCTCATCAGTCGCCGCTTTGACCGAAGTTTCATCTGCTGATGAAGCTGAATTATCTAAATTGGTTTCAACTATTGATGTTAACTACTTGCAAAAATACGAAGAAAACAAGAAGCACTGGGGTGGTGGTATCATGGGTTCTAAAGCTAATGATAAATTGGCCAGAAAGGCTAAGGCTGCTGCTGCTGCCGCTTCTACTACTGGTCATTAAGAGAAGTAGTGGAGTTTATCCATTTGTATAGTAATGTACTAAAGAAATATTTTTTTAATCGGTAATCGAAGTCGCATATGTAAGAGTAGAGAGTAATTTGTCACCAAGCAGCGTGGTAACATAGGAGTTTCTTCATACATTTCATACAATTAATTCTATTTTTATTTTTTTGCTGCCAAATTGATCAAAATAACAATATCCATAAAAGTAAGGAAAAGCATCACCACAATGATTTGATGTTTTGGGGAGTCTATAGGGAGATTCTCAGCGAATTTTTCTCTTATGACAGTGTTTCTGATGAAGAAGGGCAACTCAAAATGGAATTTCCATTGTTTGTGGTTTAATTTTTGACAGACGCTACATTTGTACAACATTCGAGAGAGTTCTTACGCACTTCTTAATAACGTCAACAATTTGAAATATAGTAGCTTCCCGCACTCATTACTGGGATCTTGTGTAGCTGAACACATCTTCTTGTTTGTATGACTGATGCATTATGCAGAGATCTAATTGCTTCACCACACTTCCGGTCATATGCGACATTCAATTGTAGTAATGTAGTAATGTCGCAACTTATCAAAACATGAAACCCCACTTCTAAATGTCAAAAGTCTCCCCAATGGAAAAGCGACAAAAAGTAAAAACAAAATAAAGTTTGCACAAACTATTTATTATTAATACCCCATTCCTAATGCGTTTTGTACTACAGAATGTGATTCGTTATTTGCAGATCTAAAGATCTATAGCATTTGTCTTTTGAAAGAAAATGGTTTCATTGTGTTTGGTTATAAATAGGGGCATATTCTTCCTTCCAACGAAATTGAAAGAGCAAAGAAAGAAAAGAATTTAGATTACCCTTCCTCATTGTGTTAACCATGTCAAACTTGTTTTCATCAAAAAGATGCACCGCTGATGAAGCATTCTCAAAGTTGCCAGTTGTTGATGTCACCGAATCAATTCCCTTGGGTGCAGACTCCAACAGGTACAATAGTTCCAACTATTCTGAGACTTTTAGAAATAAAGCCCATCCTCAATATTTGATAGATTCGATACACCCAGACTTGAGCACTCATCCGAAATTATTCAACCATGCTGCTAAGCTTTAC